CGTTTAGGAGATATCGAAGGTTAAAGTTTTCTAACCTTTCTCCGTCGATATCCAGCCTTCATCCGTCGATATCTCCGCTTCTATTGGGAGTAGAGGGTCGTCCATGTAGTCCAAAATGTAGGGTTTTGAAAGGGCTTTAATTTGGTACCTGTCCGAAGCCTGTATCTCTAACCGTTTAGGAGATATCGAAGGTTAAAGTTTTCTAACCTTTCTCCGTCGATATCCAGCCTTCATCCGTCGATATCTCCGCTTCTATTGGGAGTAGAGGGTCGTCATTGTAGTCCAAAATGTAGGGTTTTGAAAGGGCTTTAATTTGGTACCTGTCCGAAGCCTGTATCTCTAACCGTTTAGGAGATATCGAAGGTTAAAGTTTTCTAACCTTTCTCCGTCGATATCCAGCCTTCATCCGTCGATATCTCCGCTTCTATTGGGAGTAGAGGGTCGTCATTGTAGTCCAAAATGTAGGGTTTTGAAAGGGCTTTAATTTGGTACCTGTCCGAAGCCTGTATCTCTAACCGTTTAGGAGATATCGAAGGTTAAAGTTTTCTAACCTTTCTCCGTCGATATCCAGCCTTCATCCGTCGATATCTCCGCTTCTATTGGGAGTAGAGGGTCGTCATTGTAGTCCAAAATGTAGGGTTTTGAAAGGGCTTTAATTTGGTACCTGTCCGAAGCCTGTATCTCTAACCGTTTAGGAGATATCGAAGGTTAAAGTTTTCTAACCTTTCTCCGTCGATATCCAGCCTTCATTCGTCGATATCTCCGCTTCTATTGGGAGTAGAGGGTACTGTAGTTTACTTAAACCTATAATCTGTATGAAGAAACTATCAATGACTTCTCTTTCTTTTCAAACGTAGAGTATGATTGGTTGTTGCTAATAGTGAAAAGAGAGAAAATTGAAATAAGTTGGATGCTATGACATCTAATAGAGAACAATATATCTGCTTCATATGAAATAAACACTAACCAACATTAACATTTGCTGTATTTGTATATAAGTATTAATTTATTAAAAGGTGGAAGCCCAGTGTTAATAATAATCAATTAGTTTATATTATTGATTTGATTGCATTTATCATATAATAATTGACTTTTATATATAGTTTTATACTCTGTTTTAGAATATAATCTATCGAAGCAAAAAACCCAATATTTTAGATTAAATTTATATATTTACTGTTCTGTTTTATGAGAAATTTTATGCTCGATTTCTGCTAGAACTGCAATAACAGATTCTTTTGATAATCTAAATCGTGCATGAAAATCGACATTATCAAATTCTTCCAAATATGATGGTCGTCTTAAGCCAGCGACACACGGTGCTTGTTTTCGTGCTGGATTGCTTGCTGGATGAAAATACTGTGTTCTGATTGGTGCATTTCCATCCATTTTCGGAAATGTACCAATCACAACGCAATATTTTCATCCAGTAAGCAATCCAGCACGAAAACAAGCACCGTGTGCCGCTGGCTTTATTTTTCTTGTCCGTCGATAAATTAGGTTTTCAAAATTTTCATCTTTAGATGAAGATAATATGTATTCTAAAGCTATATCTCTTTGGTGTTCAAACGTTCAAAATATTTGTCAACTGAACTCCAAAACCGGGATAATCATAAATTTTTTTCTCAAATTGATGATACTGCAGTGTTAAACTTCGTTTAAATTCATTAAACGCCCAAAGTTTTGGGTTTAACTTTAACTGTGAGAAATCAACGTTAACCATGGTTTAAGGCAGTTGTGGAACGCAATTTTTCGTCTAAACTAGGGTTAACGAGTTAAACTTCGTTTACAGTAAGTTGTGGAACTGGGCCTAAGAAATAGACCAACCATAATAGATTATTATAAGAATAATCGATTATGGTTGGTCCATAGAAAAGGTTATTTGTATAATGAATTTATCTTCCTATTCTTCTGTAATATATATATTTTTATTCGTAAGAATAAAAAAACAAATTAAAAAAAAAATAACAAAACATAGCTAGGCGGGAATACGCAACCTGGCGAGTACCAGCACCGCGCACAGTCTGCTGCCTTACGCCGTCATTTGGAAATAACTGATCTGCAAATGTTAGAATAACGGAGCATACTTAAAATCGCGAAATTTCAATTTGTAATTTCTCCCAAATGCTTGAGTGTTGCATCGTCTCCGGTTAATAGTAACTTTTGCTAGACGTGGTTTCTTCCATCAGGAGAAAATGATAAACAAATGTCGAATAAGTCACTTATAAAATGGAATTATTTGATATTGGTTTATATTTCTTAATAAGGAATGATAGGATATAAGGAAAGGAAGAAGCAAACATAAAGGGAACAGTAATATCATGCAAGCGTTAAACAAAGCATACAAACAAAGAAGAAAATGCGATATTAAAATACACAAAAACAATTACAGCTACAGTATTTACAGTTGCAATAATAGATGCATTTGCACAATATTTTAATGAAAAATCTTTCACACAGTGGAAAGCGAGATTTAACGCATAAATTTGCCTCTCTCTGCCATCTTCTTACTGAACATCAAATATCAGTTACGTATTATCTATTTTAGAATGTCACACATTCAACCATGTAAATACATGATATTCTATATAACACATGGTATTATATAGCATTTACATGATTGAAAGTTCATTCTAACAGAGAGCACGTTCTAACATAGAATGTATGTAAATGATACTTGTTTATTGGGTTAACTCGCACATATGGGATGTGCGAAGTACTTTCGGGTATAGGATGCATTCTGTGTTAAAACATGAATGCTGCTTTGCATGAAGTTGCTCCAAAAGACTGAACTAGGAATAAATGACGCAGAACAAGGTCGTCTGGACTCTAGACAAACCCTTTAAAATATCCAGGGTACCTATTATCACCTATTATGGAATTCGTCGGAATCGATTCCGATCGGGATAATTCCGTTTCCCCTAGAAAAGACAATAGAAATCTAGGAAATAACGGAATAAATTCGATCGGAATCGATCCCGACGAGTTCCATAATAGGTACCCTGATATGTATTTACCAAAGTTTGTCTGTGAAGATTTCGTTCTCCCATTCTATATATAATTTTATATATAGGGTTTTGTTATTATTTACACATCCCATATGTGCGAGTTAACCCAATAAATAATAAGTATCATTTACATATAATTAATTATATATTAATTAGTTTTAATATCAAAGTTAGAAATGTTAAAAGCGACGTTTATGGCATGTCAATCTTTTTTTAACTGATCGAGTGTAATTATTCAATATGTTACAAGATTTATATTAAAACCAAGTGAAACTTATTGATTCAGAAATAATTTTATTTTAAAATAGTTAAATAGATAAGGTTTAAATTTCTCAATATATTCTTAATATATTCTCTAAAGTATATTCATATATTGGAAATGGGACATTTCAAATATCATTCAATATCAAAGTTAGAAATGTTAAAAGCGATGTTCACGGCATGTTGAACTTTTTTTTTAACTGGTCGAATATAATTATTCAGTATGTTACGAGGTTTAAATTAAAACTAAGTTGAATTAAAACTAAAACCTTATTAATTTAGAGATCATTTTATTTTAAAGTAGTTAAATAAATAAGCTGATTTGTCAAATATATCCACTAAAGTATATTCACATATTGAAAATGGGACTTTCCAAATTATATCACTTAATTATACGGCAAGCTTGAAAGAAAATACGTACGTAATTTTTTGACGCGCACATCGCGATGCATATATAATATTTCATAACTTTTTCATATACCAGATATGTCGGTAATTACTTTCCGGTTTTTGTAACAAATGTCACTAGCCATAAGTATGCAATGTTATGATTTGATACATATGTCATTTTATTCTACTGACATTAACCTCAAAACTACACAAGTTACGTTCCGCCAAAATAACAGCGTTATAGATTTATAATTTTTTGAAAATGTCGAGTTTTGTGCCTGAAAACGTGCATTTGCGGCACGCATTACTTTTCTTGTCAATCAAAGAAAATCAAATCAAAAGAAAAAAGCCGCTGAGTCATCGTTTGCTGATAGAGACTTACGGTGAGCATGCTCCAACCATAAGAACATGTGAAACGTGGTTTTCGACAATTCAAATGTGGTGATTTCAACGTTCAAGACAAAAAACATCCTGGTAGGCCGAAAACGTTTGAAGATGCGGAATTGCAGGAGTTATTGGATGAAGACCCAACATAAACTCAAAAACAATTGGCAGAAAAGTTGAATGTGAGCCGAGTAGCAATTTGAACGATTACAAGCGATGGGAAAGATCCAAAAGATGGGAAGATGGGTGCCACATGAATTGAATGACAGGCAATTGGAAAATCGAAAAATCGTCAGTGAAATGCTGCTTCAAAAGTATGAAAGGAAGTCATTTCTGCATCGAATAGTAACGGGTGATGAAAAATGGATTTATTTCGAAGATCCCAAGCGAAAAAAATCATGGTTATCACCTGGCGAAGGCGGCCCATCGACTGCAAGGCCAAATCGCTTTGGTTGCAAGACTATGCTCTGTGTCTGGTGGGACCAGATTGGTGTCGTATATTATGAACTGTTGAAACTTGGAGAAACAGTTAATACTGATCGCTACCAACAACAAATGATCAATTTGAACTGTGCATTGATCGAAAAACGTCCACAATACGCTCAAAAACATAAGGTGATTTTGCAGCATGACAACGCGCCGTCTCATACAGCAAAACCAGTCAAAGAAGTGTTGAAATCACTTGGATGGGAAGTTTTATTGCACCCGCCGTACTCTCCAGACCTGACTCCATCCGACTACCACCTTTTCGCATCGATAGGGCACGCGCTTGCAGAGCAGTACTTCGCCGATTTCGAAGAAGTTAAAAAATGGCTCGATGAATGGTTTAGCTCAAAGGAGAAACAGTTCTTTTGGAATGGCATCCATAAATTACCTGAGAGATGGGCAAAATGTATAGAATCAAATGGCCAATACTTTGAATATATTTTAACTATCCATTGTAAATAATGTGTTTTCTTTAGTGAAAAAACCGGAAAGGAATTACCGACACACCTGGTATATAAACCTTCAGTATTCTCTCATACATATACTGTGCCGAGAGGAACCAATTACCCTGTCTTAAGAAATTATTACTTAGATTATTATCTAAAAGGGAAAGATATTACACACCTACTCTATTACTAACTATGATTTACCTTACAAAAAATAAAGATCAACAAAAGCTTGTACTTAAGTGCAGAGAAGAAATTCATTACACGACGATCTTACAGACATTTTGACTGTCACCCAGCAAACACTAATTTCCAGTAACATTACATCAATATTATACTTCACTCAGAATACTACAAATATAATATAACACACATTGTACATAACAGTTGTATTGTTAAGCGAAAAATTATAATATTGATTAATGTTACTATTACTTAGTATTTATTGAGTAATTAGTCAGTAACTTTGGACGGAAAAATTGGACGGAATGTTTTGACATGCACAGTATAAAGCACACGCAATATTTCAAAAGTTTTTACAAACTTACGAGATTTCCCCAGTGCCAACATATGCCAAAAGAAATCACCTATTTCCTTCGTCAAGAAATCATTATTTAAAAGAGATAATTATTATACTACTACCACTACAACGTAATGCATATTATCATTTTAAGGCTCCTTTTTCCTTGCTGTAACAACTTTGAATAACCGTTAAATTAACATAGCCAAATCATGAGAAAAGAGAAGTTACAAATAGCGAGGGATTTCACATATCATTTTAATTTTATAGTTATTTATTGCCTGTTAAAGCAGAAAGAGAATTTCTGGAACATTTTGAAAATGTGGTCAATTGATTGCAAGTGTGATTTAATGGAAATATTTTTTAATTTCAATATAATCCGTAGGAATTTTTAACATGAATTTCCTTTTTTTTTCACATCAGTTGAAATCTCCACGATGAGGGACTAGGAATCTTAATACGATAATTGCTCGAAATGATACCACGTGTATCGCCCTGTCGCGCTAGACTAGTGTTTATGTTGCACCGTTCACATATACGTGATGGTACTGTGGCACAAAGGACAAGCGTTAATATTAACGACATCGCGCTCCGTCGCAACGTGGTGCCTACAGATGGTGCAGATCCATGCGACGCTGAGATCCATCAATGGCTTCCCCGAGACGATGCAGGCTGGGAATCTGGTGCAGCAATTCGGACATGAGACGCACCAGTCGGGTACCAGAGTCTCGCAGTTGACGCATTCCGCCTTGTTGTTGCGCGAATCCTTGGGGATGTGCTTCGTGAAGATATCCACCGCCAGTTCCTCATATTCCTCTCTCTTCGTCGACGCGATCGTCTCCAGCGACTCCAGTTTGACGAAGGCCTTCGAGCAGGTAGCGAATGCGCGATTAACGGCGCTCGACAGTGCCAACAGGCAATAGACGTCTTCTACCTCGAGTATGTCCTCGTACTCTCGGAGCCGCAGGGCCGTTTTCATCGCGGCGTCAAAGCTACCGTTGTACAACTGCCTGTGTGTGAGCAGGAGGAAGTGGTACGCCTCGGCGCCGCGCCAAGCATTTTCTATGATCCTGGTGTCCTCGTTGCTCTCGGTTAGGCCCATCACGACGTTGCTGCGACCACCTTTAATCGCTGGTACATTGTTGATATGTTCTTCGATCAGTAATGCTGCGAGAACGTAGATCTTCTTCACGCGCAAAGGATGCGACTTGCACTTGGCTTGCTCTTCGGCTAGGCGAAGCAGTAATTTGGCCGCCTCCAGGTTGTAATTAGCCTTCTTGTACAGCTCGATCGCCTGCAGACGTTTACCATTTGACAGCAGATGATTAGCATACTTGCTCAATAACTCACCAATCTGTGCCATTTTGTAGGTCTTGGCTAGGTCGACCGCTTGATCCCAGTGATTCAGGCGCACACATGTGTCCACAGCTAACTTGACATCACCATACTTGATATAACCTGCTACTGCTTGCGAACACATACCCACCGAGGCCAACATCCTCGCTACAGTTTTCAGGACCGGGCTCTTGTCTGGCAGCTGGTCCACGGTGGCCGCCAGTTGAGGGAAATCTTCCAGCTTGTAGTAACATTGGATGAGCTTCTCCAGGTTCCTGCCTTTCTCGTAGTAATCCCTGGCACTTTCCCAGTTCTGCCTCTCAGCGAAGTGATCGCCGATCTTGTTGTACGCGTGCTCCATCTGTTTGTCTGAGCCACCGATACCCATCTTCATAAGCTGCACCACCCGGAAATAGTCACCCAACTTTTGGCGCAGCGCAATCGCCAAGTCTCTCCTGTCCATGTCCAGATATAGCTTCTCGGCCTCATCGTAATCGCCGAGAAACGCCGCTACTTCGGCCTTCTTCAGCTGATCATTGTGCACATTCTGCAAACGTTTGATGAACTGTATGCCCAAGTAATCCGTGCACCGCACCATTGCGTTCTCCGCAGTCTCCAGGTCCAGTTTAGTCAAGGCTGATTCAGCCAGTAGACGCCAAAGACGCGGGTGCGGGTTGTCCTGAATAAAATTGTTAGCCTCTTTTAGGCCCACTTTGGCCAGCAGCTCTCGCGTGTCTCTTAGGGATTTCACTTCTAGATCGACGATCAATTCCTTTCGCGTGTCATCAGGCTTCAGCACGAGATCGTCCAAAAGGACGCAACGTATCTCTAGATCCTGAAAAGAACAGATATATCCGGAGCAAGATATTGGTTCCTCAGGATCGAGTCCCCTCAGAACATACATCCTGGTCTTCTCCATGATTGCCAGGAGCGCAGGATTATCCCGTGCCCAACACACAGCCCACACGTCTTTCCTCTCGAATTTGGACACGTCCTCGCCCGAGTCTCCATCTCGCGAGTCTCGTGAGCCCGGTGTCTTCTGCGGATCTAAGTCCAGCATAGTGAGGATACCGTTGGCGTCTACTATAGAGGCGCGTGTGGAGTCGCAGTTAATGGCGATTCTATGCAGCCTGCATGCGGTGTTATACCTGTTTAAGAGTGTTATTTGCGGCAACGAGTATCGCTGAATCATCCCCGATTCCCGGCCGATCAAGAGGACCTTGTCGGTGGCGTAGACACAGCAAATGGGATCCACAGTAGCCTTCGTGCTAATGGGTGTCTCATAAGAGCCATCCTTATCTAGATCCTGAATAACTTCCGTCACGCCAGTCGGCGTCTCGTCCACGTGGTAAATCTTGTATTTGCGCATTCTGCCGGAATGCAGGGTCGAATTGCGTGGTGTACGAAAGTTCCACACGAGAAAGTTGTTCTTTGAGGCGGCCACTACCGCGTTCGCGGTCATCGTTAGGTACAACGGTTCTAGATCCAGGAACTTGGAGTCTATAGGCGTGGCAATGGTGTTGCAGACGAGCAGAGCGAATTGTTCAGTGGCTTGAGCGGGATCATTTTTCACAGACAACACACAGTGCTCCCCGTATGAGACTATCGATATTAGAGACCTTACGTATTTGGTGCAGCATGTGTTGCTACTCGTGTTCCAAAACGTCACACAGGTGCCATCTTTGCCGATTTTCTCGTTCGTGAAAACGACCGTGTTGCTGAAATATGTCCATTTGTAGTCCAGACGAATATTCGCGAAGTATATGTGCGAGTCAACGGATAAGGCGACCCTGAGCGAACCTTTTTCCCAGGCACAACACGTTACCTCTCTACCTGGTACCTTCAGGGTTCTCATGTGTTCACCAAATGGCGTGTAAAATTGTATGACATTGGTGTCCTTGGTCTCTCCATTGTTGAGCAACGGCATCATACCAGTCACCGCCAACAAGGAGCCGCAACTGTTCCAGCAACACCAAGAGGCGGTTAAGCCGGTCTCCATCGTAATTGGATTATCGTCGTTGGTATCGCGCATCAGTTGTATCCTACCATTACGATAACAGATAGCCAAAGTAGGACAGTCTATGGCAACGTAGCCATTTTTTCCATCGTACCATTGTAACGCCATGATGGTCTGAAGCTGACTTGTATTTAATGAGAGTACATTTAACTTCGTCAGGAATACGCCCTGATTATCGTAAAGATGAACTTCTCCGTTTTTCAAGCCAAACAGAAGCAATTTTCCATCTGGAGACCATTGCACAGCGGAGAGCGCAATATTCTTTAATTCTTTACCCCAGATCCTGTTGCCATCGACAGAGCCAACAATTACAGCTCCATCTTCATAAACTATACATATCTTTTGACCGTCACAACTCCATGCCATGCCTTTCACCACAGATTTATTGCGGTTGTTTATCATTTCTTCATACCATGATCCTTTGTATAACATCCAAACAATTATAACTCCATTCTGATCGCTGGAAGTTAACTTTTGATGTTCCTCATTCCAGGTGACCACTTGAACATGACCATTGTGCCCTTCCAAAGGTTGATTCATGCTCAAATTACTCGCTGCCGCTAAGCCTCTGGATTTTCCACCACTGTGTGATCCACTGACACTGGAATCTACACGCAATACCTTTAAGAGACCATCTTCTCCTCCAACAGCGATATAGCCATCCTTTTGATTCCATGCTATGCAATTTAATCGAAAGTTATTCGGTATGGAGATCTTCTTGCTCAAATATACAAACATTATTGAGATCTATATCAGTCTTCTTGGTAAGTTCTTACTTAATTGAGTAATAAGGTAGATCCTGAAACTAAAATATTGGAAACTAAAATATCTATAATAAATTGTCAATTTTATCTTTCAATTCATATTGATTTTTCGACAATACTTACTGCACAGAATTATAACATGTGATTCGTATACAAGCATTCAGTGTGAAAACAATTAAAGGCACTTTTCAGGGTAACAAATTCACTTCACTGTATCCTCGACATAGAAATCCAATAGAATACAGAAGATGTCTGGCGTTTATCCATTATCTTCCCTTCATCGTTAAAGTATCCTCCGATGTCCTCACAGTTCCAACATTGTAATTCAGCTTTCTGAATTGTCACAGTGAACTCGACGAACCAGCGTCCGCTGGCCTTCAGTATTGTTTGTTGATGAACGGTGTCAACCGGAGCTTTACGCCGCCATATTGGTTTTTAGTTCCACCTTATCGAGCATCTCGGAGCAGAGGTCGCTGCGATCACATCACTTAAAATACCCAAGAGTTCGGTGGCTCCATTCAAGCATTAGGAAGCGTCTCGAACGCAACGGTCTCGCTTCTCTTCTGCGACCCCCTGCGAGAGGACTCACGAGCCTGTGTGCGTACACGTTCCATCGGTTCCTCCGGGGAGAGACTTGCGCGCGCGAAGAGCACTTCGCCGAATGCTTCGTCCGAGATCAGAGTCGACGCCGGTTCGCGTAGCGGATGTTCGTGCGTGAGACTGCTCTCACTTCGCATCGCTCCATTTTCATCACACTGAGGAAACGCGGGTGAAGACGAAAGGCTGTACACAGACGCACCACCGCCCGGCGACGCGGTGATCATCGCGAAATCCTGCTCGACCAACTCGAGGTAAGCGATCTCGCTCTTTACCCTCGTCCCGCGCTATCGATCCTAGTGTTTGGACTCGCTCCCGCCCTCGACGGCATCAGATCCACCCTATCGCGAGAGGTTATGGCTTCAACGGTGACGCGTTCGTCACACCCTCGTGGGCGGCAGAGTGGCCGCCGGAAGCTTGTCTCGACTCGCGAGCAATTTTAACGGCTTATCGGACAGTCGACGAAATATCCTGCCTGGCATTCCCGGTTTGGAAGTTCGACAATCTCGTGTCGCCAAGTCCACTGCCCGGTACATAGAAGCAAGATATGTGAAAAAAGATACACCCCAGCTTTTCTATCTACACGGAGAAAAAAGCGAGAGGAAAGGGTTCTCCTTTGCATGGCCTTTGATATTCTATACGATAAACGGGGTTATCGGAGATGGGGTGGGGGTACACGCATCCTGTGCCAACGCCAACGTCACAGAATTACGTGCCAGCGCTCAGGGGGTTGGATCGTTTATCTTCTGCTTCCGGTGCGCTAAACATATCATTGAATCGTCGAGGAATCAATTTGTTCGCTCGGCGTCTTTGACGGCCGCCCAGTTCACGACGTTCTTGTCGAAACATAAACTGGAGCTCATCGTTGTGTATTGTCCTTACATCGTAAGTACGGTGTCTTACGCATCTTTTTTCACGCAGGATAATCGCGATAGAAACAACGAGGGACTTGTATTCCTCTTTCTCTGCGCGACGAGCTTCCGCGAGTAGCTCGGAAACTGAATACCGACATCTCGAACATCTGCTTCTCTTGAAAACGCCACCCCGCACGAAGCCTGGGCAGGCTGTTTATTTGGTGCCCTCCGATCCTTTGTGCCCCTGCTTTTTTGTCCTGTCGTCCCTCTTCGTCTCTTGGTTTCTCGATTTCCAAGGGAGATATATGACTCCTCGGGGAGACGCGCGAGAAATACCGTCGAAACGTATAAATCTCTGGCTGTGCTACGATTCTGTTTACACTACGATAAAGAGCGGATCGTTACCTCGTCGTACGTCGTCGATATTGACTTGGAGAGAGGGAGAGACGCGTAGAGAGGCAACGTCTCACATTTATCTCGTCGAGTAAGATTGACGGAAGTAATTAACGACAACGACTCGCGATAAAGTAGTCATACGAGTCCGCGTGACAAAAGTGACGGTTAAATTCACGTTGTTGCCTCGTCATGAATACATGTTGTCGGCGATGTTTGATCGATCCCTGATTCGCGCGCGAGTCGTTACGGAAACTCGTAGTTTTCGCCGATAATTCTTCACCTTCGTTTCTCCTTTTTTTTCCCCTTTAACTTTAGCCGGCGATCGCGTGTAAACAATACATCGTCTTACGCTTGTCATTATTTCAGATTTGCGATTTCTGTGAAGGCTTCGGCGCGAGAGTGAGAATCGAAAGTCGCGCAAGGTCATTCCGCACGTCGTTCTCCCCCGATGAAGATTAATAACGAATGACGAGAGAGATAGAGAGAGAGAGAGAGATGACGAACGATGAACGCTCTTCTTATCCTTCGAATCTATCATTTCTGAGAGCTCTCGTAGAGACGCGCGTGGCGGATTAGAAGAAAGTAGCCTGTGTACTTATTACTTTGACGTTAAAGACGCTTGGCAAAAGCGATACAGATCGGCAACAAACAACGGCGAAAGAGAGGGACGGTTAATTGACGCAAGGTTCACGTGGAATCTGGCGTATTCTGTCGACAGAAGAAAAGAAAGAAATGTACGAGATCCCAGTGTAATTAGAGAGCACCGTGTGTGCTCTCTCACGTTGCACACGGTGCAAAACGCATTATACAGGTGGGTAGGAATGAAATTGTAACTTACTTTCGCGACCGCGCGCGCGGAGGAAAGAGCGCGTCTCTCTCTCTCTCTCTCTTTCTCTCTCTCGCTCTCTCTCCCTCTCCCTCCATTTCTCGACGGACAACGGTGTACGATCGAGGAGAGCAGCGGCGCGTACGTGGATGAGAACGCCGTTTATGGGTGTTATGTCGATGCAGCCGCGTGCTTCCGTTCGCTTATTAACGCGCTAATTAGTCCGCTAAGCCGGGTAAGTATGGTGACGGGAATTTCTTGCTCCACAATTAGTTCAGTCAATTACCGCGCTCTAGTGTGGCCTTAAACTTTCACATTGTCAGGTAGATCGCCGCCGCCGACGGCGGCGACGATGGCGGCAGCATGATATATCGTGCGGCACGTGCATAATTTCATGTAATTGCGCGATTACCGCACGGCGCGTATCCTCAGCGTGTTTATGTGCACTTAACGGCCCTGTCGAAACGCGAGGACAAGTGTTGCTTATACCGTTAACGTGCGGTTTCCTCAGAGACATATATGGAAAAATACATGCTGCGTTTGAGTAGATGCTACCAAATGTTTCAAGTGTTTCGTAAGTTTACATGTTCGCAAATTTCTTGTTCTATCAGAAATTCATCATAAGCACCGAATTTGCTCTAAATACATTCCGAATTCTAATTAGTTTAGCGCTTCAGCGAAGAATATCAAAAATTGAAGAGAGAATATTAAATTAAAACAAAAATTTGGTTTATTCTTCCTACATTTATATAACAGATAGAACATAAGTTTTATAATATTCTTGAGAAAAGAATAAATTTTTCTTTTGAGTGCATGATAACGAACTCTTCTCGATTTTCCGGCAAGTGTATTTCAAGAAAGAGAATATCCGTTGTGTTGAAGATAACTATTATACTTAAAAGGAGAACAATAAGCAGAGCGGTCGTCGATGTTACTAATAGAAATAATATATACTAATAGAATAATAGAAAGATACTTTCCTCGGCACATAAACAAGTTTCTCCGCAAAATCTGTATTACACAGATTCACTCGTTATACGCTGTATCAAAACCCAACTTTCCGCGTCTGCGGCAATGGGATTAACGTGCGCCTTGCGTATGATGACACGGTTTGCAAACTGCATCAGCAACAGGAACAGACGCTATTGTTGTATTAACTGATTTCTTCAGCGACATTTTACCGATTGCAGTACTATGATAACGATTGAATCGCTAGTTCGTGGGATTTCAATGAAGAATATACTAATCATACTTTAGAATGCGGTTTTTAAATCAGACCACCGAATCGGCTCTTAAATCCAACCAAGTCCACTCTTGACGACTTGCAATTCAAAGAAGAGCTCTGTCGGAGCGAAGAAGATAATCGAGAAATCGGAACCACCTTCGTAGATTTTGTGAAGTGGCTAGGCTTTGTGAGACATACGCGTACTTGATGAAAGAGGGAAGCCAGCGGAAAATTTGCTATTTGCATCGCTCGAAGAAGCGCGAGCGAGCAAGCGAGGCGAGTATGTAGCGCGGACATGAACGCGCCGGATAATAAAACCCGCTCTCGCGTGCAGACAGGTCAAGTTGGACCGCGCGGAATGATTTTAGCGAAGAGAGACGATAAATATATCCACGGCGTGTGGACGCCCGGACGGATCACGCAGGGGAGACAGAGAGTGCGGGGCCTAATCCGAATTGAGTCTCAAGAGAGAAAGAAAGAGAGAGAGAGGGCAGAGGGAGAAAGGGAAAAGGGAATGCTCCTTGCTTCTCTTTGCTTTCACGAGCGATTCCTTTGAAATTGCAATGCTCCTCGATTGGCTGAAACCCGCCGCGAATCTGTACCAATCTCAAGTCTGGAATGTTAGGATGCATTTGTATTTTGCTGTTATTCATACAAACAACAGCAAACGCGGCTGCACTCGCTCCAGAGTTAATGCAGAGGAAATATTTCACTCATGAAGAAAATAGTGAAATTGTATTAATCTTCGACTAATTAGATTCCTCAGATTAATCTTTCTTCCTTTCTGAATCGTTCCATTTTTAAGTTATGGTTAATGATTCGATTAATAAATCAACACAAGGAATATTTTGCTCGTGCACACAAAACAATACATACTGCATTTAAGTAAAGTTTATATACTCACAAACGTACCACATAAGCTCATCATAAAAATGAAATTTATTCAAAATATAATTCCAGTGAATATAGTACTTCAATTAAGTTCAATTAATTTATATTAAATTAAAACATTCGATTTGTTCTCTATATGGTACAAGTTTTACAATATTATCGGGGTTTTTTTTCTTTTTGTACATGGTAATGAACCTTTCTTCTAACACTTGTGAAGAGTATATTTTAAGATTATTATCAAGAAAATGTTCTCTGTCGAAGGTATTGGTTAAGAAAGCAAACTGAGTAGTAGAATATTTTTCTCTGTGTAGAGAGAAACACGGCGAAATTGAATTACTCTCCGACTAATTGGATTCGTTAGATTAGTCTCCCTTTCTGAATCGTTCTATTTTGGAGGTCCTATTTTAAAAGATCGAAGCATCCTATTATTGATAACAATAATAATAATAGCAAAACGATTTAGTTCGTATCCGCGATTAATGCTGGAAGTATTCCGCTCCTTGAGTAACACAGAGGAATTGAATTAATTGGATTCATTATATATTAATCTTCCTTTCTGAATTGCTGTGTTCACAGGCGCATGCTAAGGATTACCGTGTCGCGCATAAATAGAATTATCTTTCTCGCAGCAGGGGGCCCATATGGCCACCGCCCATTTACTGAAATATCTCGGTAGCCGCAGCAACCGGCGCACCGCGTCGCAGCGGCTGCGGTTTACGTCGAGGATGCCGTGCGAGAGCTGACCCGTTGACGCGCTCGACTCGCCAGATTCGGACTGCGGATACATGAGAAACAACGGAGGGAGAAACAATCATTCGAGACTCGCCTCGATGAGACAAGTGACGTAACTTCATCGAGTATCTCCTTTTTTAGAGACGTGGGAGTAAAACGCGACCGTGGCCGGGAGAGAGAAGTCTTTCGACCGCGCGATGAATCCGAGCGCGATCGCGCTCGAAGTCGCAATTTCACCTCCTCGATATCCTCGCGTGTGACTTCCGAACAGGGGGCTTCGTAGAAGGTTTCCGCGAATAGCTCATCGCCGATATTCTATCTATCGATCACGCGATGTTCTTGAGAAACGCCGTTATTACCTTTGCTTTTATCTAAATATATATCGCCGCTCCGCATTTATTCCTCCGTCGTTATTTCCTATATTTATTTTGTTCCACATTATTATTTCGTCCCGGCATATATATTTCATATCCGTTTCACCGTATTTAAAAATCAAATCTCCTCGAGGTCAAAGTTCGTAAAAATTCTTTCTTTCGACAAGAAACGAATGTATTGCAAAGTTAACTCGTCAACGCTGGAATGCTGGATTTTCGACTTGAGACGTTTGTCCAAATTCTTTCATTTCAAATCGAGCATCGCGTTCGGCGCGATCTTAAATTTCAAAGGGAAGGAAGCTGCTAAGGGATTAGGAGAAAAATAATTCTCCAAACATAGTTTATTGATCAGTGATAAGAAATGTGTTGCGCAGTGACAATTACACGAAGAAGTCGCATATACTTAGAATTAGGGAATAAATAAAAAAAGATATATCACAAGTATAAGAAACATGACGCAATGTGCGCACAAATGCATTCGTCAGATTTGCAAGGAAATAAAGTTAACTGTCGGCAGAGAATTCGCTGGTTTCCAGTGTTCGCGGCTTTCGATCGATTACGTTGTCGATTGCTCCGCAATTACTACGCGCACAACGACGATTCAATCGTTCGCCGTTGACGTTTTCGCTTTTCACAGACGCGGAGACGGGCTTCACGTAATGCCATCTGAGTTCCGGTTACGTCACTTGATCTCGATGTCACTTTATGGCCGAAGTTCTCAGCACGCCTGTCCGTTGCGACAGGGCGACGAGTCAACGTCGCTGGTCGAATTAACAATCAACGAGGAGCCGCCGTTGAGTCGTTTTCGCACGCACCGGCCGTCACCTCGCACCTTCGTGACGACCTTAGTGACGGTGACGACCTGACGTCGCAAGGACTTCCGAGTCTGGTCGTCGCACTTGCTATACTTCCCCCGTTGGCGGCAGCCTCTCTCTTTCAAGTCGTTCATCACATTGTCCAAGAATTCCCGACTCGATGACGACATTGTCACGCGCCAGCCACCGTCCTCGTCGTTGCGTCCTTCGCATTTTTCGCAGCTGGATGCGCCCCCGGCGAGCTCCCCGCGCGAACACGCGGTCTTCTCGTCCCTCTGACTCGCCGGAGACTTTTTCAGGCTCCTTCTCTGATAGTGGAACTTTCCATAATCGACCGTCGGCTCCGCCGCCTCGGGGCCTGAGTCGAAGATCACCTTGCCGCCGTCGCCCACGAATCTTACCTTCTCCTTAGAGGAGTCTGGCCCGAGAAGGACTTGACCGCCGTCGCCGGTGTACTTGATGTTACCTACGTTGTGGTTCACACGCAGACGACAACCATCGCCGACGATGTGGACGCTGCCCGAGTTCTTTGACAGGATGACGCGACAACCGTCGCCTGTAATTTCGAGTACGCGATGATTCGAGTCCAGCCGGACGACCAGACCGTCACCGTGGAACCGTTTCACACCGTCGTCCGCGACGCCGTCCCCGGCGGCCTCCGAAGGATGCTTGCACCGCCTCATGGAACTCCCGAGGTCTTTCCTCCTCGGCTGCTTTCGATCGAATTGCTCGTTCACGCAGGAGACCGTCATTGAAAGTTCGCCTTTCTTCCACACGGGGGTTCACCCGACTCGGCACCTGTCCGTCGCGGTATATAAACGCGATAATTGGTTGTTATCGCGTATTGATATTGGTACGACGCTGGTAACTTGTGTCAGTATATACTAAGTACTACGGTCAGGTACTGCTCTCGTCCGCCTCCGCTCAGTACTTCTCCCTTCTCCCGAAGGAAAGTCTCAATTGTTTCTCCTTGTTGTTTTCAGTCTCTCATTGGCGTGTATCACACGATAGGCTGACGAAGGGAAGGTGGATGACGTCGGGAGGAAAATAGTCGCGAAATAACGGAGTGCAACGCGTACGAGAATGAGAAGAAGAGAGAGAGTTGTTTACGTTGCGGAGAACTGCGTGACACGACGCGTTGCCGACGAGGTGACCGCGTACAAATAACGATCTCGCACGGCGGTGGTGGTGGCGACTGGTCGGTGCGAGGCGGTGCGGGTTCTTCACCGAGTAATCGGTCGCGCTTGCTTCTATCTCATCACTCGAGGGGACTTCCCGAGACCTTCCGGGGCAACCACGCGTGTTCGACGTTCACGGTGAAGTGCCTCGTCAGACTCGTAGCTAAGTATCGTTGCGCCTGCGATGTGCTTTCGCCGGCGAGAAAACGTCTTCCGCGATAGGAGAATGATTGGAATACGTACATTTGTAGCGCCCGCTTCGCATGTTTGATCTTCAAACGTTGGTCGCTCATTGTTGTGTAATTAGCTAAAGAAGAGACAATCCTCGTTTGAATTTCTTCTTGACTAGACTAGTCTTCACTGCCTTCCCGCCGGAATATCTTTTGTCATATGAACGAAGAGTAATTTTCTCCGGTTTTGTAAGGTCAATTTGGAAGAGAGGAAGGAATGTACGCAAAGAGAGTAAATTATAATATTTAGTTTAATATTCCTTAACTGTGAAGCACTAAACCTGTCAGGATTCAAAATGTATTTTAAATTTGGTGTTTATGATAATTTATGCGACGGACTTGCATATACGTAGAGACGAAATACTTGAAACGACGTGACTTTCACTTGAATGCAGTATGCACTTTTGTGTATAGCCTTGAGTTCGATACGAGCCTCTGGCGGGTTGGCGAAATTTTTAAGCAGTAACTCCGTTCCTGACATATGTGCCGCTCTCACTGTCGATTTCTCGCAAATCGGCGTTTCGCGCACGAAATGCTACGTCATCCAGCTTGGTGGGAGTCATTTAATGAATCAACGTAGTAGCTTGGCGCGCATCTGTGCGACTAATCTACAAGATATCAGACTACTACGTGTACGCGCGTGCAGATACGCGCGGCAGAGGGGAATTACCTCGGTGCCATGTAGTAGATAGAGTCGCCCTCGCGTAATCATGACTTCATATCTGCATAACACGCGCTCGGTCTTTATCTTCTATCGTGTGGGTTTAGCTGTGTCCGTGGCTTATCGCAGGAGAGAGCGACGATAAATTGATAACGACAACGTCGTCGTCGTCGTCGCGGTCATGAGGAAAAAATAATTAATCTGTTTTGCTTCTTTTTTATTCTTCTAAATAATAAACAGTGCATTTAGATGCAAATTGAAAACTATCTGTTGATTTAAAATGCCCGGAAATCCTGTCGAATAGTTGGCGAGCTTGATTCGATGCAAATTCGGAGAACGTGTCCAGACGCTTCATTTCGGGGTCCACTTGATATGACTTCCTTCGTTGGGGATGGAACGCGTACACCATTCACGACTAATCCAATATAGACATGATTGGGATGGCATAACTCGATTCTGAAACGAAATAGCTTCGTCGACTCGGACGTGCGAGCTAATTGCTGCCGTTTATATCGTTTATCGTACGGCTCTGCTGCTCTGTTCGCAGACGTCGGACGAGGGGTCTCGTTATTCCGAAAACTAATTATAGAATTATTACGTTTGGTCCATACCAGTTCAGAACCCGAAGATATCGTCCCTAGCTTACTTTACACTCTCAAGCGCATTTTGTGATATTCAAGTGAATATGTAATATTCAATTCTGTGTTGTTCAATTAATTCAAGTTTATGGTACTTTTAGTTTTCTTGCTCATTCTCTTTCTTTTGGGATATTCCAGGGGGAAGCTAACAAGGAAAATGACAAGATATCGAGATGAGTGATTCATCGAAAACAACCGAGATGGAGACGTATTCCGAGGAGAATTGTTTGAAGGTGTCTTCGCCAATGCAAAACGTGGCGCGGCAAGACTCGGGCGTACCGGAAGATCTCGCTTCGCCTATTAACGATGAGACACGGCCTCTCAACGAGGAGGATCCGGATCTCACGGTGAACAGCGAATGCAACATTACGGTCATCCACATCAGCGAAACGCAGGACAGCAAGAATAGCGAGAAGTCGCTGAACGAAAATAAAGATAGCAAGGATGGCAGCGACAGCGGTGTCGAGGGCTGCGCAACCGAAGCTTCAAGAGTGAGTTTCAATAATAGACGAGAAACGTGGAGAAAATGTTTATAGACGAACGACCATGTGCCGTCTTATTTTTAATATCCGAGCAGCTTTAAGTCGCATTTGTTAGATCTATAATTTCTAATATTTATATCGCTCGAAGCCACAATTTCTAATATTCAAAACCATATATTAGCCATATTCATACTCTCTGTAATCAAATGATAAGTTAAAAATTGTCAATTAAAGTCAGAGTTAAATGTGTAAAATAAAATAAAAGGGCTCTCAAGATATGCGATAAAAATGAAAAAATTGAAAGCAAGTGAAAACCAACATTTTTCGAGAGCGACATAACACTCAATAAGAAAAAGAAACAGTGTTTATTAATATATAACGAATGTTTCGATTCCACAATAGTTTGTACTTTCTTCGACGACAGGTAATAATTTCAAATTTAGATATAAATAACTAAATACAAGTTTAACATTGTTGTTTATCATCGAAGAGAGTTCAAACGATTGGCTCTTGCTGTCAATTTTTCGATTAGATTACGAACTCTGTTATATACAGGGTGCACGATTTATCTGAAGACATTGAAATATCTCGAGAACTATGCATTGGATAAAAAAAAGTGGTTAATGAAAGTTGTTAGTCTCGAAGGGGGACATCCAATGATACCAAACTCGACCTCCCACCCTACCCCCTGGGGGTGGGGGTTGGGGGCAACTTTGAAATCTTAAATGGAAACCCCCATTTTTTATTGCAGATACGGATTCTACGCCACAAAATACGTAAATTTTGTCCGAAACTTTTTTTTTTATTCGTGATAGATGGCGCTGTAATCGCAAAAAATTATATTTTCCGCAATTCTCCAGAAATGATCATTGGATTGAGAAATAAAAAATACCTGTTCAATATTTTTAAAGAACATAATAAAAGTTATTCCCCCCCCATCCTCTCGGGGTAGGGTGGGTGGTAACGTTCAAATCTCAAATGGGAACCCGAATCGAAGAGGGAACTGCTCGACGCGTCACTGTGGGTGTATGGCGAACTACGGCTTATTATAAAAGGCAGTGCAATGCTATCTATCACGAATAAAAAAAATTGTTTCAATAAAAATTTCATGTACAATCTAATTCTGCAATGAAAAATGTGGGTCCCCATTTGAGATTTGAACGTTATCACCCATCCTACTCCGAGGATGGGGGGGGAATAACTTTTATTATGTTCTTTAAAAATATTGAACAGGTATTTTTTATTTCTCAATCCAATGATCATTTCTGGAGAATTGCGGAAAATATAATTTTTTGCGATTACAGCGCCATCTATCACGAATCAAAAAAAAAAGTTTCGGACAAAATTTACATATTTTGTGGCGTAGAATCCGTATCTGCAATAAAAAATGGGGGTTTCCATTTAAGATTTCAAAGTTGCCCCCAACCCCCACTCCCAGGGGGTAAGGTGGGAGGTCGAGTTTGGTATCATTGGATGTCCCCCTTCGAGACTAACAACTTTCATTAACCACTTTTTTTTATCCAATGCATAGTTCTCGAGATATTTCAATGTCTTCGGATAAATCGTGCACCCTGTATACTGATCCTCCTGAACATTCAGCAATATAGTTCGAAACTGAACTTTTGTTATTCACCCCTTAGAGTTTGCAGAAATATATAAAATTAGACACCTCGGCTTATCGAGTCGCTCATATCGCACACACATTTTGCATATGAATAGGTAATATAAATAGTTGTTTATGCGAAACTCGCAGGTACGTAGGAACAGCGTCGATTACGGGAGCAGTTGCGGCGGGCTTGACGAGGCGTCGTGCGACTCCAGCCTCGTCAGTTGCTGTTCTGTGTATGAGGACCCCTGCGCTACGTTGCCGGACGACGTTCGGCTCGGTACTACCGGCGGCGAAGGCACCAGCGAAGGTGGCAGCGAGAGTTCATCCATCGCCGGTAGCGTGTCTGTACGCACGAGTCGCATGAACGTGAAGAGGGCTACGACGGTTTCCAGCGCGGCGAAGAAGAAAACAGCAGGTGTTGAATCACAGAAGCCCATCCGCGCGAAACCGATTACGACGACCTCGAGCACGAGCTTGAACACAGCGACGCCTCGGTCCAAATCGCGAACGGCCACACCGAGGAACATCCTGGCCAAGACTCCGAGCGCGAGCAGGGAGAGGGGAGAGCGGGATCGGGCACGATCGAGGGAGAAGTCTAGCGCCAGGGAGTCGAGCTCCTCCCTGATCACGGAAGTCGCTAAGACCTCCATTGCTAGTCGTGCTATGCCGGCGTACGGTTGCCGCTCCAGCACCGGTGCCGCTTCCTCCAATACTGTGTCCACCTCCACCTCGTCCTTCACGAGAACGAGGACGAGAGCGTTGCCCGATTCATTGCCGTCCGTGTTGACCACGGAGATCAACAAGGATCTCGCCCAACGCAGCGGCGTGGGCGCGGTGAGAGCAGTCGCCAGGAGCGACTCGAGATCTAGGACCGCGTCCAGCACGCGAGGATCGCGCACGCCAGCCTCCACACCGTCCGAAGACACGAGGTCGAAAATACCGTCCTTATCGAGCGCTCGCGTACTTTACTCCACGCGCACCGATACCGTCATCGCGAAAAGCATGCGTGCGGACAAAGCGGCCGTGACGAACAGCGGTCAAGACAACAAGGCGCTGGACACGTACGCGACGTTACCGCGTAGAAATAGAAATAAGCTCGCGATTTCGAAGAACCCCGGCGAGAAGATGGACGGCAACGGTAAGACAACGAGAAGCAGACCTGGCAGTCGAGACGCCAGTCTCAGCAGAGCCGTTGAGAAGAGAATCGCCGGCGCGAAGGAGTTGTCCGTTGGTCACAAGAGTTTACCTCCGTACCCCAGGCACAGGACGGCCGAGAGGACTCGCATTTACCATGAGACCAGCGCGCAGACCGGTTTGACCGGGCAGGACATCGAAAATGCGATGTCCGGGCAGCCGAGTGCGGTGGCCGGGCCCGAAGTCATTGAGAGGCTGCACAAAAGTTGTCAGACGGAGGATGCGTGGGATGATATGTGTGATAACTTGAAACGGCTGAGCGAGGAGAATGACGTGCGGAAGGAGGAGAATGAGAAACTGAAGCTCGAGCTGGTCGAAGTGAATCGCCTGTTGGAGGAGGAACGAGCCGATCATGCGTTCGCGCGGCAGGAGCTTGATAGAAATGCACAGCGAGTGTTGGCTATGTTGGGCACGCCGCAATCGGAACAAGCAGGTAATCAGGAGACACGACAACGCCTTGAGTATAGACTTATATATATATATATAGGCTGAACGCTCCATGAGAGGCTGTGAAGACTATACCTGAAAAGGATCGCTTGTACCGCAGACATATTCGACATCTTTGTCTAGCTGGACAAAGATTTGTGGACAGTGGAAGAGGAATACAGCTGTCTTTTATATTTTTAAATTCTTCTTATAAGAAGGCATAGCCTGTATATATAAGTTTATGATTTTGAGTTTGAAAGAATATGAACAATGTGTTTGCTGTGAAAATTGTCGGCACATCGGCTGAATTTATTGAACTTTAATTTATTGGTTGTTAATTTCGGCTTTGACAGGTTGAAAATTGCATTTCTTGTCGATTTGTTTCCGACATTTTGTAAATATTTCTGTTCGCTTCATCACGCAAAAAAGAAAGAAGCCTTCTCTATTGTTATCGTATTATTTTACATCGTGAGAGTTTTAAATATCTTGAAAATAAGTGAAAGGTTAATAAAAGCCTCAATTTTAGGCTCTTCTTTCTATGATTGTTTATTATGAGAGAATCTCTTTATTTTTATATTATTTCTCAGATATCAACTTGACACACTGTTCATTAAAATTTCTTTTCAGACGGCAGCGACAGTTTCCTCGAGCTGGAGTGTCACATACAATCGTCGGGACAAGTAGTCGCTAATCAGCTAATCGAGATAGCTGATTTACAATCGCTCTGCCGCATGTTGAACAGGGTAAGAATACGTACGCGTTCTCGATTAGAATACGAGAGTTGTCGAAGTATAACAGGAACTAATAGTTTTTACGACGCTTTTGTTCTAGGATCTGGACAAGAGCTTAGCCGCGCAAAAGGCTTTACTACAACAGCAGCAAGAATTAGAGGCCGAGTCAGCGGAAATGCAAGATTTTCTTCAAGAGGAGAAGGCTACCTTGGCGGACGCGCTTAAAGACGCTGAATTGGAGGTATATTTCTTCTAATTTTATTTCCCAGCAGTACGATTTTTATCGTCCTTCTCGTACGTACTCATCCGTTTTTCTCAGCTTAAGAAGAAAGAGGAGTCTTTGATACAACGAGAGGCGGAATTGGAAAGGCAAACGGAAGAATGTAAACATTTAGTACGAATTAGCGAACAGAGAAGGTGTGTGCTCCGTAAATACCGTTATAAGATGGCTGAAGCAAATTTGTTTCTTACGACCATACACTTTTATCTCGCTTGCAGACAAGAGAATCTATCTATGAGCATGAAACTGAACGCCGTCGAACGACGAAGCAGGGAACTTTTGCTCACTCAAGGTGCTGCCATGTCCGGCGCGGCTGTTGCCCTCTCCGGGCTTGGTACCAGATTAGAGGGATTAGTAGATCAATTAATTGCTTCTTATAACATTTCAGGAAAAGATCTTGAGGTGAGTAGATTAGTAAAGTTTTCCTAGTAGTGCAAAATACCTCGCGATATACTTAGCTGAAGTAATATAAGCAACTCTCTCATAGAAGCTAATACCTTTTAATATAATGAATGGAAATTATAAATAGAACACGCGGAGAGACGATGATAATAGACAACAGATTGATGGTTAATTTCCTAATATGCAATTATTTTCTCTGACGTTAAATTTATTGATAATTAAAGAAGGCAAATGTACTTTTGCATTCTTTTTCCTGGAATTATTGTTGAATGCATCGAAATTCTTTCTTCAAAGGACGTCATATATCATAATGAAGCGTACAGCAGAAGTAACAGTAGCGTCGAGTCTAGTCCTGTTAGCTCTAAGCAAAGTTTGAAGGAATGCACACCAAGTCCAAAGAGTGGATCTTTCGTTTCCGCTGTGATCGGCGCGATTCGCAACGCTGCGACGCATCCTTTCGCAGCTAGGAATATTGACAAGAAATCCAATCTGGATTCGTCCAAACAGATCTACAAAGGTAACGGAATGCATCGCCAGGGAGTTTGTAACTCAGCCACGATTATACGCAGATGTTTTTAAACATATTTTCTGCTTCTTTTTTGCGTAGAATTAAGCATGGAATCATCATCCGATTTGTTGGACTTTGAGACTGAGCCCTGCCTGATGATGGAAAGCGTTTTGGAAGATGTACCCTTACCCGACACGTACTCGCACAACATGGTATCGAGTAGCGATTCTCTGCGCAGAGCGTTGAGCTTTCCCGAAACAGTGGACGAGCATAACATGAGGAAGTCAAAGATCAGTGACGAGTGCACTAGTCTCACAAATCTCACTCAGGCGATCTTGCATCGTCGTAAAGCAAGTACCTCGAGTCTAATTGAATTCACGGTATGAGAAAAGCGTCGGTTAATAAATGTTGTATAACTCTCAGGTGGAAGACGAGGGTGACGAGGATTGCGATTCTGTGAGCGAATCCGATACCGGTACCAACGATGGTCCTGCTCCTATGACAGATTATTGTCCGCCTGTGGGTCTCGTTGATCAAGTGATTGACGTAGATAATCTCGTGACGAAGCTCTTGAAAGTTCTACGAATCATACAACTGGATAATGATACGTGTATACAGGAATTGAAAGAAGAAAGGTAAATTTATATCATTGTGGATCAAGCCTCGAGTGGATATCGCAACATTATAGAGACCAGATCTAATTAATTGTAACACCACCATTAACAGGTCCAACTTAGAGTCGAAACTAGAAGCGACTGTGACGGAACTGAACGAACTGCGCAAGATTATCGATAATCTTCATCAATCGTCGGAGGAAGTGTTGAACAACGCGTCCGATCGACGGCGTAGCGTCGTGGAGAATTGTCGCATTCTGATCAAAGAGGTAATTGCTGGCGATGTCGCCGATACATTTATATAAAGCGTTGCTTCCACGCTACTGCCATATCTTTGACAAATTATTGTCTCTGTTGGAAAAAGAATATCAAATGGATAATAATTCCTCTGTAGGCGGGTAAGGAGGAATTAAAGTTTGACGAGGCCGTGGTTACTATTAATAGCAGTCCCGACGAAGTAGACTGATCTCAATGCGAATGAAGCAGCCCGCTTATTGTCTTAATACCTTATTAGTTTACTCATTATTTTCCTAGGTATTATAAACAATTTCGACTTTAGAAAATGGCCATGTCAATTTCAATAGGCTGAATTATTACATTATCCAGTAAACAAAAAACATTAGACTAACATCTTAAAGTGTTAATTTTATGTGTGTCTTTTGAAAATTTTTTCACTTAATATTTAAAAAACATTTTAAAAGCTATTGGATAATATGACCGAACATTGTAAATTGTAAATTTTCCTTCGGAAATTGTAAAAATGTTTTATAAATATTGAAGTGTCGAAGCTATTCGCCATAATGTTGATACAAACTACGTTTTAAGAAACTACGTTTTAAGAAACATTATACATTATTGAATATCATTAAATTAACGTTCTATCAATGATTTTTGCTCACTGGGTAAGCATGTAACGAGTGATCATCCATTATTAGTCGTGAAAATATTGTGCTGAAGTATTTAATATTGTCGCGTCAAGATCTATTTTTCCTATATATATATATTGAATCTCCTCTTGTTTCAATTTTAATTGTATGCATTTTTTCACACGTAATGGTATTTATAGTGATAATAATCGTTTATATCATTCATTTCTTGGATAGAGAGATGCATGTACATAATATTGTATGGAATCAAAAAATATTCAAATCAAATTTGAATGGATGCAACTCATCATTATTTTTAAAATAATTGTACATTCATAAGTAATTGTTTAAAGAATAAATAATATTAGTTGAAATCACACTCAGCTGTGACTAATTATGTAGCATAGGAAGAAGATACGTTTCTGATTTTACTGATTTTACTGATTTTGGATTTTATATTCCCATTGACTATAAAAAGTATATTTTGAACGTATATGCGATTAGCAGCTACGTAACATTTCCATGAAATTAATATAGACTCATGAATAAAATACAAGTACAGAGTACATTTACTTTTCTCATGGCGCGATAAACAGGGTATCCTACTTTTACGAGTGATGATATTAGCATTTAATAAAGAAATTGATGGACTCGCAGTACCATCGTTTAAAATGAATTCATCAGAAATCGAAATCAAATATCTTTCATCACATCTTCATTCGATTATGTAAGACTTCTGTATTGATGTAATCACTGTGTGAGGAATTCAAGAGGAGATAATATAAAGCGAAGTATTTTGTAATAAATCATAGATATACAATTGAACATATACTTGCAAAATGCTTCTTAGTAAACGAAGACTAGAGAATATTCGAGAAACGATTATTCTCTTGTATATAGACTCTCTTCTTCTGTTATTTAAAGATGTGTATATATTAAAGTTTGTAGGAACTATATGCGTTTTATGATGATACGTTCCAAAAAAGTCTTCTACTATAGATTACTCAGTGAAATTAAAGTTGACACATATATTGTAAACGTTTGAACAAGATTTTTCATCAAAGCGCAAGATTGTAAAGACAGAGAGAAGGGAGGGGGAGAAAGGAAGAGAGAGACGCAGAGTACATAATATAGCTCTAAGCATTTCCATGTCGCAGAAACACATTGTGATGTCAATACATACATCAAAAGAGAAAGAAAGAACAAAAAGAGAAAGAGACACATATGTATTTTAATGTTTAATGAAATAAATTTTCATATCGATATAAATATGTCATAATGTATATAATTGTATAGATTGTATACGTGATTCTACACGTAATTAAAGCGGTATCATATAGGTGGACATGCGGAAGCTACTACGATTATCGATGCGAAAACATTCCACCGGTACATATCCGTGCTGTTTACAAGCGGATGAACATAATAATCGTATATGCCGCATCGTGCGTCATTACACCGAGACAGAAATATGAACGACGAAGTCGACGTATATCGCATCCAGCATGTTGCCTCGTTTTGCGCTGAAGAACTACATGTAATACGTCCGTCTTTCGACCGTGGCTTTTCATATTTCAAATATCGTTGTAAACTGCGAAGGAAGCAATTTCGCCAAAGATCTGTTCTTTTTAAACGTACTAATGTTGCACCGGAACGTCGTTTCCTCCTCCTTTCATGCTTGATTATATTTCAATGTGAAGGAAGAAAGTGCAAGTTAGCCCAACCAAAAAAAGAATAGACCTTAAGAGAGATTTAGGAATATCGGTGTATCTCTTTGTCCTTCACGCTGGATAATTATATTGTGGCTTGATATTAAGTCGACGTCGTCGACCATATACGTTATATTATACGAGTACTCGTCCACTATCCCTGTAGATGCAGATATCTCACCCCTGTGAATATGATTTCATTTTAAGTCTCTCTCCTTCAGATGATGATAATCACTCAGATAATGTAACCAGAGGATGAAACTTACTGTTTGCTTAATAAGGCCCGTACATGAAACACTATGCATAATGGAGTCGAGGGACTTGGAATATCGTCTCAGTGCACGCTCGCGCTATGATTGGGATGTAAGCGACGTAGGAAGGGTGCCAATAGATGCGCCACTCGCAAGGGTGATCTGTAATGAAAAGACCGTGCAGAGTTACACATTATAAGAACCGCCTATCCGACTTATTACTAGTCTTAAAAATCTACAGTGTACATGATATGAGCTACAAATTTTCATTACCATCAATGAATATTGAAACGCAGACAAAATCGTCACGAGCTCTCCTAAAGTGAATCACAGTGAAGATGTTCCTGATTGAATGAGCAAATTTAGGAAGAGAAAGAGAGGATAGCGCGGCAAAACTGAGATCGTGTACACTACGTTTTAAAACAATTTAAACGCTCGTTTTCGAATGCAATTCATGACACAGTAGGTATTCAACATGAGAACCGAGTCTGCGAGAGAATTTCTCAGAAACGAGTTCTCTCAGTAAACCGTGTTCTGATATACATAAAAAAGAGTTCAGACCATTTTGAAAGCCAACGTATATACGCTCTTACCTGTGTATCGTTTTCGAGTTAGCTGGCTCAGTTTTATTTTGGAGATCGGCATTGGGCTTCTCACTATCCAACTGAGCTACGGCCAGTTGAGCTGCATCCAGTTGAGCTAGACCTACCTTCAGCGGAGCGGGCCCATCGTGCTCGGATGTCGGCGAATTGGATGCAGTGGTGCCGGCGGCGGTGGCACCGGCCAGCAGCAATGCCTCGACTGGCGCGAACACCAGCACTACGCCGTCCACGTGGATGCGGTAGTTCTCACTGCCGTTTTGCCGCTGGTCGTAGTAATTGGTGTCTAACTGCGTAGACAACAGCGGCGCGGCCGTGGTCGCTTCCGTCGTGGACGGGACGACAGTCGGAGGGACCGCTGACTCGGTCGTCGACTTGCCGCCGACCGGCAGACAATGGACACTCGCGCCGAGGTACGCGATCAGCAGCACAGTCTTGAATATGCGCATGTTGATTGATAACATTGGATAAGTGGCTACTCGCACGTGTCGAGTCGTTCTTGCCACACTCGACCTTTCCTCTCTTCCTCTCGCAAGCTCCCGTCAAGTTACCTTGACTACCTTGACTACTCGACTCCGATCACAAACTCGACGAGTGGCCTCCAACTCGAGTTACCTTCTGCCCGATGTTAATTGTCACCTCGTCTTCCCGTGTTCTCGAAAACCCTCGACGATATCCTCTACTGACTCGACGGCCACAAACTCGCAAAGCTGCCGATCCTGCTCGACATTAAGCGTAAACCCGATGACCACTACGTGCGATTACTCTTGAATGGGCTGCAGTGCGAGGACACGACTAGACAGTGCCAACGGCTGATGGAGACGAGCGAGCGAAACGAGCGACGGTAAAGAACGTGTACGTGAGGACGAGACGGACGTGTCCGGACGACACGAAGGATGCCCGAGGTGTGACGACCGGGCAGTGTCTCGTACCAGCAGACGATTCCGATCCCCACCTGGGCGATCCGAACCTGAGAGCGGCTTGTGCCTTCGGTCTCTCGGTTCTGGAAACGGATCCCCGGAAAAGTTCAAGAACCTCGGCCAGCAGGCTGATGACGGAGGCCTCACCGCTAACGGCGTATATCGCGCGGCGCGTCGTCATTCTGATACGCTGTAAAATCCTTGTAATTCCGTACGAGCTTTAGGGGTTGTTGTATCCGCTCGGCCGGAGCGATTAGACTTCGGCTTCTCCGTCTTTTATCGGTGAACGCTCGTAAATCCGACCATATATACTTAAAAGGACACTGAACGCTCCCCCGATACCAAGTTCTTCGGCAAGAGTTCATCGCCCTTCTTCTCTTTTCATTTCTTTTTTCTATAGCTTCTTATTTTTCAATATCATATCGAATGCCTATTCACCGGGACACTTCGGTGTGGTTGAGTACCGAATTGAAACTTTGGTATCGAACGGATAATGTGGGACTTTTCTGTTACAGATCGCAGTAACTCATAAGCCGAAGGAAAACTATTGATCTCGCTATTGACAGCTGTTGACATTTCTCCTCCACTCGACCTCCGTAACTTCCTGGCGAGCTCCATAGATCTCCGCGAAGAACAATTTGCGTGTATTTGCAGAGTACAACGTCCGTGCCGTATCGAAGACGTCCGAAACGCGTCCACGATCGCCTATCGAAGAGGCGAGAACGAACCTCTCGCAGTAACGAGTTCGCGGATAAGTGGCGGGCAACAAGAGGAAGCTCGCGAAGATTGTAACGCGGAACTGTCAAGGCTGACTTCTGATCGTCGTCAACGAGGTATCAATGGCACGTTCACGTGTCTTCCACGGCGGTAACCAGTTCTATGAAAAAAGAAGAAGAAGAAGAAGAAGAAGGCGAAGAGAGGAAGAGGAGGAGAAGTGAAGAAAAGGACGCGATGACGCCGAAGACAGTATGTTGTGCACGTGTGTCCGATAGTTGTTACACTCCATGTGCGAGCATCGTGTATACAGACGCGTCCGCAGACGTGTGTACACATTTGTAGTAAGCGATCTGTAAAGGGCAATGTCCTATCGTGGCCGCGGCGAGTTCGTTTCCCCGATCTGCCGCCCGGCGCCTATTACCGTAACCTTGCCCTTGCTCTCTCTCTCTCTCTCTTTCCCTCCCTCCCTCCCCCTCTCTGTCTGCCCCCTCTCTCTTCCTCTTTTTCTTTCTGCCGCGTGCGCTTCCGCCACGCCATCGGCAACACCGTCACACCAGCGCAGAAAGCACCTTTGGAAACGACCTTCGCTTCCGGGGATTCCCAGGAGCCCATACCATGCGCCTTATATGGCTATCCGTCTCTGACCGGACCGGGCCTACGCTTTGAGGACTCTCAGGATATAGAGACCGATAGCAGCAGATCTTCCGACGTACACGCTATTTTTGTACCACGGACCAAGAGGTACCAAGAGTACGCAGAAAGGAAAAGAAGAAAGAGAAAAAAACGCGAAGAGAAAGAGAGAGAGAGAGAGAGGAAGAGAGAGAGAGGAAGAGAGAGAGAGGGAGAAAAAGAGAGATAAGAAAAGATACGGTGATTCCACGGAATTTTTGCGATTCTCTCGTCGTGGAGATTTGGTGGTCGCGCACGGTTGGAGGGACCAGGATGCGGATATACGTACAATCGATCGAACATCGAACATGCAATGAAACATGCAGACTGAGTCGGGAAAAGATCGAGAGCTGCTTTGTGCGCAAACTCGTTTAAAATACGCAACGCTATTGTCATTTAATGCATTTTATTCAACGATGAGACAATCTGGCCGCTGATGTGTTAGTTACTGCGGATACGCCGATTGATACAATACTGAAACCATCCCCGCGCATTCGCAGCATTTCCTTCGCGAGTTTACAACATTCGTCGCTAGATGAGGAAGGAACGTGAGATACAATAAGTTATACACCGAGGGCTTAAGAATCACACGACGAGAACATCGGCTTCGACGATCAATGGCGGAGGTGAGTATAGGTCTACGAAAGAGGATCATCGGATTTGTCGAATCCGCATACGCCGGTCGCGTCACGGCGCCTTCCTGGACCGCAGTTCTCGACACCATCGCCCAACAGCCTCAGCTCCTGCTGCTTCTCGCCGGCGAGCGTCGTGTCGTTCTTATTGCTAGTCGCCAAAGGCGCTGCGTCCTCCTCGTCGAGGCCTCTTCGCGACAGCTGCTTCTTCATCAATGTGCCCGGACGACCGGGCTCCACGTCGGGGTTCCAAACGTTCCCGATTACGTTTCGGGCTCGACCACCGCCCTCCATCTTGGAGCCGAGAGTTCGTATGTCCACGAGGTACCCCAGAATCACCGGCATCTGCTGGCTCTTGATCAACTCGAAGCCTTTGGTGCTCTTGGCTGTTCTTATGGCGCCTTCAGCTTTTTCTTCTCGCGTTTCCTCGCCGGTCGTTGCTTGCTGTTGCTGACTTGAAGCGTCCGATGGTTCCGCGTTCTTCTCCTTCGCATCGTGCAATGATTCTTTCTTGGCTGGACGATCTTCATTTGCCTGCACAGTTGTGCTGGTACTAGTGATGTAAACCTCTTCACCGCGAAGCTCATCGTTGGACTCCTCGAATGTGTCCTCCGACTCGTGAGCCTTGGACGAAGATGGTGGGATGACTCTACCGGGTGAGCCCAGGTGGTGCTTGAGTTCCAGCGCCTGCAATGCGAGCTCGCTGAGGAAATCGTTGTTGCCAGGCACGGCCACGACGAAGAGGAGATTCTCCAGCTGAGCGTGCACGTTGAACTCGCCTTGTTGTCGTTGGTCGTATCTTCTCGGTGCTGCGCTGATCCCGGCGAGGAATGTCAGGAACGTCGCGCTGAGAAAGAACAACACACGGACCATCGCCATCGTCGTGGTGGTGCACGCCGCTGGTAGCAGTATACGGTTAGTCACGGTCGCGTCGTGCGTGTAATGCGTCACGTTGCTCTCGCGCCCTGTCGACAGCTCACTCCCAGATGCTTCTCTTCGGCAACGTGAGCCGAACGAAGTCTTTTCCGCAACTGCGACGATCGCGCGGACGGGGTAGCGGTTCGCCCGATCGCCGTCGCGGCCGTCGTGCGGGGTCGCCGCGACCGGTACCACCACGGATCTGATGGTCCATCTCGATTGGGTTGCAGAACGTTGCCACGGTGATTGAAGTTGATCGCTCGTAACTCGTTATGTGAGCCGAAACATGGCCGCGAGGGTGCCGCCTGGTCACTTCGTCATTGAACGCTGTTCCGTAGACACTTGTCCCTCTGGCATTTCGTCGTCCATCACGCTTCTTCATGATATTTGATCATTTACGAGCACTTCGGGTAGTTCATACCTTTTGTCGTTCGCGACGATATTTTCTCTTCATTATATTTCACTGTTTACATTTATGTTTTCGCTCGTCATGCTTCTCAGTTTAAATTGAACTTTCGTTTATGCTTGTCTGTAAAGGACATGTTAAACACCAACTCGGAAACTAGATCGAATATATTTAATACTTCAAATTCATGTTTTATTGTTGTGAGAGATAAAAACGATGGAAATCGTTTTTATCTCTCTCTCTCTCTCTCTCTCTTTTTGCTTTTCTTTTAATATGTAATGTTTATATAAATTGTATATTGATGTAATGTGGCAATTTTTATTTGCGTTGTGCGATTGTCTTCACAGTTGTTTTAATACATCTATTTTTTAGCTTCAAGTTGTTGATTTAATGTCAATTTGTTAATTTTTAATAAAGAAGACGATTTATGATTGATGCTTGATTAAGTTTCCGGCTGGTGCTTGATAAATTATCACGCACGGAACAAAAGGGAGTCGAGAGCTGAAGAGGAAAAAATTGGAAATTGACGGAAAAACTTTCGAGAAACAAACTAAACATCCGTGCAGATGAAAATGCGAATTTCTCTGATATGACTACGATATAACAGCGCTTAATTTCATCCTATACTTCTTCGCGAGACTTTGAAAAAGGATGTTTAGAGGAAAGGACTTGATGGTCGCGTGTACTCACGGCAACGACAGCCATCGTCGATTTGTTCGTCGACAACGCCCATTGCCGATCGGGATGTATCCGGACTTGCAGCGTTTTTTAGAACGCAGTGTTTGTACAGGTTTCAGTGTGATCGGCGCTGTTGAAGATGCTAATATTGAAGATACCCGAATATCGACTGACACGGGTCTGTTTTCCCCGCTCGACTGATTTTCATAGTCTATATTCAACGTCGAGTTCACGGTACCGTTCGATGGATCAATGTCCGGCGTTACCTCGTCGATCGAATTTGTGGAATTAACGGGAGACCCCGAGGCTGTCGAATTTTGCAAGAAAGCAGGCTCCACCATCTGTGTGACGTCGTTCTTCTCGGTGGAACTCGATGTGGGTTTGTTGCTCGGCTTCACAGTGAAGTCGGCGTAGTCGTAGAAGTAATCGTAATCCTGCGAAGACAATGCGACGAAGATGTTACGAATATCGCTACGACATTCCTTAGGAATGAAAATAAGTATATTAAAGATTCACAGAAATAGGTGAAAAAGATACGGCGAAAGAATGTCAAAAAGAAAACTCCGATCGTTGCAGACATCCGCTGCCTGGCTGTAGTCAAATTGAATTATGGCGTTAGGAGCGGAATTATTTTGTGAATTCTTTCCTTCCACTGTGTGTAAAAATAAATTAATCTTTCGCATGGCCTCATTCGCATTCGATAACTGTAGATTGATAAAATATACCGGACATCATCTTCTTGATTGCCGAGAAAATTTACATTTCTCGCTTCTGACGTCATAATTCGGTAAGGATACAATCAAAAGCCAATCAGGAGCCTTCTTAAATGATGAGACAATGAATTAATTAAACGAACTTCATACATTATGCATTCAATTATAACGGATCAGACGCAGTTTGATCTGCAAGATCTAAAGTCGTCCTTAGAAATTATTACATAATCCTGACCGCAATATTATTATTTCATACTTCATTTGTGTTCATGCGCTTAAGATCGGAATGCAACAGCATTGCTATTAGCAACAGATAAGCTTGTAACTTGTAAGACGGGCTTTAAATGTGAGGTGTCACATCATCTAAAGCGCACATTACAAGTTCACCGGGCTCTTTCCACTCTTGCTGCAAATTCGCCCGACACAAACAAATGTGCGAAATGAAATAAAAAAGCAACGGTATCACGATGATGTCGATAATCTTTGATCCGGAAGGACTAGTTTACCGTGTAATCCTCGAGGATCTCGGAGTTCAACAGCGTGACGACGTGTACGTTCTTCAAATTCACCTGCACGTTCAGATCGCCGGTCTGCCTCTGATCGTAAACGGCCGGCGTGGCAGACAACGGGCTCGCGATAACGAAGTTGCAGAGAGCGAGCATGATCGTTGTCATCGTCGGCGTTATCGTTCTCGTCATCGTCGTTCAGTGGGATCAATCTTCTCGAATAACGAGCGTGAAAAATGCACGACCGGGCCCGAGGAAACTCCGGGGTCTTGAGGAAGCTCTTGACTGCGGGCCGCCAGAGGCGGCGCGAGGATCTATCCGACGTCGTCGAACGGAGTCGCCAGCTCGGACGTAATCGTTGGCATTCGCGTGGACAAACCGGTATACGACAGCTCACAGACATTTTCGTGTCTTCGACACTCTACCACCTTTTAGCCTTCGGATCAGCCGAGTACGATGCCCGGACGTTGCCCTCTCTCGCACATTCTACCTTGACAGCCGACCGTCGTCGACGTAGACGTATATGTACGTGTACGCGTACACGCATGTACGCCGCGTGCACGCGATCGGATTTAATCGCAGTTGGATTTAGTTTGGAGATGGAATAACTGAAACATTTGCATGGAATTCATATCGTCGTACGTCATTTTTTTGTCGATGTTTAATTATGAAATATATAATAGATTTACCTGAGAGAAACATTCGCCGTTCCGAAGCGCATGGAATAGAAATGTCGTTTTGTCGGATCACTCTAGTGATAAAATATCTGAAAAGTTTAAGTGGAATTTACATCGTAGCACATTTACTTGTTGTCATTAAGAAATTTATAATGAGTTTTATAATAATCCGATAAAAATATTCGGCAGTAAAAATATATGATATGAAAATACCAATCTGTATAAATATGAACATAAATTTGAGTAGGATTTACATCGCTGTATATTTATCAGTTGTACAATTATTGATCATAAAACATATAACAGATTCTATGATCAATCGATGAAAATATTGAAAAGAGACATTTTATCTTTAATTTCATTCTACAGAGTGATATTTCCGTATACTTTAAAACGCTGAATATTTAAATAGATCGTTGCAATATATATTGAAGATTTAATAATTATAATCTATATAAGACAAAGAATTGTGGAAAGAGAGAGACGACAAATTCCACACAACTTGGAATGTGTCTTTTCCGACAAGAAAATGTTTAAAAAGCCATCGAGATCGTAGAAATATTTTTTTTGAGGATAATAAAAATGTTCTAGCTTTATTAGCTCTTTATGCATAAAATTCTCCCGCGAGGAGAACAATACTAAAAGATATGCTTCATGGTATATTTTTCAATAAACTTATTTATATATTTATCGGTATAGTCTCATAATTATATATATAAAACTCACTGAACATTCTTCCATAAATATCCTCTTCATTCATCAAATAAAGCAGCAGTATATATGTAATGTTACTGTCAGAATTTTAATAGCAATACGCCATATTGTATATCGCATGTGTTCGATATTTAAAATTGTGTAAGTCGATAAATAGTTTATTTGAAGAATAGAAGCTATATTCATATCGCTTATATTTTCTACACTTTCTATGACCTTTTTCCGACAAGGGAGATACTACGTTATACAAAACTATTTTATTGGTTACATATTTTAGACAAATTTTTAAAAGATCTTTGATAGTATATAATCAATAAAATAGCTTTGTGTAACTCAATGTTCTCTTGCTGGAAAACTATATACTATATACTCCCTATATATACTATATACTCACTATATACTCCCTATTTTTCTTCTCTTTCTCTTCTGTCACAATAAAACAAGTCTTTTCGAGTGCAGAAGAATTCATATCTCGTGAACAACTCGCAATCGTTCGAGGTCTCGCTATCGAATATAGTATCGAGATGTGATCAAATCGAATCTCTAAATACAAACGATTCGGATCGCCAGCAGTGCTGCGATTCTGTAACTCGTTATTGGAGTTAACGACACTTTCGTTATCGTTACGCAGCTTTTGTATACCGTAGAAAAGCTGCGCAACAATAACGAAACTGTCGTTAACTCCAATAACGAGTTACAGAATCGCACCATAGAGGGTATGTTTGAAAATAGCTGTGGCTGCCAGTAAAGATAAAGAGTCTGTTCTTTATAGCTGCACTGCTGAACTAGTGCAATAAGTTAAAATGAGACAATTATATTTTTTCTCATTCTAACTTATTGCACTAGTTCAGCAGTGCAGTTATAAAGAACAGACCAAAAGTTGGCACTAACCACTGACACCGACAAGACACTAATAAAGACCGTTGGTCTTCGGGGTCATTATATCTCTTTTATTGACTTTATTGCAATAGGATTTTGCAATTCGTTAACGATAACGACACTGGCTGTGTTCCAAAATTCACTGCCAGTACTGAAAATACATAGTTTGTCACATATATTATAGGTTTTCAGTGCTGGCAGTGAATATTGGAACGCAACCACTGTCGCAAGTATGATATATAGAAAATAAACGCAACAACACATCATGCTAGTGACATTGTCGTTAAAAAGTTACAGCCCCGCTATCCCGCCTATGGGATAAACGAAACACATCTGTAATTTCCATTGCTGCCAACTTTATCTTTACTGGCAGCAGCCGCAACTATTTTCAAACACACTCGGAAAGTGGCAAGTTACTACACCTGCACCGGATTGTCGTAATCGGCGATACAAACAATAATAATCTGTCACTTGATCGAGCCTGTGTAATGACGCCACTGTGAAGTGTCGTGTGTTGCATACGCGCGTAACCGGGGTGTAAATTGACGTCAGGATCAACGAAGTTTAGAGGTGTCAGCCAGGTTGATCTCGATCGCGCATCATAGTCTGACATTTACCAAAAACTGATGTGTTCCATTCATCTTCCGTGGGATACGCATGTAACTATACGGCCGTTATTTACCTTGGTGATCCTTCCTACATCGGCGACTCTTATCATGTTACGCGCTGACACGAACGATGCTCCAATTTCTTAAGAAGATTGGTAATTATGTTCTCGTTGCTCTCGCCACTGTGAACGAGATCGCAAAAGAGAGAGAGTCTCTTCAATTTGACGCGTATAACCTCGTCCCCAAACAAGTGACCCTTTGACATTTAAGACGCGACGCGGCAACTTTTACTCGCGCGTTTACATTCGAAAGCAAAGTCGGTATCATACAAATCAGTATACAAAAAGTATCGTACAAATTTGTCGTATTAAAGGAAAGTAATTGCAACGATCTTTCTTTGCGCACTTTGGCGATCTATCTCACTTGTATGGATATCTGTTCCTTATGACATTACTCTTTAGTTTTTAATTCTTTTCATAACAAAATTGTATTTGGTGTTTTTAGGACAGAGGGATAAGTCCGGATTGTTAGAAAGCTCACCCACAAGATCGACAAGTTCAGGAAATCTTGCACTAGATGCATTCAATGGCTACACATCCATTCCAACATCGTTGGGTATATTGTGCAATCTCGAGGAAGAAGCAGAGGAAGAAATTTTCAATAATGACATCAAGGAAGCATATTCCTTTAGCTCTCGTTTGTCTAAAGCTCTCCCAGAAGTACTTACGGACAAGAGTGCCCTTGGTTACTTCATTCAATTCATGGACACTAGGAAACACGTAGCTCTCATAAAATTCTGGTTAGAGGTAGAATGCTTGTGCAGCGCATCTGGTATGCCCAATTGTACAGAAAGAACCAAATGTTCGAATCAAAAGGAATTATTAGATGCTTTACCTACTTCTTTAGATAATAATGAGAATCTCAGTTGCAATATACTCTCTAATGATGTAGATATTCAAACAAGCAGCGAAATACCATGTGATGAGAATGTGAATAGCGATAGTATAACATCCATTCTAAGTGGTATGCCAAAGACTAGTCAGGCGGTAAATGAAATACGACAATCAAATCATAATTGCGAAAACAAGAGACATGACATGACAACAAGCAAGCAGGATGCTCTGAGAATTTATAAGAAGTATATTGTTAAGGAAGCTCTGGGTATAAATCAAATATCTGAAGAATTAAAGCTAGATATGGAAAAAGCTGTTGCGCAGGAGAACATTGAGCCTATATTAAGGTGCCTATCTGCTGTTCAAAGCATAGTATACGATATATTAGAAAACGAGTGAGTAAAACAATGTACAGTTTTTCTACTATTCTTTTTGTGATATTCTTATATATATATATATACATCTGTAAAATGTATTTTATAGGTATATTAATGATTTTTTACGAAGCGAATTTCATTGTAAGCATCAAATTGATATGCTCACCAGTGGCAATGTACAGTTAGCAGATATATTATACAATGAAACTGCATTCTTTTACTTCATGGAGGTATAACCAACTTTTTCCCATCTTTTTCTACAACAAAAATTTAGCTTAGATATTTATTCGTTATTTATGTTCTAGTTTATGGAACTCGAGAATAAGCGAGAGTTGTTGGACTTTTGGATGTCAGTGATCAGTTATAAACAGAATCTTTTGGATAAGAAAGGTGCGGCCGATCCCGAAGAGGCGCAATCCGATGCCGTTATTATTTATGAAAAGTAATTTCTAGGCTATACATTTTTTTCTATACATATCTAACAGAATTAAAAACTGTTGGTCAAGAAATAAACGTTCTGTATGGATACTACTGTATTTTCCTTAGGTATTTCAGTTTACAAGCAACAATGCCCCTTGGATTTAGTGATAAGATCCGCTTTCATGTAGAACAAAATATTTGCCGCGAGGACGATAATGGACCACAGCCTGATTGTTTCGATAAACCGAACAAAATTGTATATAATTTTCTCAACAAGGTACATTGGACATATATATCTTATAGATTGCACGTTTCATTGCACAAATACTTACGCCGAAGTAAACGGAACAAAAGTCGACAATCGCATTATATACTTCTAGCATTATCTCCCGGCCTTCTTATCGTCGCAGCTATATTATAAATACTTATCAGAGTTAATCAGTACCATTCAGAGCAGTCCATGTCCAAGTTTACATGCCAAGATAAAGAGAACAGGTTGGTATCTACTATTGATATGTAATGTATTATTCCTGCAAGGTATTATCCGTGAAAATTGTTATTTTATGTCTGCTGACTAAAAATCTCCTTGTGTTAGTTATAATAGTTATAATGATATTAATTCGTAAAACGTATCATCAGGTTCAGATTGCAGCAGTGAAGTGAGTTCTGTATGCACTAGCATGCCAAGTACTTCTCAAATAGGAAATTATAGCAACAGGTTACCTGATAATAAAAAGAATATTAACAATCATCTAAATATCGATACCAGACAACTTTACGATCCAGATTCCCTGTGGAAACGTAATAAATATAGGTATTTTACATATTTTAACGCTAAGACGCACGTAACACAACTGTTGTACAATCTATTAGTTTATAATCCAATGTATTTTGTAGATTGAGCATTGGTTACATTGACAACTTAGGTAGATTTATTAGTGAAATAGAGCCAGATCCTCATAGAAAATATGGTAAGTTATGTACAACTTTGTATTTAAATTTAAGATCCAATACGTATATACACACATATAAATGTAAAATTGTATAAAATTTTGTACGCGAATTTCAGAATCTCGCCTAACGCGTGCTGTAAAACGATTTGTAAATATAGAACAAGATAAGGTAAATATACAATATTGATATTTTATAATTGATTGTTCAAGATTATATTTATAATTGAATCGATTGATTACCGATAGGCTAAAGAAGAGTTAGCGTGGAGGATTGCTGAGATGATTGTTCGTGAAATCACATCTTTGACGCTAGAATCTACGAATCTTCCTTCTTGATGGTGCAAATTTGACATAACTATTTTGAGGCTTATATAAGTTCTCCTTAAGTATAAGATATTTTCTATTTCGAATATTTGTATAAACAGAAAATGCCCTGTTACCTTCTCTGTTTTATTTTGAAACGTTAGCGCAATGATGCTGCAGCAATTGCCAAAGTGCCAAAAGAATTGTCAATATGAGTGAAAGATTTTATTAATCGTTTTGTAACATATATAACAGATATTTTAAGAGCAAGCATATAAAATCATTGGAAGATCTCTATCTTCTTATTTTATACTTTTATATTTCCAGACTCTTAGCAGGTACATATATTTTATGCAACCAGTGAAAATTTTTAATGATTTGCCAATGTCATTCAGCTTTTTTAGCAGCAACTAGCAAATGATGTATTTAAGTTGCATTATTGTACCAATAGACACCATCAAAATATATAATCGTCCCGTTTTTATAATTCATAATGTAAATGACTTAATGAGAAATTAGATTAATATTTTATTAATCTATTTCAATATTTTTGGACTTTGTCATGTAAACAAATTTTATGAAGCTCTTATAATCAGCACAATTGTTTTTGTAATTGTTTTGAAGATCTTCCTATTTTTTAATCTATCACAAAACATACATAGAGAACTTTATGAATTCGCAATTCCTCCGTTCTACCAGTTCATCAGTTATGACGCCAAAGATGAGAAAATACAGACAAACGTTTTTTTTTTTTATTTCTATCTTTATAAGTGAGCAGAGTCAGAGCTTAATTAAAAAGAAAAACATTCATAGATTCATAATTACATGTATATACAGATATTAATATTGATATTATCCATCGATTGCTTTTCTTTATTTTAAACCAGTCGTTGTGATCTTAATCCTTTAAAAATTTAATTATAGATAAATAATAACTGAGTTATTATTTATCTATAGCCATATATAAATAACGTTTGCGTTATTTTCCTTGCTTCTGGCGCAATAATTAATCTCAAAATGGCTAATGCAAATATTGGCGAATTCTTAAAGCGTAAGATTTTGTACTTTTTTCATTGTCGATTTATATAACGATGTATTTGACGTTAAAATAACGATATAAATGATATGTATGATAGTGATGTATGTGTGACCGCCGTTGATCGTGATATTATGAGATATAGAAAAAGATATATTTTAATAGTAATTAGCACGTAATTCATAATATTTAAGTACAAAATGTTAATAATGAAACCTCCATTATATGCTCTATCTGTATATTTTGCTATGTCTTATCTATTACACCACTACAGAACACCGAAAGCATATCACAAAAGAAGAAAAATATTATCATATTTTTCAAAAGTAACTAAATAGTATGATATATTACATAAAAACCCACCGAATCTTGTATTTTAAAAGAAAAATATCTTGTAATTTCTTTTTTGAAATTTCTTTTTTTTTTTTTTTTTTTTTTTTTGATAATTTTTTATCTCTGCAGATTAGATAAAATATTGTTAAATCTTATAATTTAGCGATATTATATGGATCATTATACGTTTAAATACTTATTTTATTTAGTTTTTTATATTTTTATTATACAAAATGTCCCATTAAATCTTCTAACAGATTATTGTATGTTTAAAATAATCCTCCAAAATCTCATAAAATATCTCATAAAATATTAAAATGACTAACCTTGATTTTATGAGATGTAAATCTCTCAATGACATTGTATACAAAGATGATCTTGATGCTATACACACTGTATTTACAGAACAAGTTATTAAAAATTTGGTAACAACTATTATTTTTCTTTTAGAGAGAGGAAGATCCGTTTATACTGATATATGGTGTGTTCCGTCCGTATTCTGTCTTTGGATTTAGTAATGGAGACGACTCGGAAAAATGCATACCCGTATCTCTTTTGCTGTTTGGACTTTTACTTGTGCTTCCAGTGTCTTGACAACAATCCAAACGAAGTTTCTCCCGCCTAGTCCATCTTTGATAGACAAGCGCATTAAAGAATGCCTGAAGAGGATTTGTCACAGCCTGCAGATTAAAGATTTGTCTTAAAACCTTTATTCTAAATTTACATGCGAGTCTTATTCAGGAGAGTCGTCATGAACATACCATTATATACCATAAGATGATGATCGCCTTAATCGGCAACTGGAACCATAAGGTCCACAACAATATCCCATTGATTAAATTGGGTATCCAGCACATATAGTAAACTAGATTAGTGAGGGCGAATTTTAATCTAATTGTTTGTAGTAACTTCCGTTCCCTGCTGGTCATTTGGCCCATGCTATGCATAACTGCTGTCTCAAGATCTCGAGTTGACGCAATATACATGATGGGATTCACGATCATGACCACCGCAATTAGTACGTACGTGGCACAGTAGTTAGGAAGAATACGTAGTACGGCAGTGACTAGCGTCGTTGAGTTGTGACAACTGTAAGAGATCATTCTGAACTCAGTATCATTGCTCAAAATATATGCTCAGGAATGATGGAGCAGTATCAGTCGCAAAACCTGACTTTGCATCTGGAATGTACAACATAATCAGTCCAAATGTAGTGAGGATGGCTGGCAGTATCCAGGCTACAGCATGATAATACATAGGACATCCACTTTTGTTACCTAGCAGTAACTTCATATCCACAGCATAACACAATGTCCATATCCATGTGGCCATGTAAAAATATTGGATCCATGCCTGTATAAACAGTAAGCAATACTCCTTTAATACTTTTGCTGTGTAGAAATCATTAAACTTGGTGACTATCAATATTACCGATGACAAAGCGCAGAAAACTACGCTGGAAGTGTCATCCTCCATTGGCATGATAGATTTGTAACGCATCCATATTGCTGATCTCACACAAACACCTAATCAAATATAGATCAGTTAAATAAAACAGACTCATTGTGTCCCATATATTAATTGGACCATTGCATAATTATATTCATTATTCAAAATTAATAAATTTAGTGGTCTATGCATTAAAATATTCTCAGTATTAATGCTAAACAAGTTCTTAATAAAATAATTAGATAAATTGTCAACGTAAGGATTTTCTATTGTTAAGTTATTATTAGCATTAATCAAGTTGCAATAACAAACTAAACCTAAAGATGCTAAGAGGTCAGCAACAGCAAGCCACACAATAATATTTCGTCCTCTGGACAAAGAGAAATTGTTCCAATGATAAGGGGAACTTGAATCTTCTCGAGGTAATATCTGTAAAGATTTTTTATATTTATAAATATTTGTTAAAAATAAATCTAGAAAGAAAGAAAAAGACACCTTTCTCATGGAGCTTCACGTAACATCAATCATGTTATATGATGGGAATGACAATTAAAAGAAACATCTTTCTGTTGTTTTATTTTTATTATGTTATGTCACTTATATTGTTATTTTTATATAGCTAATACTTGTTCTGTTACACTTTCTGCACTTGAAACATAATAGGTGCAAACGCATGTTGGGAGAAGGAAGGAGAAAGAAGCAGAGTGCAGAAATGCACCTGAAACGAACAGAACGACGGTTGCATTTTTGTGAGAAATCTTAAACGTACAATGACATCTGTTGAATCACGATCAATCTTGAATGTCCTGAATATAACGACGCGTTTATATCACGTTCCATTATGTTACGTGAGAAAAAATGTACCGGTGAAAGGTAAGCCCGTCCTGGATTCCTCTTAAAAGTTACCTGATAAATTGCTCCGAATATGCCAATTACTGACGAGACCATGCACACAATGTTGTACGCGTCTCTATTAAATTCTTGCATTATTATCAGCGCCATATCCGATTTGTTCGTGTGATGACAGCAAAATGTTTGTAACGTCGGGTCCGCCATGTTATCACAATAAAACGAGTATATTTCACTTCACAGGCTTCGCACATACTAAATCAGCTTAGACTAGCGTGGACTCCAAATGCGTATCAGTGCGTATGTACATAATCCGAAGTGGCCATAATGTACACACTACACAACGTACAATGTGATTTACTCTCCCTCTCTTTCATTGTCGTTTCAATAGATCTGCCTGTATCTGTCAATTACACCTTTTACACTTTGTTCCTTTACCATCTTCTTCTCTCAATCCCGAATATGTGTATGTTTCTTTGTAAACCTAAGAAATACCACGAAATTGTGGCTAATCACAGACGGACTTTGCTATAGCCCGTGTTATCTATCGTGAGAATAATGTTATCACACTCTAAAAAGAACGAATACAGGTTCACAGGTAAAAGTTACGAAACGCGTTTCGTTTAAGTGCTATGCTTGGGTTGAAGTGCGGCACAAAACATGTTAGCCGTTTTCCTCGATGTTGAATATATCTTAATTAAAATTTCAAGAAAGATTACATATCTTAGATGTGATCAACTACATTTATTCGAATTCGCCACAAAATTAATTCCATTTATTTGAAAAAAGGTCTGCAGAATTCGAATCTGTTTTGTCTCAATTGAAATTCTTATCTGGCACGAAAATTGCATTCGCTGCAAATTTCACACGCGATTCGGCAAAAATGCATCATGGCTGCCTGCACTAACGTCAATTTGAAGAGTTAACCTTGGTTGAATAAATACAGCTTTTTTCCTTCGTTTATTATAAACAAGACTACAATATTTAAAGACGAAGCAAACGAATGGTGGAGCCGAGTTTATTTTATCCGGACTGTACGATCGCTTTTCGTTCGCATTATTAAGCATTTCAAAGAAGGAGAGAGGAGCGAGAGTAAGAAAGAAAGTATATAAGCTCTTATCTTTCAATCTACCTAGACCAATCAATATAATCTATTTCAACGAGATAAGAGGCTTTAAATACATATATACAGGCTATCCCAAAACCATCCGTATGATTTCAGTTGCCAGGTCGTCGAGCAATTTTCATCTATATTTATCAATACATTGACCGATAAAAATTTGCGGCGGCGCTTACTTCTCGCGCGAAATTTGCGAAACGTTTGCACTGATTAACAATTAAAATCTTACTTTGCGGGAATCGCAATCATGCACGCACAATTATTAACCGTCGCAGTGAAGTAGAATAACTATATATGCGAAACAAATTATACGAATTTTTACTATACAATTATTTATACATGTTGTATTCGTTTATTCGTTCCTATCATATATTTATATCGTATGTATGCGTGTCTGCCCACAGGAATAATGCGTGAAGATTATTTAAAAGGACGATTGCCGGTGGTAATTTGCAGTGGCAATCATTCCAAATATGTTACGCTTATATCTTCTGGAAGATAACATTTGACCAACAGTCACGGTAGTTGTTGCAAGATGTTTTCGACGTCATGACCTTTATCGTGTATATGTGCCCTACTGAAAGTGTGTTGGAGCATCGTTCGGTATAATACACATGTTTCTGCCGCGTATATCCTCTTTGCTCTTCGACTGAGCGTGCGTAAGTTTGTACATTGCTGCCCGGTTTCCTTTGAAACGTACAAAGTGCATTGTTGTCTCTCACCTAAAACTAACATCTAAAAATGCCGGCCAAAAAATTAGGTAAGTTGCATCGTATAACCGATAAAGCTATTAAGTCATTCGAACAGAAATAAAGGACAGTTTAACCTTTAATTGCTCCAGCGATATCTTTGACGATCGACCATTATGTTCGACCAGTAATTTATCATTTTAATAAAGCTATTAATAAAACATTAATGTTCAACTCGTATCTCACTTGTTGATCGTTTAGATCTAAGTTTCATTCTGCTATCAAAAATCTAACCGTTGGATGTGTAATTACTCGTCGAATTTTGAATTATGCGAACACACTTGCGTTCATTCGTTACATTCGACCGGTAATCATTTGAATTTTAATAAGTAATCAATAAGAATACATGTAATGCTTATACAATTTCGTATCATTCTCAGCTCTCCTGAGTGTGTCTGACAAGACCAATCTGTTGCCACTGGCTACAAAGCTACATGAATTTGGATTAACACTAATTGCCTCTGGAGGCACTGCACAGGCATTGAGAAATGCTAATCTACCTGTGCGAGATGTTTCTGAAGTTACGGGAGCACCTGAGATGCTTGGTGGACGTGTGAAGACCTTGCATCCTGCTGTTCACGCTGGTAAAAATAAATTTGTTGTTCTTACAGTATGTCTCAACAGTATTTTCACGTAATATTCTTATACTTTCATATTTTATTTTCTTATTATAGGTATACTTGCCAGATCGATTGTATCAGACATGAAAGATCTTCAAAGTCAGAATTACGATCTTATTCAAGTGGTAGTTTGCAACCTGTATCCCTTTGTACGTACCGTCTCGAAACCCGATGTGATAGTTGAAGATGCGATAGAAAACATCGATATCGGCGGTGTAACTTTACTACGTGCTGCCGCCAAAAATCATGCCAGAGTTACGGTTATCTGCGATCCTAATGATTACGACAAAGTCATCAATGAGATGGACACTACCGAGGACAGAAACACCTCCTTGGAGACTAGGTAGTATTTGAACGCGATGTAGGTCAACGTCGCGAATGCTGTCTAACGTGTTCTTGTAATTTTGCAGACAAACTTTAGCCTTGAAAGCATTCACTCATACCGCTGAGTACGACGACGCTATCTCAGATTACTTCCGCAAGCAATACAGCACTGGGGTTTCTCAACTCACTCTTCGTTACGGCATGAATCCGCACCAAAAGCCCGCGCAGATATTCACGACTCTAGAGAAGCTGCCGATGATCGTGCTAAACGGATCGCCAGGTTTCATCAACCTGTGCGACGCATTAAATGGGTACCAACTCGTGAAGGAATTGAAGTCCGCGTTAAATATGCCAGCGGCGACATCCTTTAAGCATGTTAGCCCGGCTGGAGCTGCCGTCGGTATTCCCTTGGACCGTACACAAGCAAAATTGTGTCAAGTAGATGATATCTTTGAGCAACTTACGCCATTGGCGACTGCTTACGCACGTGCACGCGGCGCCGACCGAATGTCCAGTTTCGGCGACTTCATCGCCTTATCCGAGCCATGCGACGTTATAACAGCCAAGATTATATCGCGGTACGTTACATTCAGGTTCTATGTTACAATTGAAACGGAATTATAGTTGTTTTATGTATATCAATTATACACACACACACACACGTTTTATTATATATATATATATAATAAAAAGTTGTATGTGTATATATATATATATATATAAGTATGAAAACAGATTAAATTTCAGTTTCAGTTTGATATATACACATGTGCGTGTGTATACATATATATCTATATGTAAAATAAATTTTCTTTCAGGGAAGTCTCAGATGGTATCATTGCACCTGACTACTCGAAAGAAGCCCTTGAGATATTGAAGAAGAAGAAAAACGGCTCGTACTGCGTGCTTCAAATTGATCCTGCTTATGTACCGTCTCCGATTGAGCGTAAAATTTTATACGGCTTGGTTATGGAGCAGAAGCGTAACGATGCGCTCATCGATAAACACACATTCGACAACGTCGTAACGAAGAAGGCGAAGACTCTGTCGGAGGAAGCCATCCGTGATCTGATTGTGGCTACTATCACAGTGAAGTATACGCAGAGCAATTCTGTCTGTTATGCGAAGGATGGACAGGTGATCGGGACTGGTGCCGGGCAGCAATCTAGAATTCATTGTACAAGACTTGCTGGAGATAAAGCTGATAACTGGTTCGTTATCTTTTCTATTTTTATTGATTCTTATTGATGAGAAAATTGTCTTAATTGTTTCATTGCCGTGTGTGTTACAGGTGGCTTCGCCAACATCCAAAGGTAACGGGAATGAAATTCAAGAAAGGTATAAAGAGAGCGGAAATCTCCAACGCTATCGACAATTACGTGAACGGGTCTGTAGGAAAGGATATGGACGAGTCCATGTGGGCCGCCATGTATGAGGAAGTTCCTGCAGAACTATCGGAAAGTGAGAGACTCGAATGGCTGAAGAAGTTGGATAACGTTGCTTTGAGTAGCGATGCCTTCTTTCCATTTAGAGATAACGTCGATCGAGCTAGACTGGTACGTATAGTGTTATTTTCACTTCACTTCTCTCACGCGATAAATCAAACGTGACGTTCTTTGATTCATTTGTTTTCTTAAATACAAGTTTGCTGACATCCTTCGATACGTCTTGTTTCTTTTGTTACAGAGTGGTGTTAAGTATATCGCAAGTCCTGCCGGCTCTACGAATGATGACGCAGTAATTGAAGCTTGTAATGAACACGAGATTGCACTGGCTCATACCGGTTTCCGATTATTTCATCATTAGATGTGAAACATAATCTGAAGATATATTTGATCACTATTTTTCTACAAATACAAACGTATATCTCATGATAACTATTTTTCTATGAATTGAAATGTATTTGACAGTTGCTGGTTTTTTTGTCTATTCCTATAAATATATTCAGTCAAAAGATGTCTTCTGATTAACATTGATATAAAAAGACTGAATAATACCTTTTTTTACTTCTTTTTTTGTTCAATCAAAAATTTTGCTTTAATCTTTATCAATTTTGATATGCGACTTTGTACAATATTATTCATAAACATGTTTATGTTACATGTATATATGTATTCATTTATTATTACAATAATTTATCCAAATCCCTATTGGCACAGAATCCTATCCTTTAGTTTCCTTTTTTATTAAAAGTAATGTGAATAGTTGATTTGATTTTCAATGTTAACATAACTAAATCAATAGACATCTGATTTTATAAATTACCATTCTTAACGTAAGCAGTTTCTATTAATGTTTCATATTGTCTTAAATATTTTAAGAAAATGAAAACAAAACTTTTAAATTTTAATCTTGACTGATTCTTGACTTGACTAGTGTAGATTAATTAGATCAGGAATTATTACTTGTTTTGTTTCATTACATATAGCTATTTTATTGGCTGTGGCGTAAAGAATTTAAATTTTATGAAAAGATTACTTTGGCTGCGCCCGGATATTCACTGCCAGCACTGAAAATTTATAATATATGTGACATAAACTATGTATTTTCAATACTGGCGGCAGAGAGAAAGCTGAAAGCGGCCAACACGGCGTTTTCGGCGACACCGTTTTTTGCCCTGGAATGAGCGCCATCTGCATCCATTTTGAGAGGAGAACTACGATCCACTTTTAGGTCTTGGTGGTAAAATTTGCATGTGGTGGAAGTCCGTGCTACATCCACTTTCAGGCGGTTTATGTCCGTGCTGCAACCATAGTTACTATCTCTATGCCAGACAATAGGCCTGTTCGTTTTGTCTGCACTGCTGAAATGGTGCAACAAGTTGAAGTAAGAAAATCTACGTTTGTTTCACTTTAACTTAATGCACTAATTCAGCAGTGCAGACAAAACGAACAGGCCTTATGTCCGAAGGTCTAAAAAGAGCGGGGGGGGGGGGAAGGAGCAGGAAAAATAAAAGCACATATTAAATATTAAATCCTCTACATACATGTTGCCGTATCAAAGTCTCCTGTATAATAAACAATTTGATACGTCTGGAGACGCATGATGTATCGTTATCCGCGTCCCGTTCCCTTCGTCCTGCTTTTCAATTCAGCATCCCGTCCGCTCCGGACATTCGCTCGTGGCACTGACAATGGCCGTCGGTGAACACTCGATCCGCTCGGAGGAGCACATGTTAATTAACGCGACGAGACTCCAATTATAAATATCCCGCGAGTCGACGAAATATTTGAACTTTTAAAAAAAGCATCAAAGAAAATCATGTTGATGTTGTCCTGGGTGAAATCTCACCCTGGTATATATTCTTTTATTTTCGAAATAAAAAAAGCCAAACGAATGCAATTAAATGTTATTTATTATCATTGAATATTAGATGAAAAGTAGAAGAGTTATTGTCCGCAGCGGATAATCTAACATTTAATAAGAACGAGACAAAATTCGCATGAGATGAAATTCCACTCTTTAACGCTACCATGATCTTTAATTATTCTCTGAAAATGGCGATACAACAACTTTGACATTCTGTACAATTAGTTGCTAACATATTTTCTAATCGTATACATTCCTCTTTAATTAACACAAAGCTAACAAATATCCGATCGACAGAATAATTTTCTTTATTTTCAGTAATCAATAAGTAGTAAATCAATGTCGCGTACAGTTGAAAGGCCACCTCGCATTCCCCTCGTTGTCCCGGAACCTTCGAGAAAAGAAAAGATGCCCAAGGGCAAGTCTCTCTTGCTTCAACCGCCGCCGAGGCCTGCAATGTTTATATCGCGCCGATTGTGTTGATCGGCTTGCGAGCGACGACACTTTTTGCACTTTGTTTGACGTTTGACGAATTTTCCGGGAATAAGAAGTCGAAATTTCGCGCTCGGCATTCACGGTCCGTCATCATCCGACTAGTAATCATAGACACTTTATGAATCTGCAATTACTCTCGTATATATAATAATAATAAATTATAATTATAATATTATATAATTATAATAAAATGTACTTGTAAATTCTCTCTATATACAGGGTGTCTTATAACTAATCTGGCAGAGCTCGTAGAGACATAGAGCGGGTTAAGACAAATATAAAAGACCCATATCGTATCATATTTTGTGAGATTCGCAATAATTATCGAGTTATTAATGACAGAAATCTGAAAAATGAGTGCACGTCGAGACGTTATGGGAGGAGCATCTAGCCGCTCAGGCTAAAGAGCACTGCCCAGTCGACAAAGGAACTGTTGCCGGCGCGCGGCGAGAGGAAGGACGACGCGCCAATGTTTATGTCCTTACCTCGCCGCTCCTACATCCCGCCGCACCGCGTCTAAGCTCGCGTCGATATGGCCGCTGAATATTCGCGATTACAATTATGAGATTATTTTATGAGGTACCACAGATAGCTCATATTGAATTGTAAAGTTCAAGATTCAAAAGTTCTTTGATCAAGGAAAACATCGAAAAGGAGAAAGCGATAGAGAGCGATGAGATCTACAGAGATTCTCATCGTTTTCTATCGCAATCTATCGTTTTGCTGCATCGGATCCGAAAGAAATAATATCGCGTAAAGATAGAGTACGATGAACACTTTTCATCGTACTCTATTGTACTCTATCGTTAGGAGAATATTTAATTGTTAGAGTATGATAGAATTCGCGTAGAGACTCATCGTGTCCTATCGTTTTATTCAAGTCTACGCGGAAAATATGTTTGGTTGAATGAACCCATTTTCTGACGAAATGAGAGAGAGAGAAAGAGAGAGAGAGAGAGAGAAAGAGAGAGAACGATTAAGAAATTTTGATTGAAAAAAGCACAATTTTGTTTAAGTTAACCATAAACCTTGATGAATTAGATTCAATGTTAATATTTTCAGTTAATATTTCTCTGTATCGTTCATATTTCATTTGCAAGCTATATCATGGACTAAACATTTTTACCATATATCATGCATAAATTGTTGTCTTATATCATAATTCTTGTCAGTGGTATATTAACGACAGAAGGAACTGAAAGTTCTGTATCGTACAATTGCGAAAAGAGGACCATCGTTGTCAATGGTGCACCAATGATACTCGGCATAAAATTGATTCCTAGGTATAATCGCGATACAACGCAAATCCGAGTGTGTTATTTTGATACGTTATTTTTATGCGTGTCAAAATAAAATTGATACGAATCGTTCATTTATCCGCGTTAATTTTTTTTTAATTATATACAGGGTGTTTGATAGCTGATCATGCAGACGAAAGTTGGAGATAGATTGGGTGTAGCCGAGAAGAAAAGTCATGTACCATAATGTCAAATTGGCAATAGTTACCGAGTTATTAATTAAAACATGTGAGCCAACGAGCGCGTAGAGAGCGGAGGGCGTCCGCAGTAAGCACGTAGACATTTGATACAGGCGGAGTCAGCAAGTAACGGTAGGCGAGCGCGCGCGGCGAGGGGCAACGTAAACAACAAGAGGCGAACGCGCGCGACGAGGAGCGAGCGAGCGCGAACGACGAGGAGCGAGCGAGTGCAAGCGACGAGGAGCGAGCGAGTGCAAGCGACAAGAGGCGAGTGAGCGCGATGAAGAGCGAGCGAGTGCGACGAGGAGCGAGCGAGCTATAAGGAAAAAGCTATGAAGAAAAAGCTCGCTCGCTCCTCGTCGCGCGCGATCGCCTTTTGTCGCTTACGTTGACCCTCGCCGCACGCGCTCGCCTACCGTTACTTGCTGACTCCGCCTGTATCAAATGTCTACGTGCTTACTGCGGCCGCCCTCCGCTCTCTACGCGCTCGTTGGCTCACATGTTTTAATTAATAACTCGATAACTATTGTCAATTTAACGTTATGGTACATGACTTTTCTTCTCGGCTACACCCAATCTATCTCCAACTTTCGTCTGCATGATCAGCTATCAAACACTCTGTATAAGTGGTCCATGGGACGATTAAATATTCGAATACATGTTGCCGTTTCAAAGTCTCCTCTATAATAAACGATTTGACACGTCTGGAGACGCATGATGTATCGTTGCCCGCACCTCATTCCCTTCGTCCTGCTTCCCTGTATAAAATGTTGAATTGAAACGTATTAAAAAGTATTGATATTTTGAATATGTCTGAATTCTGAATCTTTTTGATCCGAAGAAAAGGATTGAAAAGTATTAGTTTCCATTAAATTTTACTGCGCTAAATGCGAGACGGTCTCTTTCGCCCGGGTGCCTCACCAGGGAAATTTCTCTAGTACGCTAAATCCCATAAGACCATCAGTCTTTGTAGTATATCTCGTCGGTGCGTAAGGTTTATATTACCTGTACATACATATTTTGAAACATTTTCTTTGGATATTATATCAAACGGATTTTGCGTGTCACGTAATATCCTTCGGACTACACGGACATTATTATTTTGATCATTTTGATTTCTTTGGTATTCATTGAATTATCCAGAACGCGCAACTGCCATGTTGAACGACTCAATTGTCGTGTGAAATGTTTCGATTTTCACAAATTCATATAAAATTTTTCATTTTTCACTGATTCACAGAAGTCTTTCACTTTTTATTAGTTCACGCTAGGGAAAAGATTCATGATCGCTGCCCCGTGCAGCTGCAACGCTTTTCGAATCATCTATGTCGGCGCGCTTTTACTCCTCAGATTTCTGTCATTAATAACTCGATAATTATTGCGAATCTCGCAAAATGGTATGGGACTTTTATGTTTGTCTCAACACAATTTACCCTCACACTTCGGGTTGGCAGCTAATTACCGGACACTTCGTATGATCTTCATGATATTAATCATACACAATGTCAATTTTTTTTTTTGCACATGTTAACATGTTAATTCATATTGTAAATGCGTAACAATGTGCGAGACTGTGCTTGTCAAGTACGCTATTATGGTTGTAGCACGGACATAAACCGCCTAAAATGGATGTAGCACGGACTATCACCACGTACAGGTTTTACCGCCGAAAACCTGAAAGTGGATGTAGCATCGTAGTTCCTCTCTCAAAATGGATGCAGATGGCGCCCTTTCCCAGTGCGGAAAGTCGGTGTCGTCGAAAACACCGTGTTGGCCGCTCTCACGTTCCTTTCTGCTGGCAGTGAATATTGGAATGCAGCCTTTATCACCACATATCGTCACCAGAGAAATTTCTTATTGGCTGATCAGTATGTCAGACAAATATTGCGAACAGTCCTTTATTTTGTACATGTGTATCTGCCTTGTTTATGATCTTTATTGGTGCCCGCGATATTGTATGCTACTGTGTTTATTTCTAAAAGGAAAAATATTCATTACGATATATAACAGTTATAAAGTTAATATTGTAACTTGAATAATTATGGATGAAATTGACAACACACAAATCATCGTGAGTGAAGAATACATATATAAAATTATTTATGACAGAAACTATCAAAATTTATGAAGATTACAATGCACATCTTTAACAAAAAATAAAATAATTATTCTTCTTAATTTAATTAATTTATTTTTATTGATCAAAATATTCTCTATATAATTGGTATTCTGTGTCACTTATGAATATATCTGCAATGTTCATCTTTTATATATATCAGTATATTTTAATATTTATATACCAAGTTTGCATTAAGTATTTAATCAAATAGCAAAGATATAGGAAGAGTTGAAACATTTTATTTCACTCTTTTTACATACAATAGTAACTTTATGTGCTTTGAATGTTATAGGTTATAGCAGATGATATTTGTGAAAGAGCTGGTATCACAACAACTTGGATAAACAACAATAGGTTTGGGATACATGCATACAAACATGTAAACGAACGATCACAAGGTTAGCATATTATTTTTACATAAATCCTATTTATATTGAAATTATATATATATATATATATATAATTGAATATAAAAGAAAAACATTTTATTGTACAATAAACTTATTTCAGATACTAAAAGCCAATTTGCACCCTGTGATGTCAGAGTACATTTTCTTCGGCCAGAAGTAATATTATTTTCACCACTTTTACGTAAATTGGTTAATGAAAGCAATGGAGTTTTTCTGTCAGTTCAAAAGATTAAGTCTACTTCTGGTGACAGAAGACCAGAACTTCTTAAACACAGTAAACAGTATAGATCTATTTTGAGAGCTTGTGTAGAAAATTTACAAGATATTTTACCCAAGGAACCATTGTCAGAAGTAAAAGTCACTCTAGAAAATTTTCTTACTATATTTTACCAAGTAGAGTGTATCTGGCACTTAACAGAAATTCTTTATGTTGATGCAGTACCAGGTAAGTTGAGATATAGTATACATAACACATATATAAACAGTTCATGAATTATACAAATAATTAAATATAAATGTTTAAAAAATTTAAGTTTACACAATAAAACTATTGTTTCCTTGCTAACCTTATCTTGTTTACAGGTGATGTTGTACTGCCACAGTTACTAGAATGGGTTAGTTTTCATTTTCCCTCGAGAGAACTTGAGGCATTAAAAATCTTGTCACAAAAAACCATTGGTGCTGATTTAGAGAACTCAAATTACTGGAAAGTTGTAATAGGCTGTGCATTCCATGGCAAATTAAATTTAGTTTGCCGCCTTCTAGCCATGCACAGCAAGGCTGACCATTCAGCGTTTATTACTGCAGATAATATCATTAGAAGTATGCCAATATACAATGTTTATGGCGGATATTCCGTTAATGAATTTATCATGCGGTGGAAACATTGGCAAATGGATCTCTCTTCCAATCTAGAGACGAATTGCTTTGTTATAGATAACAATCTAGAGATGCTTATGAAGGTCAGTAAAGTAATATTAATACAATTCATCGCGTTATACAGAAAATAACATTATGCTTTCTCATTCACAGTTAATAGCAGGAGACGAATCGGTGTTCTGGGAATATTCCATGTATACGGAAGCATGGTATGAATTACTAGCGGCTAAATTATTCTACTCAGCACCTTGCTGCAAACAACAGGAACTTTCACGCTACGCGAACAACATTGCCGAAAGATGGCAAGCAAATAGGCACTTGGACCGCATGATACTCGCTCTAATGGAAAACGATCTGCATCAAGTCATCAAGGAAATACAATACATGAACGATAATGGTTGGTTCGCGGCACATCTAATGGATCTCTTGTTCAAATGCGGAAAATTGACTATTTTGAACAAAGAGAAGACTAAGTGAGTATAAACGCCGATTGTACACAATGCAAATATCCAAATAAAATACTCGACCGATAAACGCCGATCAATTCAAATATCCGAATAAAGTATTCGATGTAATATTCTCAGAATTTCACGGCTCAGAAAAGAAGGAAGTCTGCTCTTCACAAAGCATTAGTTTAATCTTTACAGCATGACCGAAAAGCTTCACGAGTCTCTCGTGTTAGAGTACGGGACCACACTAATGGGTCATCGCTCGTTATGGCAATGCGGTGCGAGTTACTTGGTGCACTGCCCTGTGCAGGGTTTGGCCAGATTGGAGATTTTGTTGCAGTCGCTACCGACCGGCACTGAAGCAAGAGTCAACAAGATCATCGACATCGCGCAAGGCAACAACATGCCTCACGTTGGTAAAATTCATTTTCAATTCAGCCTTTCCTTAGTCCCATTCGAATATATCACGATTACTTAGAAACACGTCTCTCCCAGTTACCAGTATATGCAAAATTCAGGGGATGAAGAGTATAAGGCAAGGTAGACTGGGCAACGCTCTCACTTGGGCACTCAAGGCACATGACGGTAATTTCACTACGTACATCGCGGATGAATTTCTCAAACATTACGCGGAACACGGAGAACTGGAGTGCCGGGATCTACTGGAGAATCTAGGCTCTTGCATGCTCGCCAGCGATAGACTTACGTTTTTAGGTAAACAATTGCTCTAATATAATAAACGAGACTGCCTGATATAACTGATCTAACGATCTCTCTATTTAGGAAAATATTGTGAATTTCATCAGATGTACGGAATTGGCGAATTTCGAGAAGCAGCGAGTTTATTGGTGTCCCTTCTGGTTTCGAACCTGACACCAAAATAGTAAGTTGCAATCTATAAAAAAACATTTAGAACGCTTGTGATTGATGATTAAGTAATGTTAATTCTTCCACAGTTTTTGGTCCATTCTCTTGACAGATGCTATACCATTATTAGAAGCGGAAGATGTGATCTTCTCATCTAACGACTGCTACGAGTTATTGCGTTGCGCGGAAGCTCACGGCGACGATCCGAAATTCCAAGACAAAGTCTCGATCTTTCGATTAGGCGTCGCACGGAACCTGGCGCGAGCTCTGAGCTTAGAAGGTTGCCAGGCTGAACATTGATGTCATGCATTATTGTGCTGGTTTCTATTTTCCATTATATTGAGCAACATCAATATCTTTCTAAATAAAGCTTTAATTGTTTTTATACATCATATCTATATAAATTGTCCATATAATCTGTATCCTTGAAGTCATCAATGTTCTTATTACAGTCTAAATTATATAATTATGGTTAAAATTATATAATTCTCTCAAATTATAATATTGGGTGAATGCAAGAGGTTTAATTTCCTAATATAAAAATGGACTAAATAATTTTATCAAAAACAATTTATCTATTCTATTAAGTAATTACCATTGTTTTCTACTATCTTTCGCCACTGGTCTGGCAGCATTTGTATGCCCTTTTCATAAAAGGTAGCTGGCTTTTCATCAAAGAATGAAGAAATATAGTTTTGTAGATTGTGAAAAGAGGTGAATTTCCTATTGTTTAAACTCTTTTGCAACGATCGAAACAAATGATAATCTGATGGAACAATGTCAGGAGAATAGGGCGGATGTAACAAAAGATCCCACTTTAGCTCCTTGAGTTTGCACTGTATTTGCATCGAAGTGTGAGGTCTAGTATTGTCATAATGGAAGACAATGTTTTTCTGTTTGGCCAGAATCGGTCGTTTTTCTTTAATTGCTTTCTTCAAATTGTCCAATTGTTGACAATATTTATCAAAATTGATCGCTTCACTAATAAGGAGCAGTTCATAAAAGATTATACCTTTGCAATCCCACCATACAAACAATATAGCTTTTTGAGGATGCAAGCCGGTTTGTGGCAAGGGTTGATCGCTTTCATTCGTTTGTTTCCAAGTTCGTTTCCGTTCTACGTTGTCATATTGGATCCACTTTTCGCCTCCTGTCACTAATCGATCTAGAAATGGATCGGTTTTTAGTCGGTCAAGCAAACAATTGGCTGTAAAGACTCGATCCATTTTATTCTTTTCCGTTAGATTAAGTGGCACCCAAACATCGAGTTTTAAACCGTATCCGAGTTTTTTTAAATGTCGAAATGCTGTCGATCTGTCGACGTTTAACCTCTCGGCAACCTCTTGTGTTGAAATTCTTGAATTAGTATCCACTAAATTTCGCATAATGTCATCGTTAATGCCAGAGGGCCGACCAGAACGTGGCTGATCTACAAGGTTAAAATCACCTCGTTTAAATTTTGCAAACCATCTTTTACAGGTTGGAATCGATACCGCGTTCTCTCCAAACACATTGCAAATATTGTTCACGGTATTTGAAATGCTTGTTCCTTTCCGAAACTCGTACATCATAATTACACGCAAATGAACCCTATCAATACTCATCTTCAATTTCACTTTGAGACAACTGATCAAACCAAATTTCTATTTATAAACAGTTAACGTGTTCAAAGTAGGGATGGACGATATCACCTTATTTTGACATCTTTTATCTTACAAAATCGATCATTATATGCTTTTTTCATTTGCTTATTCTTTAGACGATAATTTTTTGTTTGGTGTTACTAAAATTGTTATTAATAACATCTTTGTAAACTCGGAAATTTAGAGTTTTTGCTGAAAATTTGGAACGATATTATTTTCGAATACTTGGTTACCGACGAGGTAATATAAAGACTGACAGCCCTGGGTAAATTTTCGTATTGGCCCAGGAGGCCCCGAGGGGTCCGGAGGTAATTAAAGAGCGATGATGAAGCTAAAGGCTCGTCTACATTAGCTGTAAAAGCTTGTCTACAATAGCTGTAAGAGTAAAGGCCATTGCACGTACAAGTTTTAGTCGTAACCGTAAGTCCGTAAGCAAATTGACCAATCACAATTCGTATATTTCCAGATGCTGGATTGTGATTGGTCAATTTGCTTACGGTCTTACGGTTACGACTAAAGGCTCGTCTACATTAGCTGTAAGAGTAAGGCTGTAAGGTTGCAAGACACGAAATGAAATATTTTCATTCGCTGACAGCTTACGTTACAGCCTTACAGCCTTATTCTTGCAGCTATTGTAGACGAGCCTTAAAATTTTTTTACGTGCAACGGCCTTAAGGTTGTAAGGCTGTAACGTAAGCTGTCAGCGAATGAAAATATTTTATTTCGTGCTTGCAACTTTACAGCCTAAGGCCCCTTGCACAATGCCAGGCAACAAGCAATAAGAATAAAAATAGACCAATCACAATCAACTATTACAAGAATAATCTATTGTGATTGGTCTATTTTTATTCTTATTGCCTGTTGCCTGACATTGTGCAAGGGACTTTACTCTTACAGCTAATGTAGACGAGCCTTAACATTAGCCTTAACGGAGCAGCTGATATTTATTTACTCGGTTTGAGTGATTTGAACATTAATATTTATTCTCTCTTTAGTTCGTTCAAGATATTATTTAATGTAACAATATGTTTTCCATTACTTTGGTGAATATTGATAGTTACCAGGCGTCTCCGATACCCGAGTTCGACGTGACATTCTCAGAATTTCGTGGATCGGAAATAAACAAAGTACCGGTAATCAGGATATTCGGATCAACCGCTATTGGTAAATAAATATTTCAAAGAAGTTCATTGTATCGTTCCTGATAAATGAAATATAGCACTGTGAACGCTAATTGTTCAGGTAAAAAGACATGTTTACACGTGCATGGTGTCTTTCCATACATATATGTACCATGCACAGTTCAAGAGAATATGGATAGTTTTGCTTATCAGTTGGCCGCGTCTATTGATTCTGCTTTGAACACATCTTTTGGTTCTACACTGTCTACCAACCAGCATGTCTATAAAATTCAACGGGTATCTGGAATGTAAGTTTTGGCTAGAAAACTTAGAAATTGATAGATCAACTATTCATTATTTTTGTTTGATAAAAGCAAATATATCTATTTTTTATTTGTTTAAATTTATTGTTTTTTTTTGCAGACCTTTCTATGGCTATCACGAGAAAAAACACTTATTTTTTAAGATATATTTTTATAATCCTGCTATAATTAAGAGAATAACAGATTTGCTACAGGTAAATAACTGCTATTTTATGTAAATAGAATATATGTGTATATGTACGTAACTTTTTAAAAAGAACATTTTTAATTGATAAAGAGGTTTTCCTTTCAGAATGGAGTTGTCCTCAATCAACATTTCCAATCATATGAGGCACATATTCCATATATTCTACAGTTTATGATAGATTATAATCTCTATGGAATGAATGTAATAAATTTAAATAATATAAAATACAGACGTTCTTTACAAGGTACAACAGAAGAGAGTCAAAACAAAAGTTCAATGGATACATTAGACTCACAAATATACTTGCCTGTTACTGTTGTGAGACAAAGTATGTGTGAATTAGAAGTAGATACACATGCTGCAGATATTTTGAATAGGCGGAATGTTACTGACAAGATGTGTTTGAATCCTGGTCTTGCTGCAATTTGGGAAGAAGAGAAGGCAAGAAGAGCAGCAGTTGGTTTAGAAAATGTAAAGTCACAATTATTATATCCTAAAACACCCAGTAAGATTATTCTTCCTCCAACCAACAATGATATCTATCAAGAGAATCTATTGTTAAAAAGATTGAATGCTATATCACAGGTACTTTATTATTTTATTAAATGATGATATAATTACTATATATAATTCTGTATATTAATATATGTGTATATTGTTTCAGAGCAATGAAACAGTTAGCTTGAGTACGAATGTGTCTTCATATCCTGTTGAAGCAGAAGAAGATGAATGTGTCTTAAATGCTTCTCATGCTCTAAGCCATAGTAAATCTCTGGTATCTGAAGTGAAAGAGTTGAATATCAAGAGAAAGATCTCTGATAACAATTTACCATTGCAATCAAGCTCACATTTAGAAATAAATGAAAGTCAAAATCCTATAACAGATAGTTTTTGTAAGTACTTTATTAACTAATGTCCCCTGAATATATGATATAATATACTTATTCCTAAAAGGAATAATTTGTGTACAGTGGATGCGGATGATATAAAATTGGTGGAAATGTTAGCTGATTTAGCAGAGAAAAATGAGACTGTAAACGACGTAGACAATGATAGTGTCCTCGGTTCTCAATATTCTATGTTCAGCGAGCCAGATAAAATTAATCCAGATGAAGAACAAGAGGAAGAAGAGGTCGAAGATTTAAATATTACGAGTTTAGACTTAGCCAGTGTAAGTTCTTGGGAAATGACGCATGAAAGATCCAATGAACATGGCAATATAGTAGAAGCTGATGAGAATAATCGCATATCTTTGAATGATGCAAATGTCACTGAAGAAGATTGCGAAAATGTCACACTTATTAATCTTCCACAATTGGATGGAGTTGATGATGTGTGTATAAATGCGTCAGATCGTGAAGAAAGAATTATAAATCGTTCGACTAACAGCAACACAGCATGCTGTGTTGCTGTTCTGAATTTATCCAAAGATATAAAGCATCATTCCCATGAGAAATTTACAATACCAAGTGTTGATGGAGCTACAGCAAGTGATTCCAGTGAGTCCGAATTCGAAGTTGATGTTACTATCGATAGACAAGAGGAACGTATATGCGTATATAAGTCTGGTAAAAAGAATATTCTACGCGGCACGACTCAGGTTACGCCGAAAAAAAGAAGATTCGATGACGAGGACAATAATTGTGGGTCACCTGATAAATGGAGAAATACGAGCGCGAGGACACCCAAAAGACAATTCTACAATTCTCCGAGCAAAACGTATCGAAGTCCATCGCAGAGTTACTCACCCCTCAACATTACTATTACGTCTCCGAAAACTACTAGAAGCTCCATTGTACATTGTGAATCTCCGAGAAAGAAACAATACATGCCGATATCCGATATTCCTTCAACTTCTATGACACCAAAGCGCAAAACACAGCTTCTATGCATGAACTTACTCCGTGAAAAACGCACAAGTCTCTTAAACTCGGATTCAGGTAATTTTTATTCGCAAGTATCGTTTATTAATTTTACTTAACTCATTAATAATGATACATACATGACATACTTCTTTATTACCTTTTACACAAAGTATGTTTCCTTTTTCTTTTCAGGAAATGTTAGCAGTGATAATGTTGATAAGAAATCAGTAATTAATCAAATAGATACTGTGTAAGATTTTAATTTTTTTTACATGGCTTAAAGATTCCAGCATAATTATTAAACTACAGAAGTAATATTTATTATATTTATAGCCAAATTACCAATAATGTAAATAGTATAAAAGCTAGCGGAACAACAACTCAAGAATTAAAACAAGATGGTGAACAGAGAACGGACAGCAGCGATGATTCATTGATCAAACGAAGCATAGCGGTTCGTAAAAGATTACAATTCTCGAATTTCGACAAAGTAGAGAATACTCACGCGGAGTCGGAGCAACGTCAATCTGAAAATTCCATCGCACATGGGCATTCGGTCGTCGAAGTACACGCAGATGCAACTGCATTTTCTTCCAGTAACGACGAAGATACTGTTTTAAACAGTCAACATACAGAAATCAGTAACGACACATCTCCCGAAAGAGATTATGCGTCAAGCGCGCGCGACGTGAGAAGCAGATCCAGGAAACTTCACGATGACATCATCCCCGAGACTGATGTTGACGAGGACGAAGAGGATGCGTGCAATACGACCTTCACCCAACGTGTCAGTCAAAAAATGGAAAGCGATAGCCAAACCATCTCATCGCAAAGGAATATTAGATCATCGAGTAACGCATTTATCACGATCACTACAAGGTATAAGCCTCCTACTTCTGAAAGGATCGCAGAAAGTTTGGCGCTGTACGGCATTCCAGGATGCAGAGCGGAAAAACCATTCTTCAGCAATAAGCTCGATCTTGCGAAGTACAAGGAATCTTCAAGCACAAGCGCTCTGTGCTTCGACGTGCCCGCGTTTAAATCTAGCTTGGAAGACATTACCAGTATCAAGTTGTGGCGGAGAATGAAGGTCAACGAATTTTATCCGTCTGGCTCAAACATAAAGACCTGTCGATTGAAACAAACCCTTGCGGGATACAGTTTACTGACGATAAAACCGCTCGCGTCACCGCCATCTTTCAAAGATGTCAGAAATTGGATAAGAGCTAAGGAGTACTTGTCGAAAAAAGATCACGACGTCAAATCATGCAAACGGGCGAACGAAAAAGCCCCACCAGACGCACAGGACGTGCACGAGCCGCCGATTAACATCGTGAATGCGAGCAACGAGTCTCGGCCAGGGACTCTTAATCAGTCGTCGAGTAACACCTTGATCATGGAGAGATCTGTTTCATTGCTGAGTGGGACATCCGATGATGACAGAAAGTTCGAATATACCCAAAATTCTGACGGTTCCCAGGATTCCGAAAATAGTTTAAACCCTTCTTTAAAAAAAGTCTTGGAGAACCCATTGTTGTACAAGCATAACGAGACGGAACAACGTTTCTCATACGGTCAAATCGAATACTCGTCCAAAGGAAGTCACGGCAATGTTTCGAACGAGAATCTCCAGAATGTCAGAGCAGTGGCAGTGGTGAGTTTATTTTTTATTATTTTAATTGTAGTATTCTTGCAAAAAAGTGTAATTCGGTTCATTTGTCGGGACATTCTTTGCAGCATCAGTACCTAACGTTGCTGTCTCTTGAAGTACATGTAATTACCCGGGAGGATCTTCTTCCTGATCCGCAATACGACTCTATCGTCGCGTTATTTTATGCAATTCACAATGACCCTCCGCCGGATGTGAGTGAGCAGATAGAACACGGTAATTATCAAAACTAAGATGGGAAAGAAAAACGTGTAAGAGAGATTTTACTGTGCAAAGTAACTTGCTACTTTTGTTCTTAATAAACTGACTTTTATTCCTTTCGTAATGTATTCTTCGTTTCAGGCGCTATAATCGTGAATCCCTGCCCCGTAAGCGCAAGACTCAACAAAATCCACTCCGCCAGTGCGATGTGCCTGATAACATATGTTGCGACGGAGCAGGATGTGTTCAACAACCTCGTGAAACTGATCGAGCAGCATAACCCGGATGTTCTAATTGGTTGGGAAGTGGAGTCGCTTTCGTGGGGCTATGTTTTCCAAAGGGCATCTCATCTCGCCCTCAACGGCTTTCCATTGAGAATCTCAAAAGTGCCTTATGTACAGATACCCTCCAACAAGTTTGACGCTCGTATGTTCGAGAAGGACGACATGAGCGAGATCAAAGTGCCCGGTCGCAACATTCTTGATGTTTGGAGAATCATGAGACACGAGGCGGGTGAGTCGTAGTCATTTGTTTCAATTCAGGGCTCAAAGCAATCGACCTCTAAGGATTTCATTATTTCCAGCACTGCTGACGTATACCTTTGAGAACGTCATGCATCACGTCTTACACGAGAGAATTCCCTGTCCTTCCTTCAGGACGCTATCCACCTGGTGGAAACACGAAAGCATGACAATGAAATGCAGAGTTATACATCATTACATCATCAGGGTCCGGGGTACTCTTAAGATTCTGAGTCACTTGGATGTCATAGGTGAACTCACTCATCAATTTACTATCGTTTACCTCAAATCACTTCAGTTCATCATTTTATTCGAAAGTCTACTCTCTTCGTGCCGCAGGTCGCACGTGCGAACACGCTCGGCTCTTCGGCATACAATTTTACGAGGTCTTCTCACGTGGTTCGCAATTTCGCGTGGAATCTATGATGCTCAGATTAGCGAAGCCCATGAACTACATACCGATCTCACCGTCCATTCATCAAAGAGCTAAGATGCGAGCGCCGGAGTGTCTGCCATTGATCATGGAGCCTGAGTCTAAATTTTACGTTGACCCGTTGATTGTGCTCGACTTTCAGAGCTTGTACCCGAGTATGATTATCGCTTACAACTATTGCTTCTCTACGTGTTTAGGCAGAATCGAGCACATAGGCCAGTGAGTATATCTGAGGTTTTGTCGAGAAATCTCGAATGGATAATATTCGTGAAGTGTCGGATAAAATTGGTTAATTATATAATTATTCAATTATATTATTACTTATATATAATTATAGCTAATTAATGTTATTATTAATTATTACAATTACAATTACAGCATAATGGTTAAATTCATATAATTTCAAATTCACATAATCATAACTTACGAATACTAATTACGAATAAATATTACAATTAATTAGAATTAATTAATTCAATACTTCTGATCGTTAGATATGGACCGTTTGATTTTGGTGCGGCGACTTTGAGGGTGACAAAGAGCAGGACCTTGAAGCTGCAGGACAAAATGAATTTCTCGCCCTGTGGCGTTGCCTTCGTGAAGAAAGAGGTGCGTCAGGGAATAATGCCGCGTATGTTGATGGAAATCCTGAATACACGCCTGATGGTGAAGGAATCTATGAAGCTCCATCCGGCGGAAAATCGCACGTTGCAGCGCGTTCTGCATTCGCAGCAACTTGGTCTCAAGCTAATCGCGAACGTCACCTATGGCTATACGTCCGCCAACTTCAGCGGTAGGATGCCTTGCATCGAGGTATGAGACTTGATAGCGTGATCTCACGCTGGAGATTCATGAAGATTCGTTATAGATAGGAGACAGCGTAGTCAGTAAAGGACGAGAGACATTGGAACGCGCGATTAAACTGGTGGAGTCTACTCCAAAATGGGGCGCCCGGGTGGTTTACGGTGACACAGACTCGTTATTCGTATTATTGACCGGCAAATCTCGCGAGGAGGCCTTTGTTATCGGTGAGGAAATTGCTGATGCCGTGACCGCGGCCAATCCTCCGCCAGTTAAATTGAAATTCGAGAAAGTTCTGCAGCCGTCTATCCTGCAGGTATGAACTCGCGGAATGATGTCCGACGAGGAAATTGACATGACAGCGATACACCTGTATTAATATTGCTGCAGACGAAGAAACGATACTGCGGATACATGTACGAGACGCGCGAGCAAGAGAAGCCTGAGTTCCTGGCAAAAGGGATCGAAACGGTTCGCAGGGACGGGTGTCCTGCAGTCGCTAAAGTAAGAGAATGACAACGCGCGTCCCTACAGGAATCCTCTTTGCGGCTTCACAACCGAGAACGTTTATGTATTGCAGATATTGGAGAAGTCCCTGAAGATCCTGTTCGACACGAAAGACATCTCCCTGGTGAAATCCCATATCACCAGGCAGTTCGACAAAATTTTTCGTCGACGCGTGTCCATACAGGATTTGACATTCGCCAAGGAATTCCGCGGGATGCGCGGCTATAAAGCGAACGCCTGCGTGCCGGCATTAGAGCTGACGCGCAGGTTAACCAGGAAAGACCCGCGCGCTATACCGCGCACCAGCGAACGGGTGCGCTACGTCATCGTCGCCGGAGCGCCGAGTCAAGCACTCATTCACTGTGTACGCTCGCCGGCGGAAGTACTCGCCGATCCGGCGCTGATGCCCAACTCCGTCTACTACATCACCAAGGTCATCGTGCCGCCCCTCAATCGTTGCTTCAACTTGTTCGGGGTCGACGTTAATACGTGGTGAGTGTATTACGTATCCCTGAGTTTGCTCTCCTGTGTCCACATTAAAAAAAGCAAAGTGTGTTTCACATAATTATATAAAAAAAATTATACAGACATATGCGTATAATTATTTTTGGTAAATGTTTACCTATGAGGACCACCTTCCGATCTCAAAAATTTTAGTTGTATGTTATGTAAATCATCACTCTGAGTAATGTTGTGAAGGTTTTAGCTGGCGGTCACTGTTTATTAAAAAGTTATTAACAAAAAAAGTTTGGGTAATTATGCAGAAATAGGGACATCGGGAATCTTTCCGATGTCAGTGATTTTCACATATGTTATCAAGGTCATCACCGTAATGTTCCTGAAAGTTTTAGCCCGCGCTCATTGTTTATAACAAAGTTATTAACAAAATAATGCCCATATATTAAAGTACTACGTGTCTTCTGAAAATAATTGTACAACACTGTGTATAGAGACTTATTTATGTATTATGTTCTTCGCTTGGTTTGTTTATTTACCTTTTTTGTACTGGTTATATATCGAAAGAAAAACACATGTCTACATACTGAAGGAAATGGGTTTGCAATTTTTCACGCGAAACTAGGATGGACGGGGAGGGTGCGGGAAGGAAGCCGAAGGCCCCCCTTGCAGCCCCCGTGTGTATGTGTGTGTGTATATGTGTACATATGTCCTTAGTACTGTATGTATACATATGTTTGAGACATTTTCATTTATTAAAACATATGAATTTTTAGTTCATGTATCAGTGGTTATTTTTGTTGTGTAATATGTACATACAACTAAAATTTTCGAGATCGAGAGGTAGTCCCCATAGTAGTAGTAGTAGTAAACATTTATCTTACTTTTTTACACAATTATGTAAAACAGACTCGGTTATGTATAAATTGATATATAATAATATATACAAGGTTGTTTGTAGGAATGATTCGCTAAATAAACTCCGGTAGTAAACGTGATAGACCGTCGAAATCTGCGACTCGCATTTCGTAATACATCTGTTGCTTCCGATTATTTAGATCAGCTATGTTTTGATTGCAATCCTAATTAACGAATGCAAAGTGACTTATGTCGCGTACACACACGGAGAGATATTATGTAGCTTTTCTTTGTATAATTCTCAACTTTATTATGATTTTTAGTAGAGAAGGAACAGATTGTCAGTAAAACTTATCTTGCATAGTAAATTTTACCAAGGTACAGTAAATTTTTTTATAGTAAACTTCAGCTCTGGAATTACAAATAGCACATATGAAACGAAAGGCTAAATTAAATCGAAGCAGAACGTTGATGTCTCGTTTCGAAATTCTATAATAATTCTCGCTATGAGATTCTCTCTGTAAAACTTACTCGCGCGATAAAGAAAAGACCTCTTACAGCAGCGTGCGATTCACAGGTACAAAGAAATGTCTCATCGCCAAAGATTCGATAATATCGCGCAATTAATTGGGGACAATCCGAGATCTATCATTCGCCAGTTTTTCCATTCCGTCGCGTGCGTTGCTTGCGGAGAGCAGACGAACAAAGAAGTGTGCGCGGAATGCGTTTCGCAACCGAGCCGGACTATACTTGTGCTTCTCGAGAAGATTTGCCAATTGGAAAGGACCCATCAACAGATCGCTAGTGTAAGCACATCGAAAAGAATATTAATGAACCGTTCAGTAAATACTAATTAACGTAACATTAAATCAACGTTATAACGATTCACTTAGCAATATAAGTATAATATAACACATGTTGTGTGTGACATTTTACAGTTGTTGAGTGAGGAATCGTAAGATTGATGTAATGTTACTGTTAATTAAAAAGTATTTACTGGATGTAAATTGCCAACTGTCGATAGCTATTGATCTTTAGCCAATGAATGCATGAACGTAACGTGTCTTCCCTTCACAGATCTGCCACTCGTGTATTGGACGATCAGGTGACATAGAATGTGCTTCTCTGGACTGCCCAGTTCTGTATCAAATGGTCCAAGCTCGCAAGGAGCTCGCGCAAGTTCCATATCTGAATAATATCATCAGAGAAATAATTTAGAGGAAGAATTATACACGACCATGTACTTTATATATATGCAATTAATAATAATCCCGTACATTTTTTATTACATAGATAGCATTTCGCAAAACATGACATTTCACTACTGCGATAGCCCTCAGTGAGCCTTCTTACGTTTTAAACATATCTACAAATCCATCGAACGTTAAAAAAAGAAACACACATTAGTAACTATATCCTTGAACAGCTCTGAACAAGTTCCGGCCCGCTTGACGATCTACAGATCGCCATGGTCCACAAGCCGCGGACGCTCGCGTGGATCTCTTCAAGGGAAACCATCGTCGTCCTCTTCGGCCATTTCCTTGGCCAATTCCAGATCCTGTTGCTCTCTTTCTCTGCGCTCCTCTGCGGACTCGAGATCCTTGCCATAGGATTTGGGCGGGTAACGCATCGCCTTGACGCTCTGATTGTGCAGGTCCAGGCAGAAGGTGATCCTCTGATGAAATGCCAACAATGGTTCCTTCGTGCAGTAGATATCCGTGGTTTCTTTACTACGCATGTAGCCGTTCTCCGGATCCAGAGTGGCCTCGATCACACCGTCACGTATTGCTTTCGCCACTATGAATTCTGCATCGACGCTGGAGTCCAGGCCCAGTTTCCGAGCGATGTCGGCTGGCGAGATGCGTGAATACGACAGCCCGATCGAACGAATCGCTGTCTTGATGACGTTGTGTCGCAAACGCAGGATCAACGTAAACGTGTGATCCGAACGGAATTGCGGCCCAAAGTTCTCCAAGACCTCGCCGAAGCGCTGCAAATTGCCCAGGCGTACTGCCTGCGTCAACTGGAAATACGGCGCCAAGGCTCGTCGTAGAGCAGCTTGCCGGAAGATCTGCCGCTCCGGGATATCGCCAAGTAGCAGCTCTACAGCAACTGCCAGTTTCTGCACAGTTTGCCTGAAACCTACAGCTGTGGTCTGTGGCGCCTTGCGCATCGCCTGCACCAAGTACTTGTGAGCAGCCGAGTACTCCAATCGAGCGGCTTTTATCCTGCCGAGATAATAAAGAAAACGCGCCCATTCGTTGTTGCTAGCTGACTCGGGGAAGGTGGATTTGAGTACTAGCTTGTCTGCCTGATCGTAGAGATTGTAGTGCAGATAATTGCGCAACAGGCAGTTGATCAGTACTGCTTGACCCTCGAAGTCATTGCGCAACGTTGCGGTTCGTAGACGAAGGTGCAAGAAACCCCGGATCTTGTCTAGTTGATTCGTCAGCTCATACGCACGGGAGTGGTAGAAGTAGCACTTGGCGGCAATGAGGTCGATGGTCCTGCGGTTTTGCGTGGCAATCTTCTGGACCAACAGCTCGGAGCATTGTACCGCCTCGCTGTACTTCCTGGTGTCGATGAGGCGGATCAGCACTAGCAGGTGAATATACGCATCGATTTCCGGTAGCAGCGTTGATGAGAAGGGACGGAACCTCTGAGTGGACTGCGTCTCGTCAACTTCCATTGGCTCGTCTACCCAGGCGAGCAGGGTATCGCGTTCGGTGGTGGATTTAGTATAGAAGCCTGCGACAAGACCACGTAGCACAACCGGGTTGAGGCGACGACGGGTGTTGGGCAAGGCGCGTAAGGCGCGCAGCACAAAACGTGGTTCCTTGTTCTGCACCGCCTTCTCGATCTGCCGAGTATGCTCACGGATGTCGTGGATTGTTTGCATGTCGGTATCCTTACGTTCGCCCGCGCTGTCACCGTCGCCGCTTTGCGCGTCCGATGCGTTCGCGATCTCCACTTCCATCGCCTCGACGTTTCTGCCACTCGGTACACCCATTTCTTCTCTGGTGCGATCTTTTTGTTCTTTACCTTGATCACCGCGCGGTGCCTTAATGAACGTTCGTGTTGATGATGCCCGAAGTTTTCTCTCTCTCTCTCTCTCTCTCTCCTTTTTCTATATAGATAACCTCAAATTCAGGCTCGCATCATTTCGTTTGCGTTTCTGCAATTCACCCGACTTCAACGGCTCGCGTTGGGGTTAGGTGCACTTTTGGGATCATCGGAGGACTCGTTCTTATGAGGTAGACCATTAACGATGCGAATTATAGAGTCAGGCCTCTTTCACATGGAGCGTAAAATGCGTACGTGCAACTTGCGACAACCAATCATTCATCTCAGCTATGATTTGCGTGTAACAGCTGAGACAATTGATTGGCTGACGCGGTTTACACATATACTTTTTACGTCGCATGGGAGGCAGCCGCATTCTTGCAACCATTGTAGATGGGCCTTTAGATCCGACCATGGCCGTCAAAATTCACTGCCAGTACTGAAAATATATAGTTTATGTCACGCATATTATAAATTTTCAATGCTGGCAGTGAATATTGGAACGCAGCCTATGTACCGATCTAATGGAGGATTCACACTATGTCCGATGTCCGACGTACGGTCGCGGACATAAAGGTTGTCACTTTTTTTTTAATGGCTGCATTCAGCAGACTCAACAGTTAGACAACATTACTAGATTTTCCACTGAATCTCGCTCCTGATTGGTAAATACTTCTGGGTCTATGAAGAATCTAACAGAATGCTCCAATCACAGACAATAATCACTAAGCGCTCTCTGATCACTTTGTTCTACTGAACGCGGCCAATGGCTGCATTCAGCAGACTCAACAGTTGGACAACATTACTAGATTTGCCACTGAATCTTGCTCCTAATTGGTAAATACTTCTGGGTCTATGAAGAATCTAAAAGAATGCTCCAATCACAGACAATAATCACTAAGCGCTCTCTGATCACTTTGTTCTATTGAACACGGCCAGTGTGAATCCTCCATAGGACTACGTTTACATGAGGGAGTGTAGCACGATTGGACTCAAGGTAAATGATTGGTTGGATCTAGTAATTCACCAGATAATACTTTGCATCGGTTGATTGTATCTAATCGTATTTTGTTGAATTAGGTGCCCCTAAAGTGAAACAGATATGTTTTTTCTCATTCTAATTTATTGCGCTAGTGTGCACTAGTTTAAAAATTTTTTGAAAAAGAATAGACCATAGATTTCGTGAGCGTGATAGCCAAATATAAAGGTCGAGCGCGTAGGCTATAATTGAAGTAGTCTGGAGGTTGGCTGCTCTGTTATGCACTCATGTGAATCGAACCATTTCAAGGATCTCAAGGGAGCGTTCATATATTCCTCTTCTTTTCGTTGCGCGAATGGTAACGTTGTAGTTTGTCACGATGAAGGTAAGGATCAACGAATAGTTTTATAATCCAACGTATTTTGTATGCTATTAATGTAGTCCGCGATACAATAAGATACTATGGTTTTTACGAAGACCATATTTTTGTTGAAATTGCATATTTAAATATGGTTTTGATTAGAAATAAGATTGATGTCGAGCAATCCTGACGATGCGTTGCCTTTAGTGTCGAGCCACAAACATCATGGGGCTGATACATTTTCTTCTTCGTGGCTATATTATTTTAGACTTGTCCAATTAATATTATACGGAGAATTTCTTTTATGTAGCATGTTTTATAAAAGAAATTAACCTTAATGAAGATATTCAGAATATGCATCCTTAATATTTTGACTAAACTTGTGTTACATTTTGCAGTTGAACGTATCGTATCCTGCAACAGGATGTCAAAAGCTGTTCGAAATTTCGGACGAGCACAAGCTCAGAATTTTTTATGAAAAGCGCATGGGAGCTGAAGTTGAAGCTGATGCACTTGGAGATGAATGGAAGGGATATGTTGTTCGCATCTCTGGCGGTAATGATAAACAAGGTTTTCCAATGAAACAGGGTGTTTTAACAAATGGTGAGTTGCAGATATATTTGTGTTTTATATTATTCATCACATATATATCAAAAACTATATCAGAAGAGTTATTTGAAAAGCAAAGTCAAATATGTTGTTTTTAACAATTTACTGTAGTTGGTAATATCAACATTATTTACAAATTCTTAAAAACTACAAGAATAAACAGCAAGTTCTGCTGCAGCTTTATAACATATAATTTTTAACAATATTTTGTATATTAAGAAATTCAAATAGTTTTCATGTATGTGTTTTATTTGTACCTTATTTGTACATAGGTCGTGTGCGTTTGTTGCTGTCAAAAGGACATTCCTGCTATAGACCCAGACGTGATGGAGAACGCAAGCGCAAGTCTGTTCGCGGTTGCATTGTGGACTCAAATTTGTCTGTATTAGCTCTTGTTATTGTCAGAAAAGGAAAACAGGTAAAATGTAGTCAATGATTGCAGTATATCCTTCCAGATATTGCATATTCATATAGGATTCCATGCAGTTCAGGGTGTGTTCAAGATGATATTAAATTTTCTTTGAATACTATCATAAGCATGGAAGATCAAATTCGTTTTTTGATTTGGGAAACTGCACTGTTGTGTGCTTTTTCTCAGTGTACAAACGATACACCCAACTCGTGTAATAGCATATATAAATAATATAGTTTTCTATACTATGTACTTTTGAAATTTAAATCAACATGATAACTGAAAATAGTATATAGGTTGGTAATTATTAAAGTTTTTATTTAACTTAATAATTTATGAAAATTTAACAGTATAATATAAATTCATTACAGGAAATCCCAGAGCTGACAGACAAGAATGTGCCACGTCGTTTGGGACCGAAAAGAGCAAGTAAAATTCGCAAACTTTTCAATTTGAGCAAGAAGGACGATGTCCGCCAGTTTGTGGTGAAACGTCCTGTTCAAAAAGAAGGCAAGAAGGAGCGTTTGAAGGCGCCAAAAATTCAGCGTCTTATTACTCCAATTGTTCTTCAGGTATGCACAATTTTCTCTCAAGACATGAAAATTAAAATACTAGAAATATTGTAATTAAAATTATACCGTTTAATAAAAGTATAAAATTAACTCAAGTTAAATCAATTCGAATTGTTTGATATGAAAAGGAAATATTTTATGTAATTTGATTAAAAAGCAATTTCAATGGATATGATTACAGTTCTTATAGAATTTATGCAACACAATTTTAAATATAAAAATTACTGAATGTTTACAGAGGAAGAGACATAGATTGGCACTAAAGAAGAAGCGCTGTCTCGCACGCAAGGAGCAAGCTGCCGAGTATGCAAAACTCCTAGCGCAAAGGCAAAAGGAGGCTAAAAACAGGCGTCAGGAAGAACTGAAAAGAAGACGCAGTGCCTCCATGCGCGACTCAAAATCCTCAAATCAGTCGGCACCTACAACGCAGAAATAAAACAGTTGACTGTATTGCTAAATGTAAAATATAATATTTACAAATTAATAAAAACGCAAAACATTTATTTCGACCTTAGAATTCATTTAAATATAATAAAATATATAAGGTCAGATGATTTGATATGTTTGATTTATATGATTAGAGAAATACATCTGTTGGGAATTTTTACATTAGCCAACAAACGTTAAAAACTTGTATAGGCTAATTTCTCGGTAGTCTGACCAATCGGCTGATCCTGACACAAAAGCAATATTAAATAACTGATAGCAGAGAATACTATTCTATTGTTTACTCCAGTTTATATTTTCACTTTTTTTTAGCCAATATCTTTAGAAGTTTAGTAATTAATAAAATTCTTACGTTTTTAATTTTTATTCCATATTGATATAGTAAAAGTGATTCTTATTAAAGAAAATTTTTGTCTACAATTTATAGTACAAAATTACATTGGATTATGGCTCAATTGGAGTTTAAATGAATTATTTTAATTAAAACTGGGAAAGTATCCTTTGTGGTTTCTATACAATGTTTCATTGTATAAATTAATAAACGTATAATTGCAAAATTGTATCATAAATAATGAATTAATTTGCAAATTAAAAAATTTCTAATTGTTACATTCAAATTAGACTAATGTTTTATTATCAAACATTATCTTTATTTCATAATAATCGTAAAACAATTAATTGAGAAATTAAAATAAATACATAGAATGTAATTAAAGTTGAAGAATGTAAAGTAGAGTATTAAGTTTTTTATTTATATTAAAACATTTTAAATACATTATATTGCTGGATCATCCCCCTTAGTGGTACGTGTGTAAATGAGCTGTGCATGATGTTGTACAACTTGTTTAATCAAAGCCTTTTGTTGAAGTTCTATCAAAGCTTTCCTGGCAAGTGACCCTCTAATTTTCAGTCTTTCACTGACAATAGAGGGTGTGATCAATTTGTACTGTGGTACCTCTTTCAGTAGCTTTTCATACGTGGCTTTGTCAAAAAGGATTTGATTGTTTAACTTGTCACGTACTTTTCCCTTGGACCACTTCTGCAAATATGAAGAAACAACATTGTGTTAAAAATAATTCTAACATGATATATTAAGGAGAACATGTAATATGAATCTCATCAGACTCATTAAATCAGTTTTTGCCTCCATGTTTGGTCAAGTTGTTAAGTCACATCAATTGAGATTTTATTAAATTATTTAGTATAATTATCATAATCATGAGATAAACAAAACAACAAACCTTCTTCTTAGCTTTACCACCAGATCCACCCTCCTTCTTCTTCTGAGTTTTCTGTGGTTGCTTAGAAGAACCTTTTGTATCTTTTTTAAGCGGCTATAATTGAATAATAAATCTAATGTAAGATATGTTTCTTGTTGAATGATTTCGTTTTGTCAGAGAATATAGATTAAATACATGAAAGTAGTATTTTACAATATGATATAAAACCATAATTAATAGATAAAAGACAAATATATGTATGTGCGTGCATGTGTGTGTGTGTGTGTGTGTGTAATATTTAAGATTTTGTACAAAGTAATTTTAAATTATTCAAAATATATAATGCCGTATTTCATTTTGAATATTGTTTGTTTTTATGCAAAAAATTAGTATATACTTTCGGAATTAAAAAAAATAAAATAAAATAAAAGTGTACCGTTGAGACTTGATGAAAAAGAGGTGAATAGAGTATTAGTACAAGTGATAGCGGAAAAGAGAGATAGGTTAGGTTTGTTGATTTGGTAAGTTTCTTTAATTGTGACTTACATAATTACTATATATAATAATTCTTTAGCATCAAAATATATATAAGATAATTTTTCTAGAAGCAAAATTAAGTCAAAACGATTATATTCGATAGATCATACATAACACGTGGAATGCAAGATAGTTACAGGTTTTATCGTGAATACATAGGTCGGGCATATTATATCATTGAAGTATATTTTTACGAAAATCTGTATTTTTCGCGAAATATGTGCGGACTTATTATGAGGTCGTGTAAAATAGTTTTAAACATCATTTACTATACACGTGACACTCACCATGACTGAAGATGCACAAAGAATCTTAAGCCAGCGGCACACGGTGCTTGTTTTCGTGCTGGATTGCTTGCTAAATGAAAATATTGCGTTCTGATTGGTGCATTTCCATCCATCTTCGGAAATAAACAAAAAATTTAAAGCATTTTGTATTATTGTGCTGTTTTCTTCATTATACACAATACATATATTATCCACATGATCCACATTCCCATCCACAGCATCCCCATGCACATCCATATACTTTATATATATTTTCTCATCTGTTGGCCGTATTTGGTGACTTTCTCCTCATCATCCACTATGCATAAATCAATGAGCGTGCTGGAGTCCCTCAAGTAGTGGGTCGGCCGGAAGGGCACAAGGAAAAGACCCGAAGTGTCCACAAAGGAGCGGAGCTGAAAACTATCATGCGTTGCAACCATCATATTGATATTGAAATCATCCATGATGACAGAGTGCTTGTACATAGCTCGAAGCCAGTTGTATCTATTCTCAAATTCCCCTAAGTATCCGCAGTGAGGAGGCCGATAGACAACGGCCAGGAGAAGGGGGGACGCGTTCGGAACCGAGATCTCCGCGATGATGAACTCCGGAGAAATCGTCTGATTACTGTTGCTTCTCTCCACAATCTCGGCTCCGACCGAGTCCATGAAAAAGATGGCCACGCCACCACCCATCCTCCCCACCCTGTCGTTACGCAAGAGACTGTAGCCAGGGAGACGCACTAGCTCGTCCGATATCTCGGGCCTGAGCCATGTCTCAGACAAACATATAATATGGTAGGTCGAATGAGCGAAAAAATGTCTGAATTCATCAATGTGCGCATACAGCGACTGACAATTTACATGGCAAATCTGTATATTTTCAGTAGATTTATCCATAATTTGTAATTGCAATCTTGTCTTTAGTTCGCCTTAAAAGTAGTGGGCACAATTTACTGTCAAATGCCGCATGGTCTGTGCTCCTTTCTCCTTGGCCTCTCATGCAGTTTATGCACTTTTGGTTGCCCTTTCCTATTGGGACACTCTTTGAGCTCATGTTCTCCAGAGTAGTGCCCACAAGCCGGTCCAGCCTTACAGTTTTTTGCGAGGTGGCCAAAACCTGCACATCTGTAGCACTGCAACACCCGTATGTGGTCCGCGAACCGACAAGCAAGAAATCTTAGATAAATCCGACTCCCTCTAAGTAATTTGTCTCGTACTTCCGGAGCCACCTCTATAATGCAGGATGTGGTGCTCTTTCCCGGTTTGGGAGGAAAAGTATATACGACATTTAGCTCTGCACTGGTTTCATTATCCAGATTCTGAGCAATTAGTTCATTTCGAATATCTGTGGGAGATATGTCTCCCGGAATCCCATAGATTATGATTCTCGGGTTGCACTTCACATTCTCCACCACCTCCAGTCCCGCTCCCACAAGTGCAGGGTGGTTTCTTATCTTGTCCAAATCCAAATCCGGAGTATCGGCATTTATTCTAAGCTCATTATTCTTGGCAAACGTGACTCTTTGTATCCTGAGACCACACTCAGCCGGCCTGAACACCCTACAAAGGGCCTCCTTCGTGGCTTGAGAGGATGCAAGTACTTTGGGCACTGTCCTTACTTGGCATGATATAAAAACTCGAGGATTTTTGTACCCTCACCGTCCGCCCATTTGGGATACGAACCCTCAGCTGGCTCGAGGCAGCTACAGCGGCATACGTCGCTGCAGAACCGTTCCGGGCTTCACTCTTCTCATGATTCGACGTCTTTGAGGGGACACCGATAGTCCGATTCTCACCCAACGTCCCCGACACCGCTTCCCAAATTTTTTTGATGATAAGTCGCTGTTCCGACCCCTCTTCCAGGCCATTTGCCACAAAGGAAGAGAGCTCAAGGACAGCTTCCTTACAAAACCGAAACGCCGCCTCGATGGTCGCCCTCCGATCCACATGATCCTTACTGGTCAGCAACAATCTGGCCACATCGTCGCCCAACTTATGTACTGATTCCACCAATGAGCCAAGACGCGAGGCGTCCATAGCGATACCTGCCGAACATCCCCCCGACGTACCTTGACGAGACGACAATGCTGACGGATACAACAGCCCTCCGTGCCCCCCGCCGCTCGCTCGTACAATCTCCGCGACCGCCGGCGACACGGATCGGGCACGCTCCACATCGAGAAAGAGAGAGAGAGAGAGAGAGAGAGAGAGAGTGAGGGAGAGCGTGAGAGTGTGTAGAGTGTGAGAGAGAGGAGAGGATGAGGGAGAGAGAGAAAGAGAGTGTGAGAGAGAGTAGGAATGACAAAGTTTGAACGGGAGTGAGAGGGGGTATTTGGAGAGAGTGGGGGGAAAGAGGAGGAAGACAGAGAGCTTAAGATGATCTTGAATAGAATGTTAAACGTCGAAATTTTCATTGGTTACACGATTATGCGTTATTATGCAGAAAATATATGTCATGGAATTTCAAACTGTATGCTCCTAGTACATCATATGTTAAAGTCAGATATTATATTTTAATGGCACCTGAGTGATAGTTTGTATGAAAGAATTTATAATGGGGTTATATTAGGTTTACAATTTTATAACATAAAATAATAAGGTATAATTTTTTTTCTTCCTCGGGTAATGGTAATAAATATAACGAGAGAGAGGCAGGGGGAGGGAGAGAATATGAGACAAAAATTGTGTGATGGAAAGTGTGTGAGAGAGGGAGAGTGAATATTATACTCCAGGGATTATTTTTTATTTATAATATTTATTCTGAACTTTAATATGAATAAGCTAAAATGGCGTGCGCGTAGCGCGCGCTTGTAGTGTTCTAGTGTCTTATAAAAGATGTCATTATGACATCATAATTTAAAAGTCTTAAAGACGTCTCAAATAAGAAGTCTGAAAGACGTCTTAAACAAATTGTCTTAAAGACGTCTCAAATAAGACATCTAAAAGACATCTTTTGAACAATGTCTTAAAGACATTTGAAATAAGACGTCTTTTGGTCAACGTCTTAAAGACATCTGGAATAAGACGTCTTTTAGACATATGTGTTGTGTGGGCTGTTTATTTAAAACGTCGCCAACCTATTGGCGGTCACATTCTGACAAATAAATATATAATTGCAAAATTGTACCATAAATCATGAATTAATTTGCAAATTAAAAAATTTCTAATTGTTACATTCAAATTAGACTAATGTTTTATTATCAAACATTATCTTTATTTCATAAAACAATTAATTGAGAAATTAAAATAAACACATAGAATGTAAATAAAATTGAAGAATATAAAGTAGATTATGTATTAAGTTTTTTTATTTATATTAAAACATTTTAAATATATTATACTGCTGGATCATCTCCCTTAGTGGTACGTGTGTAGATGAGTTGTGCATGATGTTGTACAACTTGTTTAATCAGACCCTTTTGTTGAAGTTCTATCAAAGCTCTTCTGGCAAGTGACCCTCTAATTTTCAGTCTTTCACTGACAATAGAGGGTGTGATCAATTTATATTGTGGTACTTCCTTCAGCAGTTTTTCATATGTGGCTTTGTCAAAAAGGACTTGATTGTTTAACTTGTCACGTACTTTTCCCTTGGACCACTTCTGCAAATATGAAGAAACAATATTGTGTTAAAAATAATTCTATCATAAGTTATACATTAAGGAGAACATGTAATACGTATCTGATCAGACTCATTAAATCAGTTTTTACCTCCATGTTTGGTCAAGTTGTTAAGTCACATCAATTGAGATCTTATTAAATTATTTAGTATAATTATCATAATCATGAGATAAACAAAACAACAAACCTTCTTCTTAGCTTTACCACCAGATCCACCCTCCTTCTTCTTCTGAGTTTTCTGTGGTTGCTTAGAAGAACCTTTTGTATCCTTTTTAGGTGGCTGTAATTGAATAATAGATCTAATGTAAGATATGTTTCTTGTTGAATGATTTCGTTTTGTCAGAGAATATAGATTAAATATATGAAAGCAGTATTTTACAATATGATATAAAACCATAATTAATAGATAAAAGACAAATATGTATGTATGTATGTGTGTGTGTGTGTGTGTGTGTGTGTGTAATATTTAACATTTTATACAAAGTAATTTTAAATGATTCAAAATATATAATGTCGTATTTCATTTTGAATAGTTTGTTTTTATGCAAAAAATTAGTATATACTTTCGGAATTAAAAAAAAATAAAATAAAATAAAAGTGTACCGTTGAGACTTGATGAAAAAGAGGTGAATACAGTATTAGTACAAGTGATAGCGGAAAAGAGAGATAGGTTAGGTTTGTTAACTTGGTAAATTTCTTTAATTGTGACACACAATTATATAATAATTCTTTAACATCAAAATATATATAAGATAATTTTTCTAGAAGCAAAATTAAGTCAAAACGATTATATTCGATAGATTATACATAGCACGTGGAATACAAGATGGTTACAGATTTTATCGCGAATACGTAGGTCGGGCATATTGAATATCATTGAAGTATATTTTTACGGAAATCTGTATTTTTCGCGAAATATGTGCGGACTTATTATGAGGTCGTGTAAAATAGTTTTAAACATCATTTACTACACACGTGAACACTCACCATGATTGAAGATGCACAAAGAACCTTACAGGCAGCAATGCAAAAGGAAGCTTTCCGGTTCAGTCCAGTTCAGTTCAATATGTGGCTCCGGACAAATTTGGTTGAAGCTATCCGAGGTAGCACCACACGGTGATCACTTCCGTTCCACAAAGCAATTGAATCGATTGAATTGATATCGATTAATGCATCGATTTTCGATTCTAGTTTGCTAAAAAATCGATTAGTTTCTCCTGCTCAGGCTTTTATATTTCAGCATAATTTGCCGTTAGAATAAGAAACCTCTTATTAATTTAATTTTGGTTTATTAAAATAATGGGTCTAATGACCAATGTTCTTTATTAGTGTCTCGTTGGTGATAGACTCTTATTGGTCAAAATAACGGGTTGATATTTCATACTACTTATTTAAGCGAATTCATACTACTAATATAGTTCGAATCTTAATTAAATGTAGTCTAAAATCTCGACTAAAATCAGTTTTTCAGGAATTAAAATAATTTAGTAGATTATCAGCTGGTGCACCAACCCGTTATTTTTTATTAGTTTCTGTCGCTACGAATCATCACTGTTTCTACTGAGGTATCGAAATTGTAGTAGTACTACTCAATGGCTGATTAGCCGGATCTTTAATTTCAAGTTGTTACCAGCGACGATTTTAAAGACCTTTACTTTTAATTAACATGATTTTATACTTGATCAAAAGAACTTTTTCTTGTGAAATGGGCACGACCCATCGGTAGCTTCGGCAAAAGAGCTTCCATTTTTAAGTAGTATGGTTCAAGGACGGAGTAGTACATACTCGCTTCACAGGAGTGGCTGCGACAGCATGGCGTTACTCCAGTGTGCATATTGCGCGCGATCCGGCTTTCCGCGGATCTGACGGCCGTACGACATGAGTCGATCGGCGAATTAACATCACCACGTCGACTGGACGTCGCCGACTTCATCGTGAGTTGATCAACGACTCGCTGGGATCAGCTGCCGGCGATAAGAGGTGAGTCCAGAAAAAGAGAGTGAAGGAGAGAAGGATAAAAAGAGAACTGAATTGTAGGTTAAGATTGCTCTCGCCGTCAAACTCGTAGACGTGTCATACCGCGTCCGACCGCAAGACACGGTTACATATGTGCGCCATGTACGTGTCATTTAAATTATCGGACGCTTCGCTCGTCGTCGACAGCTGGAAGTACGTCATACTTTAATCAGCTGTCCATCATATATGAATCAAGGGGTGATATCAACCCCTTGATGTGATTTAATTAGAACTAATTTTTTCACTAATTTTTTGTGAGATACAATGTTGTACTGCGTGCACACAACGGTTCTACAAGGAAAACTGCACGCTTCAATTTTTGATTCACTTATTTCAGTGAAATGAAAAATACATCATTGTACATATTTCTGATTTATATAGTCATTTATTTTTGTACATTCTGACATAAGAAACACGTGACTTATCAGAGATATCAATTGAAACTAAGGGGTCAGCAGTTTGTGTTGCTAGAATTCTCTGAAAAATGATATAGCGGATTGAAAACTCCTTTATCATTTGATAATAACATTTCGTGATAACAGATATGTTTTCACTCCTGAAGACTTCTTATAAGAATTGAATAATAATTTTGACAAATTGCAACATATTACTGGTATACATGATTCTTACCAATGTTCAATTGATATGTGGATGTATTGTTATGTAACATTTTCCAAGTTATATTCCTTCAATGTTGCCTTGTTATAATATTCAATTAAACATGTATAATCTTTGAGCTGATTGCATTTCATTATACAGTCGGTGAGAAAAAAGTTGCGACACTTGCATCTCGATGAATTTCAAAATGTATCCAGTAGGGGAAGTTGTTCTTCAGTTTCCAAAAAGATAAATTTCCCTGTCGGATATCTGCGGTTTATCGAGGTAAAAGCATCGCAGTCTTTCCTCCACTGGCTGTGCTGAAAGGTTCTTCCATGTGACGCTGTGCTTCTCCTTCCAGGCAGGGCAGACTTTTCCATTTCGTATGACCAACGCTGGCGCGATCATAAAATGCTGCCACTTGCGCACAATTCGCGTAGCCAGCACGACTCACGCAGCAACTTCGGCAGTCGGATCAAGGAGAAGCTGTTAGGTTGGAAGCGGCTGATCTTCTCGGATGAGAACACGCGGAATCTATTTCTGTTTCTAATCGTGAACCTGTCATTCGCGTTCGTCGAGTTACTATACGGGATATCAACCAACAGCCTGGGCTTGATCTCCGACAGCTTCCACATGTTCTTCGATTGCACTGGTCTATTGTTCGGTTTAGCAGCGTCTGTCATCACCAAATGGCGGGCGAACGAGCGTTATTCATACGGCTACGTCCGAGCCGAGGTGTTGGGCGGCTTTGTGAACGGACTGCTCTTGCTGTTCATCGCGCTGTTCATCATGTCGGAGGCGGTGGAGAGAGCGATCGAGCCGCCAGAGATCAAACACGAGAGGCTTTTCGTCGTCTCCGTGTTGGGACTCATAGTGAATTTAATAGGCATTTACGCATTCAAACACGGCCACGGTCATGGCCATGGTCACAGCCACGGGCACGGCCACAGCCACGGATCGGCTGGGCACGGTCACTCGCACTCCCATTCACACGACAATCACGGCTATTCCCTGCTGAATCACCACGATTACAGCAGCCACCACGACATCGAGATGGAGGCGTCGTTCAGCGGCACAAATTCGCAGATCATGAAGGGCGTATTCCTACACATCCTGGCGGACACCCTCGGCTCCGTGGGCGTTATCATATCAGCGTTGCTGATGCAGATGTTCGGCTGGATGATCGCCGACCCAATTTGCTCCATGCTTATAGCAGTATTGATAGTGTTAAGTGTCATCTCGTTGATGAAGGAGTCGTGGGAGGTGCTGATGCAGAGACAGCCGGTCGCCCTGGACCGTGTGCTACCGCAGTGCTACAACAAGGTGACGCAGATGCCGGGGGTGTACGGCGTGCAGGAGCCGCATTTTTGGACGCTTTGCTCCGACGTGTATGTCGGCTGCCTGAAACTAGAGGTGGCTCGCGAGGTAGACCCCAAGTCCGTCGTGATGAACACGCAGAAGATCTTCCAGGCGGCGGGCGTGAGACAGCTCACGGTCCAGTTGGACTACGCCCCCATGTGATCCACGAAAAGCACGCGTGTCGTCAAGTGTTCTTACCGGTGCGCCGCCGCCGGGGGTGTGTTCGTTTGCGGAGTATGTCACAAGGAGGCGCGGAACACGGCGGTGCTGCAGAACGTCTTCGCCGTGCTGAGAATATGCGGCGGCACCGGTGGTGGCTGTTGTTGCACCCTGTGCGTGTTGAACGACGGCGAATACCGTCTCGGACTGCAGATCGTTTGAGAGAATTATTTATGTATGCCTTATGTATACTATGAGTGAACGACGGACTTGCAGGCGCGAAAACCGATCGAGGGACATCCTGAGCATATTTCCGCATTTCGAATCAAATTTACTATACGATTACGTATACGGCTTAAGCGACTGATACAAGCATAAGCGGTGAAACCCAAAGCAGCGAGCGAATTGATCAGTTATATTTGTGATCGAGAGTGATCGAAAAAACGTGATTATCACGTTAAGATTTTTCGCAGTGATTGATCAATTCGCCTACTGCCTGAATCTTGCCGCTTCTTTGTATGCGCTACACGGTCCTTGAGGCTCTTCTTTCCTCGTCGGTTATCTTCACTGATGACGTCAGAAGCGAGAAAATATGCGCTGAAAATGTCTTACGGAATATTTTAAAGCAAAACGAAATATTCGTCAAATAATGTGATTGATTGAAAGCAGACCTGTAAAATATTTCTTTTGCTTCGATAACTGGAAAGTAGCTGTGAATTTAACACATAGTTTATTTCTCAATTATGTAATTTCTTCATCTCAGTTTTACGGTTATCTATTGATTAATTATTGCAAGAGGATAATTTTCAGAGTATTTGACAGATTTTTTTGTTTCAGCGTATTTTGTAAGAATTTCAAGCAGAAATTTTCGCACATTTGACGTCATCGGTTGAGATTATCACGACGAGGAATCAAGAGTTAATAGATTTTTTAAGCGTGATTGTAAGGCGAATCCGAAATTTGTTTCCCATCGGCATTCGTGCAAATTTATAGGACAGTCATTCGATTTTTTTTTCGTTTTCATCTATTTCAAGAATCTGGAACGAATGTCTAATCGCTGGTTGTTTATGATCGTCGTGTCTCGTCAGACTTACGTGCTTATCTCTATTTGCACGGATTTCGACTCGTAACTCGAGCTCGTCCGTTTGAGCATTTCACGGATCCAAGTGTGCAGGATGAGCCGTATAAAGCGTGAATATCTCCAAAAATATGAACAGCGAAAAGAAAATTTTATCGAGTAAATTTGGAATGCTTCAAAAGTCTTATGAACATATTTATTTTTCTCCAAATGAGTGCGCATATCGAAGATTGAAAATTCGTCTCGGTATGTTCTGCAATCATGCATATTAAATAGAACTACATAGTTTTATTATAAAAAAATCGGATGACTTTGAAATTCTCTTGACATATTCGTATAGAAAAAAAAAAATACAGAAAAATAAAAAGACGAAAAGAAGAAAAATAAATATAAAAGATGCAACCTTCGTGGCACCTTAATTTAGCCTGGTAAAATTTGCATTTGCCGCTAATATTTATCGAGATATTCACTTGTCACGCTTTGCGCGTCTTGTACAATACAGTCGATCATGATGTAAGTAGCGTTGTTTAGATCAGTTTTTTTATTTTTGCAACGATACTTTAAGGCGCATTTGTAAGAATATTTTTTAACGAGGTCTCCGAAACTACGTGCTCGAAGGAGCACTGTGTCGTTTATACACTGATTGACGTTACTCATATATCCTCTGAAATTCAATTGTAAATTTGTTATCTGGAATATACGGAAGAGCGCATCGAGAGATCGACGCGAGTGGCCATAGGAACTCGAAGACAGCTGTCAGAAAGCTAGTCAACCATCACGTGCATTATTACGCGAGATAAGAGAGGAAACTTGTCGCGTTGCATAATATGCGGCACGAACGAATACTTCCACACATGGGTATACTCGCCTCTTCATAAGAACTTGGAAGAAGAGACCGAAGAGTAGTTGCGATTTGTGTTTTCCGTCCGTGCTAAGTATTATCTTCCTTATCTCACTGACATGCTGAATTGACCAAAGGAAGAGGAAGAAGGAGTGGAAGAGGGAACGCAACTTAGCATGCATGGAGTTCATTAGTTGAGTGATTATTTTGGTTGTATATACATGCGAATTTGTTATCGTTGAATAGACCGACGTCGATTGTAGCTAAATAAACAATACTGTGAGTAAACAAGACCGTAAGAGATCGACCGCCTGCGAGAGTACTTGAGCAGACCAAAGCGTTCGAACAAGCTCGGAGAGTACATGCGTTCTGAAACGCTCTTTGCTCCGCCAACGTAATGTTTTCCTCCGCGATCCAATGTCGGATCCTCTGATTCTGCGGAGAATCCGCATCCGGATGATCAGAAGCGACCATCCCATGCCGAACATCTGGGGATCGACCATGAATCTTTTTTTAAGTGCACGGAGAAAGAATTTTGCAATCGAGTGGCATGTCGACATTCCGCCTTAATTTATTGCCTTGCTTGTGTGCTATTTAGCGTTTGCTATGTTTCTTGGCAAAATTTACCACGGCCCATCAGCAGTTGTTACCTGAAAATTGCCTCGAGTGAGATTTGAACTTGAATTTAGGTCTCATTCCGAGTTAGATATGAGTTTTTCGGTTGAGTCGCGGTTGCAAATCTAACATTGGATGTACTATAGGACTTAACCAGAAAACTCAGGTCTAAATTGGAATTAAAATCGGAATATCTAACACGAGAAGAGTCTCAAGTTGCAAATATTAACACGAGCATGTATACCTTCGTTAGATAAATTCTACTGACAGTCTATTACCACCCAATCAGGAAAGATGAGGAAACTGAACAGTATTTATGCGAAGAGACGTTATATAGTATTCTCTCCGTGTGCGAACTCGTGAAAAATGGAAACACGAATGATTTCGAGTTGAGAAAAGTTGACTTTTCATGAGCTTAAACTCGGAAGAGAAGATTCATGTGTCAACGTGTCACGAGTCTCTGTGAATCTCAATCTCGCGATTAGGAGAACGGGCAGTTCAACGCGTGCTGATTTAGAAGTGACGATTTCATGGCATTTTCCAAGAGATAGACATAGGAAAGTAGCGATTCTTTTACATTCCGTATTATTGTGTATCATGTATTATACACACATCACAAAAATAGGGGTAATTATTATGGTGTTACTTCCAATTGCGATGACGCAAGCCAAACTATCGACTCTACCATTCATTACGCTAATAACGATATCGTGATGGCATTATTTCAAAAAGAAAATACTTTTGTGAAAATACGCGTGTGTCACGGTCGCGTTTATCGCAATTTACGACCACGATGACGACGACGACGATTAAGACGCGGATTAATACAGCAGCCAGGAGCTGTGATGCGCAACGAGGAAAAACGCGATTTTTGCGTGTTCCGTTTTTCCGACATATTTCTGTTTATATATATATATATATATATATACATTTACGAAAAATACATGAGAGCGCGTGTGATTATTGCAAAAGGAGGGAAAAGGAAGAAGGAATGTGTAAATAATAAAGATATATACTTACAACGAGTTTTTCGTCTTTCAACAATTTTGCAGTTTGCGTACGCTTATTATTCGAGCTAGCGATTAGTATCGGCATGTTACTGAAGATTTGAAATATGTCAACGCGAGTATGTGCAATAATATCAGTAATCGACGGTAATTAGTTGAGACTTATAAGCGGCCTGTTATTAATCGCTCGAGTATCAACCAGTCACGTATCTCTTCAAACTTCCTTTTCCGTTATATATGTCGTTTCTTTTTCTTCTTTTTTTAAGTAGTCCTTTGAATCCTTGCGATGAGTGTTTATCTACACGGAAAGAATTTTGTAGGAAAAATTATTGTAGAATTTTGTAACCAAGGAACATAACGCCTTTATTACTCTTTTATTTCATGTGTGCTATTTATATTTTAGTAACTGAAGCCTACCATCGAAGAATTTATCTTACTTTTTAGCAAAATAAACTCTGCTGACAGTCTATTCCTGCACCAACAGGAAACATGGTAAAATTGAAGAGAATTTATATGAGAAAAAAACTGTAACATTCTTTCTGTGTGTTTTTAGTGATGTCTGTTATTTCTTACAATAACTGCAGAGTCTATTACTATCTTCATCATTCAGCGATAAGTGATAAGACAAAGTGGAGTGTGTTAACGTTGATCTAATCTCCTTCGCGGATTTGCTCGTTCCGAAGTCGTCGTGTCGCGGCTTACGTTATCAAGACGGTGCTTCAAACACATATTACATTTATTTGGAGGATATGTGTACACATATAAATACATAAATATTTATAATAAAATTACTCAAGTTGTGTGTGATTCTCTCCGCACGTGGGTCTCTCGCGGCTCGCCGCGGTTGTCGCTCCGCCACGTAACCGATGTACGAGTTACACGTGTGTGTACGTGTGTATACGTGCGCGCGTATGATTGTGTGCGTGCGTGTGTGTATGTGTAACATCAATTTCAGTCTTGCCGAGTGTCGGTTTCTTCATAAAGTGAGCTCACAAATGTAACAGACCTCGCGCCGGCTCCTCCTTCCTTTCCTTTCCATCGCCGCGCGCGCAGTATAATCGAGACTTCTTATGTACATACATAGTAAACTATCAAAAATGAGAAAATTCGTCGTACACACGTTCGAGCGGGAGCACTTACGTATCTAATCGAACAATGAAGAGTGTCGTGGATCGATGCTAGTAACGTTGCTCGACAGAGCGTCGCGAAATAAGCGCGCGCACACACACAGCGGAGAATTTTTTCCGGTAATAAAAGCGCGAATCGGTCGGAAGTCTGAGATCACACGCGCGAACAAAGTATAAAAAGATAGGCCGAAGCGCTAATTTCGCTTCTCGCGAGGGTTTCCCCGTCGGAAAATCTGTACTATTTTCCGTTATTTCTCTCCACGCTGTAAGTACTCAGTGAGCAGAAATTCGCTAATAGATCGTTACTCCAACGTTATTCAGTAGCAGGTGTGTGTAATATCTTCTAACATGTAATTTTTAACGTTGTATCAACGTCATTACGAATAATTTGGCACTTGAATGTTTCTAAAATATGTTTGCAACATTTGGAGAGATGATAGACTATTCGCTGATATTTCTGAAATATTTATAAAATATTAAGTGGAAACGTGCAAGAAACACACTTGAAATCAATATTTAAAGGTGTTAATCTAACGTTTCTAGTTTACTGGGCGGTTTCTTGCGTCACTTGGCTCGATTAATGCCGAATTTTCCGGCAGTGCTGAGTAAATGGATTATCGTGAATCGACGATGAAAAATTGACGTCTGCGACAGCATTGTGCGTAGAATATACCGTTTGGAGTTCTGCATCTGTCATGATTAAGTGCGATTGCTTTTCTTTTTTTCATTTTGTTGTGTTACATTCGTAAGCTTTCATGTCGAGGGATATGAAACAGGATAACTCGTTGTTGAAGCACGTTGAATCGTAAGAACTTGGAATCGTGGCAATTTGGAGATGTTCCTCTTGCATTTTTAAAGAAAATACAACTTTAGAATTAACGACGGGTGTCGTAACAAAATTGACGCTGCAGAATGACATTTAGAACCGTAAAAAAGAATTCTCGAAGAGCATCTTGTTCTTCTTTTGTCTCTTTGTATCTTCCTACAATACCTTACGCTCGTTGCACATGATCTCAGATTTTCTACCGGCCATTTGGCGTATATGGCGCAACTCGAAAATCAACAAAGACTCTTCCGCGTTTCGCCGATCACTTTCCTTCTTCTTCTTCTTCTTCTTCTTCTTTTTTTTTCTTCTTCTTCTTCCTTTTTATTGTTTTCATTGGTGGTTCCAGTTGAATGGCAGTTATCGTTGGTGCAATTAGTCACGATCGATCGATCGAGATCACGCCGTTCGTCACGTCGTTCTCGGCTGCTGTAAAAATGCAGTCAAATCGGATTCGTCGCGATTCGATCGCAAGAATTCTCAAGACTCTCGATCGAGGAGACAAAAGAGTTAACACGTTAATGTCGATAAACGATGTCGAGGTATCCGCATATGCAGCGTGCATTCGGCGCCAAACGCGACCGCGAGATTCCGATTAATTCGCGAGATGATATCGGAGGCGATATCTTCCTTTTTCTTTTCCATTTTTATCATTATTGAACGAAAGACAAAGTCCTCCGGAACGGGCGATCGGGTTCAGCGCTGAACGTGCAGCGCGAAGACCGCGAGTCTTCGAGTAGTACTACGATTTTGGCAGTTGTCTTATAATTACATAATTAATTACTTTATACAACAATAGTAGCCATCGTCGCCTCATCACATACTCCTTATTGTAGAATTATTCGAGAGTATTTTTCGACTTTCTTTCCTTCACGCCACGTTGCGAAACGTAATATGCGCGCATACGCGCATACATAGCATTTATATGTATATATATATATATATATATATATATATATATATATATTTGTGTGTGTATGTGGTGTTTGTGTATTTCAATTGTTTAAAATTTACTCTATAAAATTTCTCCAAGTTCCCAACAATGCGCCACCCGGTAAAGCCACCTTTTCGGTCCGTATTTCGCCGATCGCGGTCGATCCGGTCGGTCGTAACATTTAATAATAGTGTGATCATGATCTATCGCTAATAATATATTACTCTGAATCGTATTTTACACTCCATCTAACAACAACGAACGTTACTTATGTAATCGCAACAGCCTCTTTTTTTTCCCTCCCTCCGTTAAATATCCTTGTCTCGATCACTTAATAAGTATTTTCGTTCTCTCTCTCTCATGCTCGTATTTTCTTTTTCCCTTTCCTTCTATTTTTCTTTTTTCTTTTCTTCCTTCTTTTTTCTCTGTCGTCTGAATAATTTCGAGAAGACTTCTCCGCGGCACCGGATGCCTCGCTACGATCTTCGTTCATCCAACGGGATCGGAGTCGATTCTTTGGCATTCTAACGTTAACGACAATATCTGATTGTAAATGTAATTCTGAATCGTAAAAATGAATTAAGGCAAATAATTGTGTGATTGTGTGTGTGTGGGTGTGTATGTGTATATCGAAACAAATATTTAATACGAATGAATTTTGTAAGAAAATCGTAGTTAAGAAACGAATATCAAGAAATCGTAAGAGAATATTTCAAAAACATTTCGATCTATAATGAGATCCGAGATCAAAGATTCGGCTTTAAAGAAAGAAGCGGAATATCCTACTTGTTAGAATGCCGAAGGCGATCACTCGCCGGAAGACTTTAATTAACCAGACGCTCATTTCAACGTCGTCGACGTTACAATCCTCGCGGGCGTCGGATGAGCGAAAGCGCGTCGCACCTCCGCCTTGTCTGACTCGAACGCGACTCGTTTTCTCGAGAGCTAACAATCGCTATAATCTACAGAGCTTAAATCGTAGGTGAGCGCGCCGACGCGCAGGAAACGAAATCACAGTAAGACGAAAATCCACAAAGTTAACATCCCGCGCTCCTTTCTCCTCCTCTTTCTCCTCTTCGTTCGTCCTTTTTCTTCGTCTTTCTCGCGTCCTCGACGTGCACTTATCGCGCGCGCGCGGCCACTGATAATCGACGCCGACGCTCGTCCCGATATATGACTCCGATTTGCAGACCTCCTAGCAAGATTTACGCTACATCGCCGCGTCGTACCATCTAGACGGAGAGAATTTCATAGCAAATTTTAAGCAGAATTTCAAGCAGAATTTTATTTTATAACTGAGAAACACATCGTAATTTATCATCCTTCCGTTACATATGTGCCATCAGTATTTTAGGAACTGAAGTCTACTGTTAAAATATTTGCTGTTAAGACAAAGTTTCAGTGTCCGACATCGAGTAATCTTTTTAATTTTTGAGAAAAGTAGCTGAATTATATGCTATTAATTTTATACATTTGAGTGATTGCCAATATTCATTCTGTTCACTTCACAGGTTTCTCAACGAAATCAAACGAACAGTATTCCTCTGTAAAATAAACCAACAGTTTACTCCTGTACCATTAAGAAACACGGTGAAATCGGAAAGAATTTATATGCAAAATTTAATTAAATATATCAAACTTATATATATATAATTCAGAAGAATTTATGTGAGAAAGCTTTATATTACGGAGCTACAATATTCTCTCCGTGTAGAACTCCGTCTCGATTTCCCAGGACTCTGCTCGAGGGCTGCCCTTATATATCCTCCTCCTCGATCATCCTTCAGGATCATCCGATCCTCAGCGTTCGTTCGTTCTTCTCACGTCCGCTTTCTTGCTCTCCGAATCTCTTCACCGTATGTGAAGGTGGATTCTCTGCACGAAGAGATCAATCCCTCTCTCCTGCTCCTCTTTGATCGACCGACTCTTTCTCGCCTCTCTCGGCGAGAACTATGCCAGGATACTTCCTTCGGGATACCATTTACGGGTCTTTCATTTCTTCTTGCCGCGGCCACTCTTCTGTACCTTCGTGATCTTCAGGCGGCAATTGGAGCCGCCGGTGTATACCACCTCGGTTCGGCCGCCTTCCTCGGCCGCGGTCACCAGAGCCTTCACCGATCTCACATGTACGTCCTTGGCGCTGATCTCCAGGCTGGTGCCAGGATAACGATCACGCACGCATTTCCCGACGCTACTTGCCTGTGTCTCCGTGAGCTCGACTCCGTCCAGGCACAGCCAGGTCAGGCACTGCAGGTGCGTGAGAATCGTCTGCACGAACACGTGCTCCATCTGTACCCTCTTGGCGCTATCGGTGACGATCAAGCCGTTCGCCCGCAGGAAACTCAGGCCGCAGAGCTTCAGGTACTTCGCGATCTGCCGCATCGTCCTATCGCTGTCCTCCAAGGTCACTCGCCAGAAGTTGATCCTGAGCGACTGCAGACTGCGAAAGTGCGCCGCCAAACAGCTGAAGAACTGCTGCAGGATCTTGTCGTCGATGAAGAGTAGGGAGCCGCTGCTGCCGCCGATGGTCGACTTGTCCAGCGACAGGTCGAGCTCGCTCAGCGACGTGAAGCCGGCCAAGAACGGCAGCAGCAGTGGCCCGCGCAGTGCCAGCCGATCGTTCACTGTCACCTACAATCAGAAATTATTCCCTTGGTAGACCTTATCGGACGCAATTTGTTTCGTTGGCGTTCGCGTCGGATGAGTGAGGAACGGGGAGAGGACGAAAGACGCGTATACAGGGTGTCTCAAATGTAGGCAAGTGCGGCCAGCTCTCTTGCATCGACATCTGAGTGTCTGGCCGGAGTATTGCACGAGCGTGAAAAGTTTAATTAACAATAATAATAAAATCTCTCGCGATTAACGGGAGAACTCCTCACATCTGACAGGGTAAAATCGCGAATAGACAGACAGAGAGAATGTGTTCAAACAGAGAACGAAGCTAGAAATAACACACAAATATATACATGTAAAAATATTTTAAGAATTTTATAGCCACCACATGTTACAGTTTATTTATTGGACTTTGCGCTAATTTATCTTGCGCTCGGCTCTTGTAAGCCCTAGAATTTTTGACATTATTTTGATTTGTGTATCTTCTTCGACTTAACGAGATGTGCTTCGTGCAGACATTCACGCGTCGGAGGACTCTCGTACACAAATTTCTTGAACGATCCTGCATTCTAGTTTTTTCTTCTCTTTCCTTCTTTTAATCTATCGATAACTTTCGAAAGACCGTACCGAAGGCCCCTCGAGTGGCGAGTGATCGAGAAACGCGTTTTCGGGAACCGAGTCTCGGGGGAGGGTAAACAGGATAGCAGAATCTTACGCTTCATTTAATTTCGAGTGGCCCCAGCTTTAACGGGTTTGCAGCTGAAGACTTTAACGTAACGATGTTTCGACTCTTTCGAGAACTTGAGAAGATGAGTCTGGAAGTCGGGAAAATTTCATTTCGCCTGATCTTCTCGAGTTAGAAAACAGAAAGAAGAAAAAGGCAGGAAGGAGGAGCAATAATGGATTAAACCGCCGCAGTGCCGAGCCCGTCAGCCTGAAGATCGGTGTAAAGATATCTAATCAATTCTCGAGAACGATCCCAGAGCTCACGACGATCTCGACGTCCTCGTCGTGATGCGCCAACAAAACGCTCGAGGGGTACGCCTACAAGCGTGCGACGATTTATTTTCGAGTCATCCTATACAAAGAGAGCGGGAGTACGAGGAGGGATCGGGACGGCGTAATGCGGAGACAACGAAGACGAATGTCGGTCCGGGTCGTCCTTATTTATCCCCGTCGCGGCGCGGCCGCGGACTGTAATTGCGCGTGTAATAGGAAATATATGAATTATAGATAAGAAGAAAGAGAGGAATCGCGGCCGCGGACATTCCGGCCACGGAATCGGCGTTTCGCGCGTGAAATGGGACAGTTAGCTGTATCGCCCTCTTTTTGCGAGCCAGTGGTCGGCCATTTAAGCGAACACCTGAGCGCGATACCTGGAGGCAGCAACCGCAGTGACATTCGACGTTCGAGCGCGTAAACGCGCTCGTCCGATTTGAAGTTTCACTTAAACGGCGGTAAACGTTCAGCGGGACTTCCGTAGGTATCCCAAACGGCAAAAGAACTCGTTCGGAGGATTACTCGAGTCGTGGACGTTAACTTCTGATAAATCCGCAGTCTCGGATCTCGATCGGTCGACCGATCGGTCGAGATTGTATGTGATTCGCGTCGCGAATCGGGCTCGTAATCTGAAATCGGTCCGTCCAGCGAAACTCCAGCTGAAAAGTGACGGCAGAGTCATTCACATTTAAATGACTCGTTACTTTCCGAGCGAGATGTCCGACCTCGGCGAAACTCAGCGAGTGCGACGCGATATTCGAAGTTGACGAACTTTGAAGGCGCTTTACACTTGGCACTTGTTGCTCCTACGAGATCGTCACGGCGCAAGGTGCAAGAAAAGACTGCGTCCTTCGTTATTACACGACCCCGACCCGTGACGATTTATATCTCGCGTCTCTCTCCCGCCAGCCTGACGAAAGAAACTGCCCCAATTCGACAAGGGGGTGAAAGGACGTTGGGCACTGCGTGCTTAAAATTTTTCAACAATTGGCTTCAGAATTGCCAGCGAAGGAATAGAACGAGGGGCCAGAGGAAGAACGGAGATTAGGATATTAAAGCGAGGGGACCTCGCGAGGATTTCGGCGACTTATTAAATGGCTGACCTCTTTCGCGTCGAGAGGGCGGTCGGTCGTGCGGGATCATTTTTAAAAAAAGCGGGACATCTCTCCGTTGCGAAGAGCGGCCGGTTGCGAGCTGCGTACTTCCGTGGGCAGAGCGAGCGTTTGTGTATATGTGTGTATGCGCGCGTGTGTGTCTACCTTAATGGATCCTGCCAGATCTCGGAAACACGACAGATACAGTCTTGTGCAGTCGGCGAGCCTGGTCAGAGAGGAAAGGGCGGACAGTTACATCTGTGTCCGCTGTAAGCGCGATACCGTGTATGTGTTATCTTCTCGTAATGCCACCGGCCACCCCTATGCATTTGCATTGCACTTGAAGGCATGTACTGCGCTGGCGGACAGTCGAGCCGTATAATAGGATTGCGTTTGTCATTACGGCGTTGTAACGGCCATAAGATCAAACCTGTAACGCGCGGACAGATTAGACTATCCGAAGCGCCCGCGTCTTGTAATTATTTTATCCTCTTTGTCGCGGATAGTATGTAGTATGTTGTGTGGCTGTGCTCTGTGGGATTGCTGTGAAGTCTTTGATTTCTGAACTGGCACAATTTCATTCGAATAACGCCGCGAAATGAAATTAGTGGATTTTGAGGCATCCTCTCCCGTAACATCCCGCGTTCGCAGATAACGCAGGTACATTATCTGGGAACTCGGCGAGAATTAGGAATCAAAGGCTCGGAATACGGCGGTATCTATTGTCATTACGTTAAATTGCATAATTAATTATATCATATCATCACAATGAGGGTGTACGCTCGTGGTGTAGTTAGTTATTTAGTATGAAAACCACTACTCGAAAAATCCACGTTTTTCAAATCTCGTCGTGCCATGACAGATTTTTACGGCTCGTCCTGCCTCAGGAAGCGATGGCAAATCCGAGCATCGAGGTACTTTGCCAAGGAAAATCCTCAAAAATGGAGAACATTGCTTTTTTCGGAAGTAAGTTCCCTATACTTGTATGTATAATTTATAAATGTAGGAGACGTAATTAATTTCTCAATCGTCCTTGCGAAACATTAACACCTTGCAGCGCGTTGACATGAAAAATCGTGCGGAGAGTGTTATTTCACACGGAAAAGAAACTCGTGCAGGAGCGGAAAGATTTCCGTTGTTTTCATTCAGTCAGTTGCTCTCTCAATTATTTCAAGCGGATTTTAATAAAGATATCATATTCCCCGCCCGAGTTTCCGATTCTCATTCAGTTACACGAACTGACACTCGTTTTTCCCTGCAATTATTTCATCTGTCGTACTTCGATTGGTAGTGTACCATAAATTGTGCGTTTTCGTGTAGGTGTGGGTTTAAAGGACAGTGAAGCTCTTAACTTCCGAATGCGCATAGATTCATCATCCAAATCCGCATCAAACCGGGCGCAGTCGAACACTCACCTGAAATCCGGCTAGTCTTAGGAAGACGATGGCCGGGCAGGCCGACGGCGGTGCTGCTCGGAGGAGCTCGGCGCCGGCGTCATCGCGGCGTCCTAATCTCGACAGAGGACCCTCGTGCACCGCCAGATGCAAGCGGGCGTTGCATAGACTCAGCTCGCGCACGCTCGTGTATTTCAGCAGCTCCGAGAACACCATCAAACTGTCGGACTCCTGTCGGAAAATTGAACAGTTAATCGAGTTGGACTCGAGCCTGTTGGTGACGCGATTATTTTGCATTTGCGAATTACGATATTTTATTTTGACAAGAGCAAAGTAAGCTACGTCGCTTTTATCTCTGTGACAACGCTCCACATTCTGCCACGAATCTCTTTATTATTATTGTTATTATTATTATTAGCCTTTCCTCTCTCTCCCAGTCTCTCTCTCTCTCTCTCTCTCTCACTCTCACTCTCACAATGACATCCTTTCGTAAGCGCTTTTCCCGACGAACCAGAGATACGCGTTGTCTCGAATTCGAGAGTTTCTGCTTCAGCTTTCTGCATCGAACACAAAAGATCAAACGAGGGATTCAAGCGAAGGGCTTGCTCGCGCGCTTGCTCGCTCGTCGACAGCTCGTTCGATCTCAGCGATGGGTGAACGATGCGGTTTCATTATGCAGAGAAGGTCGCGCGGGATATACTGCTCTTTGCATCTTTCCCGCGGGAGCTCAGCAAGAGCGAAGGGGCGAAGAAGGCACTCGCGTTGCTACTCCGCGGAAAACTGTGTTAACGGCAGCCCGCCGTTCTCTACGCTTAGTTTGCACGCCGTACATTACAGACGCGCGTGCGCTCATTAATAAGTTAGCCTTACTTTCGAACTCCGTGCGAGATTTATGCGGATCTCGCTGCGTAAACTAAGTCGACGGAAGCCGGCGTGTACGTATGATTTCTACTTCGAGACTTCAATGAAAGATTTTTTCGCGACGGTGGTTTAACACGCGCGAGAGCGCGCTCTGCTTCCCAATTGTACTTCATTTATCTCGATGACCCGTGTCGAGAACATTTTCAGGGATCTAATTGGGATCCAGTCCGATCTCCCAAAGAAATCATGGACTCCGAGAGGATCGGGGAATTTACGTAAATTCAGTTTATGTTCAGCAGCGATGTAATGTTTCAAACACGCGAATCCAAGCGGGGGATCCGAGCGGATTCCATCTGTTCTCTTTTCAGCGTTTCTCCCAAAGATCGTCTCTAGCATCTATTTTACATTCTCTTCTCAATTCTGAATACACAAGAAATGTAAATACTCAGCGAGCGTTTTATACTATCGTTGGCATAAGAATGGAATTGTCTGTTTGATTCCATTAAAATATGAATGTCGGTCTTATTCATTAGTAAAAGAGCGACTTCATCGCTGTCTTATCTTTGTTTTGATTTTAGGCAAAATTAAAGAAAATTTTGAGGAATTCCTATGCGGTAGAAGCTGTTCCTTCCATTCTATTTCACTCAAATTAGTTTGATAACAGGGTGGCAATTCCGCAGTTCGATGGAACTTTGCGAATAAAATTGGAGATTACGTTTTGCAATCTCGATGATTAACGGGGAAACTCTTCCTAGTCGGTTTTTGCATTCTTAACACACCGATATTGATTTGTTCGGACTATCTCTCTGGCTTATTACTGTATCGAGAGAATCGCGCGTTGTTCTTCTTTCTTTTCAATCGCTATCATTTGCCTTTTAGATCAACCTAAAGCGCTTTATGCGCAAAATTGGAGTACGCACTTATACAAGTATATATCTATTTATCTATTATTTATGTTTTTAATTCTTGGTGAATTTCACCACTGTACCGGAAGAATTGTCCTCTGTCTGAAAAAAGAAGCGAACGACTGACAAACACGAGCGGCGCCAGCCCGAGTTTTCTCGTCTTCGAGTTTCGAGTTTTACCTCGCGCGCGATTCCACCGCAGAATTTGTTGTTGTAAACCGCGATATTTATTACTTCTCGGCAAACGTTCGTTGACGAGCCTCGCTTCTTCCTGCGGAACATTTCTTCGGCGCGTTTCGTGAAATCTTGTATGTTTCCATCAGTGTGGAATTCGCGCGGTTGAAGAGCGTTATATGAATAAACCCGCGCGGCTGAATTCAGCGTCGCGTCGCGTCGCCGTCATCGTCGCCGTCGCCGTTGTCGTCGTCGTCGTCGTGAAGATCAAAAGCGAACGAGCTGCGAGATGTGTATGCATACATCGAATTTGTTTTTCGACGCTATTCAGGCGGCCGAAAATGAAACGCATGATTTGTCGACGACAGCTGCCGCGCGCTCGCGAGAACCGCGCGCTTGACATTATTTTGTGGCGGGTCGTGCGAATCTAAAGGCGTAATTCGTTAGGGTGAAAATTTCGTGCGGGTTCGGCAGGAAAACAGGCAACATGTACAAAGTGAGATGCGAGGATCAAAAGAGAGCGAGAAGGGACAGGTGAGAATATCTCCAAAAATATCGGCGACTGGAAGAGATTTTATCGGGCAAAGTCAAAATGTCATAGAAGCTACACCTTTTGGATATATCGTATTTTTTTTTCTTTATAAAGGGTGTCCCAAAATTCACGCAAGAAGTAATTTTGATAGAAAACAGGTTTATAATTAAAATCTGTAAATTTTTTATTGATTCATAAAGTATACAGTATAGGGCTATGTATGGAATAGCATATCGGGTAAACGGTCACAGCGAAGAGAGTTCGTTGAATGGATTATGGAACAACAAGTGGATGTTGATTTTTCGAACAAAATCATCTTCAGTGATGAGGCTCATTTTCATCTTGATGGCTTGGTTAATCGACAAAATTGTCGTATTTGGGGTTCAGAAAATCCACGAGTGATTGTTGAGAAACAAATGCATCCACAACGTGTCACTGTTTGGTGCGGATTTTGGGCTGGAGGCATCATCGGACCATTCTTCGGAAGAAAATGCGGCTGGTCAGGCAATAACAGTTAATGGTGCTCGCTATTGCGACATGATAAACCAGTTTTTTGTGTCTAAATTGCAAGATATAGATGTGGACGACATGTGGTTTCAACAAGACGGTGCCACATGCCATACAGCCTGAGAAACAATTCAATTACTGCATGAGTCATTTCCTGGTCGTGTAATTTCCCGTTTTGGTGATCAGATCAGGCCGCCCAGATCATGCGATTTAACGCCGTTGGACTTTTTTCTTTGGGGTTTTTTGAAGTCTAAGGTTTGTAAGACCAACAAGCCCACGACCTTGAAGGAGGAAATTGAGCGCCTTGAAGGAGGAAATTGAGCGCTGTATCAACGAAATTCAGCCACATTTATGCAAAACACGGTCATGGAAAATTTCAACAAAAGAGTGCATATGTGCCAGCAAAACCGTGGAGGCCATTTATCCGATATGCTATTCCATACATAACCCTATACTGTATACTTTATGAATCAATAAAAAATTTACAATTTTTAATTATAAAACTGTGTTTTCTATCAAAATTACTTCTTGCGTGAATTTTGGGACACCTTTTATAAATGCATCAAGAATACGTCAAAGTCTCGGACCTTTTTTAATAATGATCTTTTTTAATAATGATTTTGAATGAATATATTTTGAGTACTTCAAGCAAGTTGTAATGCGTATGTTGAGTCGAATTCTCTTTTAATGCTTGATGTATTCGTACGAAGAAAAATATATATTTCTACATGGAGAGAATATTATAGCTGTTTTCATATAAATCCTTCTCAATGTACTTTGAATGATGCAGGACTGTCAATAGAATTTATTTCACTAAGGGATATCGTAAATTTTGCTGTGAAGAACAAGGTATACATTTTGCAATAGCAGGCTTTAGTTCTTAAAATATAAATAGCACATATAAAACGGAAAGGTAACAAATAAAGGCAAAGAATGTATCTTTCTCGGCTGAGAAATCCTACGGTAAATTTTACCATCAAATATTCTTTCAAGCAAAAGATGTAATTCTCGAAACACTTAAACTTTGCCTGATAAGTTGTTTTGTTGACGACGAAGTCGCCTCGGAGAATTACATTCCCCTGTAGAGGTACATAAAACCTTGTCGTCAGTCGCGGAATCTTAAATCACTGGTATGCGCGTGTGTGTGCATAAACTCCCGCAATTCTGAATTTTAAACTTCGAACTTTCCTGCGACTTTCGGCTTCTGGGCAGATTAACCGCCCACCGTCGTTTATTTCAATTTTTGCCGACCTCTCGCCTCATCTCGCGATAAATGGTGGTGCGTTTGCCGAAAACATAAAACCGTCATTAAGCTCGAGACTTTTCGCGGTGTTAGTGTGAAACGTTTGCATGCATGAACAGTTTTTATCGCCTCCTTTCATCGTTGACGGATTATGTATAAAAAGAAAATAATGGATTCGTATATTTCCATCATGTTTACGCGACCATTGATACTAACGGTGCGCAATGTGTAACCTGGAAACGTCAAAATGGGTATTTTATATGTATAATATATGTATCTTTTTATATACGTATACTCTTTCTAAATTATTTGCCGATTAGTCGATTCGACAGCCGAATCGTTCGCTGACCTCTTCTTAGGTGTTAGAATGTTAAAACTCAGCATATTTGTGCTTAAACATTTCACAAGCTTACCTCTCGTCTGAAAATGACAAAGCGGTGGCGCGCAATGAAAATTTCCCGGGAAGTGGTAGCGTTTTCTGTGAAAAGGGCAAATTACTGCAACCGTTGGACAAAAAAAAAATAGAAATCGAGTATGCATGGAATGAGCGCGAAACTGCTTTTTCTCGTCTCGTTATGCGCGCTGTTATGACGCGAAAGGTTCTTCGTCGCTTTTCGCGCTGCCACTTTTCCGTTTTCCGGACGGGAAAGACTCATATCACCGATGTGATGTATATCGATGCAAACGAGCTGAATTAAAAAACCAACGTGAAAAATTGTTTCGGATAAACAATGAATCGATCTCAGTGTCATGGCGACCGGGTACTCTTGTCTTTATTATTATAATAAAGCAAGTTTATTATGTTCTTATGATAAAACATTAAATTATGTTAAAAACAAGATAAGGAAGACTAGCCTGTAAATGTCATTCATTAATTGCATATTTGTAACGATTTAAATCAACAAAGAGAGGATAAAATTGTTTGACAGAATCACATACTCACTCGAAGACATCTTTCGAATTTTTTATGTACACTAGAACACTACAAGCGCGCGTTACGCGCGCGCCA